CTCAAAAAGACCATAAAAAATAAATAGATAGATGTAGGGAGCCGAGTGACAGGCATTGCTGCCTCGATCTCTCTCTCTCTCTCCCCTATGGGCACTGTGTCTGCCTACATTAACCATAATCCTCTTCTGCTTAAGTCACTTATCCGGATGTGATGGTAACCCTGTTGTATTCATCTGTTTAACCTCTTCCTGTCCCAGCTCCCACCCTTAGCCTATAAAAGGTGTGATTATTTTCTAAATAAACCGAAAGCTTGATCAGATTATTTCGACTTGCTTTCATCTCTTTTTGTCTCCCCCATGTCTTTTATTTAATCCCCGTTTCCCCTCCAGGAGTTCTAAACTTGTTGATCTGCAGGCCAGATCAGATAGATAGGGTAAGGGGACAATAGTGGTGTTCATTTTAATTCCTTTAGAGTCTTAAAATATACAGCTCATGAAGATGCACTGTTTGTTCAGGGTTACTTCGGACTCAAGTTCAGTAACTGGGTCGATGTGTCCAAAACTCTCCATAGACCCTCCTGCCCATCTAGCCTCCTCTAAGACCAATGCAAAGGAGGCAGAGAAAAGGGCTCCTTTTCCTCAAGGAGGTGTCAGCCTGCGATGCAGCCAAGCTTCTCTGAGCTGAAATGGTGGGAATCTCTGCTCATGGTTCAGTTAAAATTCATCAGACACTGCAAAATAAAAATCACCAGGAGACTCCCTCTGCCCCCCATCCTTCCTTGCCTAACAATGAAATCAGAGAGGGGGCTGGGGATTTAGCTCAGTGGCATAAGCGCCTGCCTTGCAAGCAGGCAGTCGTGAGTTCGATAAAAAAGGAAAAAGACAAAAAAAAAAGAAGAAGAACGTGTTTGTCCCATCTTTTAGTACTTGCTAAATCCTATACACCTCTCCCTCTCTCACCCTAAGGAGCCAGCTTTTCTCCCTCTCTCGTCCCCTCACCTGCTATTTCTTTTTCTTTTTTCTTTTTCAGTTTGTATCGGTACCAGGGATCGAACTCACGACCGCCTGCTTGCAAGGCATTGAAAGGCAGGCGCTTATGCCGCTGAGCTAAATCCCCAGCCCCTCGCCTGCTATTTCTTACCTGGGTCCCTGTTTGGGTGCCACATGTCAGGTTCGTGAGATCGCTCTACGTTCCCAGGAGGAGGAATAACGAGAGGATGAAAATAATAAAGATAGAGACAGAAAGCTGGGGCCAGAAGGAGCCCTGCCTCCAGATGGGAGAGGGAGACTGCTCACCACCACAAATGCGTGTATATATACATTTGTCTCGTGCTGCCCTTTTGCTAACTAGCTCTTGCCTCATGCCCTGTGCTCTCCGGGCTGGAGCACCTGTTCACCTCCGGTGCTTCGTTCCCCTCGGGTGTTCCTCAGGTGCTCTGTGCTTTTGGCTCCACAGGTGTGGATGATCACTAGCTTAGCAGCTCCCAACAGTTTAGTCATACCCAGAGCAGGGCAGGTCATGGTTGCATCCTGCGTACCATGGCTCCAGGCCTAGGGCAGTGGGTCATGCAATGTCACATTATAGCCAGGCTGGCCAGCAGGGCTGGCTGCAGTCCACGGTGAGCCATTATAATAGCAACGTTTCGGGCCTGGTAATGGACCCTGTAGATGTGATGTGGGTGCCACACCCCCGTTATGTTATAGCTGCCGGGTCAAGTCCTTTATGTAAAATGGTACAGCAGGATGTGGTGGTACATGCTTAGAATCGCAGCCTTCCAGAGGATAGCAGTGAGTTCAAGACCAGTCTGGACTACACAATAAGAGATCCTGCCTCAAAAAAATAAACAAAACAAGGTCGGGTGTAGTAGCATGTCCCTGTAGTTCTAGCACTTGGGGGGCTGAAGCAGGAAGATTGCCAGGAGTTCAAAGCCAGTCCAGGCTACATGGCTCAAGGCTAACCTGAACTACATAGCATGATCCTGTCTCAAAAATAAAATAAAAAAATACAGGGGCTGGGGATTTAGCTCAGTGGCTAAAGTGCCTGCCTGTTAAGTGCAAGGTCATGAGTTCGATCCCCAGTACCAATAAAAAAAAAAAAAACCAGTATCTGTGTGTCACCTTCTATCTAGATGGCTTGTAGCACCCAATACAATGTAAATGCTATGTAAATAGTTGTTACATTGCACTAAAAAAAATCTGTATATTTTCGGTTCAGTACAGATACAGTTTTATTCTCCAAATAAAGTATACTTGTTCATTGTCCACTTCTTGGGAGAGAAAAAAAAAAGTATACTTGTGTGGGTAGCAGCGCTCATCTGACTTTTCCCAGAGTTGACTGCTGAGGGGGACTGAGTCTGTGTGTGTTTCAGCACCCCTACAGCGAGTCCAGCATTGCTGAGCCCTGGTGTAGGTCCTGGGTCTATTTCCACTTACTATTGTTTTGTGCTGGAATGGAACCCAGAGCCTCATGCATGCTAGGCAAGTTCTCTACCACGTAGCAGGCCTCTGTTAGATTTATTTTTTTCTGTCTTTTTGAGTGTGTGGTTCAAGCCGCCCTTGAGCTCACTTTGTAGCCCAGGTTGGTCTCAAACTTGCAAGAATCCTCCTGCCTAAAGCTCCCAAGTGCTGGGATGATAGATGTGCGCCACCACACCCAGCTCCTCTGTTATATTTTATAACCTATTATTTGTTTCCAGGTGGGTACGGACTGCAGAGCCCCACAGTAGGACAGCCAGACCCATCACGAGCCACCCCGAAGGCCCTGTGGGGACCTGGACAGCCACCTGGCCTGGTAGAGAGGAGGTGCTAAGAGGAGCAGGTGCCACACCTGACACCCTTACTAGAAGCCCGGTGCCCCTGGTCAAACCTTGGCTCCCCAAGCCCTCTCTAGTGAGATGCAGGTACAATTACTTAGTTTTCTCATCTCTCTCTCTCTCTCTCTCTCTCTCTCTCTCTCTCTCTCTCTCTCTGTGTGTGTGTGTGTGTGTGTGTCTCTCTCTCTGTCTCTCTCTCTCGTACCAGGGATTGAACTCATGAACTTGCATTTGCCAGGCAGTCGGAGCTAAATCCCAGCTCAAGATAGGGACAACTATTGTCCCCATTTTTTCAGAGACCGTGGCTGTGATCCCAGCACTCCAGAGGCTGAGGCAGGAAGATAGCCACAAGTTTAAGGCCAACCTGCGCTACATAATGAGTTCAAGGCCAGCCCAAGCTACAAAGCAAGACCCTCTTCAAAAGAAAAAACCTGGGGCTGGGGATTTAGCTCAGCGGCACAAGCACCTGCCTTGCAAGCAGGCGGTCGTGAGTTCGATCCCCGGTACCGGCAAAAAGAAAAAGGCTGGAGATATGGCTCAGTGTGAAGATAAGTGCAGGGGTTCGATCCTCAGTACCAAACACAAACTGAGGCTCAGAGGAGAGGGCGGGAGGAGTTTGGACTGTCGCCACTCGGGTGTGATGATCTCCCATGGCCACTGGGTGGCGCTGCGTGCAGGTGCAGAGACGGGTGCAGGTTCAGCGCTGCCCGGCGCTCTCCGCACAGACAACACCCGCTCGCGCCAGCTTCCGGGCTGACGCGGTTCGATCACAAGGAATCGGCGCTGGTGCGAGGCTCTACTTGAGCCTCCTTGAGGTCACACAGGGAGCCCTCCCGACGTGGTCATTTTGCAGGAGACCTGCGGGGAGGTTCTGGGGGAGCCCAAGTGAAAGCCTAGGGCGTCCTCACTGCCTGGGACCCCAGGCCCCGGCACCCAGTGGGGATTCCTGGTGTCTGACAAGAAGCCTCTCGAGGCCTTTGCACCTTTTCACTGTTTTGTTTTTTGTTTTTGAGACAAGGACTCGCTGTGTACCCGAGGGGACATGGACCTTGCTGTCTTGCCTGCTCTCCCAGCATCCCAAGTGCTGGGTCCAAGGGCCCTCGCCACCACACCGGGCTCCTTTCTGTGTGTGTCTTGACTCAGGGCTAATTGTTTCTTTCCGCCTGTGTTTCCGACCTAATCATGTCCTATTTCACTGTCTCCCTGCCTTCCACCCACTCCTTGAACCCAGGGTCTTACCCCTGAGCTAAATCCCCAGCCTTTTTTATGTTTTTGTTTTGAGACAAGGTCTCACTAAGTCTCCAAATTGCTCAGAGGAGGCTGGAATTTTCAACCCTCCTGCCCCAGCCTCTCTGCATGCGAGGGATTATAGGCCTGCACCACCCACCGTGTTGTTTCTGTTTCCTTACCTGTCCACCTGCCCAGCTGTCTGTGAGTCTTACCTGGGGAGGTCAGCGGTGGGTAGGATCTGGGGGGAGGGTCTGATGATAAAGAGAACCCAAAGGTAGTCTGGGGACCCCATATTGGCAGGAAGGGAGAACTGGCTGAATACAGGGAGAGTGCCGCAAGGTGGCCCAGGGATGGATGAGTCACAGTGGTGGTTCCAGCCCCTTCTAGTTCATTTACAGGCTCCCTGAGGAGGAGGACGCTGCCCGGGAGAATAGAGACAGCCAGGGAGAATAGAGACAGCTCCTGGCGGCAGGGTCTCCATGTGCTTGGGGTGGGTGAGACCATCAGAGACCCAGCCCTGCGTCGGTCAGAGGCCATCAGAAGCCCTGCTATAGCCCTGCAGGACCAGGTTCCTGCACTGGCTCCAGGGCTCGCAGCACGGAGGCTAGGGGTTCCATGGGTGCTGGAGAGTCTTTAAAGTGGGACACACCTCAGAATTATGTAAAAGGAGCCAAGTGTAGTGGTTGCACCCTCAATCCGGAACTGGGGAGGCTCAGACACAAGGTTTGCCTTGGGTTCCAAGCCAGCCTACACTGCATAGTGAGACCCTTTCTGAAAACCAAACAAACAAAAGAGTTAAATGCTAAATAGGGCAACTGGCCGCAGAAGTGAGGTGCAGTGAGGCGCACGGGTGGCCCTAGGAGTTCCTGGTAAAGTTAGGCCAGGACTCCGGAGGTCTGCGCTCAGCCCAGGAGCGATGGAGCAGGCTCCAAGGGAGACACAGGCAGGGAAAACGCCCCCAGAAAGGCTGGGCCTTGGGTCTGGGGTGTGCCCTGCGGCTGGGGGTGGGCCCCTGTGCCGGGAGGGAGTCGGGAGCAGCCGCCTACAGGATGTAAGAGAGGAACTGGGGTCTCCAGTCACGGGAGCGCCGGGGCTGCGGGCGGCGAGGACCTGGCTGTGCGCGCGGTCGCTGGACGATCGCTGGACGCTGGACGCAGGGGTGAGGGGGGAGGCCGGCCCGGATTCCTGGGGCCGAGGACGGAGGGGAAGGGTGGGCAGAACAACGGGAAGTGAATTTGGGCCTATCCAAGGTCTGTAATTAATTAACCCAACCGGATCAAATTAGGGGGTGAAAGTTCGTTGAGCAGGAGGGCATTGTTGTCAGTCCGGCCTGGACCCCCCAAACCTGGGGTCCCGCGTCCCGTCCCGGCTGGGCTGCGTCCCGGGCCAGCGAGGGGAAGGGGTGGGGCGGGTGCCCGAGCCAAGTCACGTGTGCTTCCCGCCCCAGGTCGCCCTCAGCATGGGGGAGCCCGGGCCTCCTCGGCCCTGGGCGCTTGGTCTCCTGCTTCTGCTCCTGCCTCAGACCTGGGGCGCAGGTGAGCGGCGGCGGGGAACGGGGTGCGGGCTGCAGGGCGCTGGGCATGGGGCACAAGGGACCCGGCCTGGCCAGGAGGCGACTCCAAGTTTCCCCAGCCCAGCGCCCAGGTGGTGGCTCCTCTGCGCAGTCCTCTCTCGGACCGTGTCCGGAAGCCACCAGTCCCTTCTCGGGGTCCCTGTGTCCCTGTCCCCTCTCTATGTCCCTGTCCCCTCTCAGGGTCCCTGTCCCTCTCTCTCAAGTCAGTTCCCCTTCCTGGCTGAAGTCCAGTCTCTCAGGCTGTGTGTCCCCCACCTCGCTGACCGTGTCCACCCTCATGTGTTCCCCAGCAGAGAACCACCTGTCCCTCCTGTACCACCTCACGGCAGTCTCATCGCCCGCCACGGGGTCACCTGCCTTCTGGGTGTCAGGCTGGCTGGGGCCGCAGCAGTACCTGAGCTACAGCAGCCTGCGCAGGGAGGCCGAGCCCTGTGGGGCCTGGGTCTGGGAAACCCAGGTGTCCTGGTACTGGGAAATGGAGACCACCGACCTGAAGAACAAGGAGAGCCTCTTTCTGGAGGCTCTCAAAGCCCTGGGGGGAAAAGGTGGGGCGGGTCCTGGGGCTGAGGGCAGAGGCAGGGCTGGGGTCTGAGGCCACCGTGCCCCTCACCCTCTGCCCTGTCCTGGGCACCCCAGGTCCCTACACCCTGCAGGGCATCCTGGGCTGTGAGCTCAGCCCTGATAACAGCTCGGTGCCCACCGCCCTGTTTGCGCTGAACGGGGAGGACTTCATGGAGTTCCACCCTGAGAACGGCAGCTGGACTGGAGACTGGCCCGAGGCCCTGAGCATCAGCAAGCAGTGGGAGAAGAAGGCAGAGGTGGTGAGCAAGGAGAAGACCTTCCTGCTCAGCTCTTGCCCTCAGCGGCTGCTGGACCACCTGGAGCGGAGCCGCAGGAACCTGGAGTGGAAGGGTGAGTGCCCTCCGCTTGGGCTTAGTTTGATATTTGGAGACAGGGTCTCCTTATGTAATCCATGTCGGCCTCGAGCTCCCTACGGAGCCCGGGCTGCCCTCCACCGCGAGGTGATTCTCCTGCCTCGGTCTCCCCAGTGCTGGGAGGACAGCGGCTGTGTTGTCTCCATCCTCCCTCCCCCTCACCTCAGGTACCCCCAGCAGAGGAGACCTGCACATTCTTGGACACCTCTGTTTACCTAAAGCTGTTGCCTGTCCTTGGCCTGGGTGTCCCAGGACGAAGTCCCAGCTCCTTGCCTTAATGTCTTACCCCACCCAGCATGGTCACTACCTGCCCAGTGGCTGTGCCTCAGCCCCAGGACATACCTGACCACTGGCTGCAGGCCCTATCCCTGCCCTGAGCCCATGCAAGCCCCCTTGCCTCTCTCCTGGCATCTTCCTCCTCCTTAGGGGCCCTGCCTGGGTGTCACCCCCTCCGGAAGCTCTCCCACCTTGAGCAGCAGCCCCCCACTTCAGCACAGGGGGCTCACTGGGTTCTGGGTAGAGAGACAAGGGCACCTGTGTCCCCTCCCCCTCTGCTGCTGGTAAGGTGTCCCATGTATTCACTCTAACTGCCACAAAAGAGGGGACTCAGGCAAGTGGTTTTCTTTTTTACTTATGGAAATTTTCAAGCTCATTTAATTAGAGGGAATGAGGATTTTGAGACAGGGTCTTGTTGTGTAGCCCAAACTGGCTTTGAATTCATAGCAATCCTCCTGCCTCAGCCTCTAAAAGTGCTGGGATTATGGGTGTGCACCACCATGCCCAGCTAATGTCATTTCTGTGACTCAATAATTAGCAACACACTGGGCATAGTGGTGCATGCCTGTAATCCCATCACCTAGGAGGCTGAGGCAGGAGGATTGCTGTGAGTTTAAGACAGCCTGAACTACATGGCAAGACCTTGTCTCAAAAAACAAACTAAAGGGCCGGGGATTTAGCTCAGTGGCTTAAGCATCTGCTTGGCAAGTGTAAGGTTGTGAGTTCAATCCCCAGTACAAAAGAAAACAAAAACTAAAGGGGCCAGGGATTAGTTCAGCACCTTAGGCACCTGCCTAGCAAGTGCAAGTGATGAGTTCAATCCAAAAAAAAACAAAGAAAGAAAAATATATGTATCAACCACAGTGTTTCTTGTTGGTCAATACTGCCTCTTACTTCCTCAAATTAAACTTTGGCAGTTTTACACATAGAATATTTCCTATATTAATGCATCAACGTTACCTAGGTGTGGTGGCACACGCCAATGGTTTCAGCGTTCTGGGAGGCTGAGGCAGGAAAATCACAATGCCAAACCCAGCCTGGACAATTTAGCAATTCAGTGAGACCCTGTCCCAAAATAAAAATAACAAAGTACTGGGGAGTTCGATGTGGTGGCTCACACTGTAATGCCAGCACTTTAGAGGTTGAGGCAGGAGGACTGGAGAGAACTCAAGGCCAGCCTGGATTACACAGCAAGACCCTGTCTCAAATCATCATCATGATGGAACAAGAGAGCAGGAGAGGCAGGCTCAGTGCAGAGCCCTAGGTTCAGTCCCCAATACTGAAAACAAAACGAAAATCTGGAGCAGGTCACTCTGTCAGGCTAGAGAGAACGCTAGAGAGAACCCTGGAACTGCCCAGTTCCTGTTTGCCGTCTCGATTGTAAGCGCTTTCTGAATTTCACCCACCAAGGTCCACAGATTGCCCATTGCCCATCTTTCCCTGTCTTTCTCCTTTTTTTCTCTTTTCTTTTGTTTTGTTGTTTGGCTTTTAGAGACAGGTTCTCACTGTGTAGTTCAGGTTGGCCTTGAATTCTCTGTGTAGCTCAGGCTGCTCTCAGACTCAAAGCCATCCTCCTGTCTCAGCCTCCTGAGGACCTGGAGGACTGCGTCATCTTCTTATAGTTCAGTTTTGAGAGCCTTTGTGTTTTGGAGCCAGTCCTTTGTCAGACAGTGTCTCGCAGCCTCCGTTCCGGGCAGAGCTTCCCCTCTTCCTAGCTTTCACAAAGCAGAAGTCTGCAAGGGGAGTGAAGTCCAAGCCCCATTCTCTCTCAGGACCGTGTTTCTGGCGGGATGTGTCAGCTGTCACCACCAAGCCTGAGTCAACCATACCTAACGGGTTTGCATTTTATATTTAGGTTCATGCTTTGACTTGAGTAATTTTTTTTTTTTTTTTTTTTTTTTTTGGTACCAGGGATTGATGATCTTGTGCTTGCCAGGCAGGCACTTAAGCCACTGAGCTATATCCCCAGCCCGACTTGAGTAATTTTTGTGATTAGGAATATCCTCCTTCTCTCTCTCTCTCTCTTTCTCTCATACCAGGACTCGAACTCAGGACCTCACACTTACCAGCTGCACCTCTGAGCTGCATCTCCACCCTCCTCTCTCCTTTCTTTTGTAGGTGTTTGCTCCATTGGCTCTTGCCCAGGCCAGGTTTTACCCATTGTCTGTCTGTGAGGTACAATGTGGTCCTCTTTCTGTTCTGTAAAGTGGCAGCTTCGTCTTTTCTAGATTCGATTGTGGCTAAGACAATGATTTTTTGTTTTGTTCTGGTTTGATTTTTTTTTTAAAGCAAAGTCTCTCTCTCTTTTTTTTTGGATTCCTGAGTTCAGTTCCTTACACTTGCCAGGCAGGCACTGGGCCACTGAACTTTATCCTCAGCCCAAAAGCAGGTCTCTTACTATACAGCCCAGATTGTCCTTGAACTTATGGTGATCTTCCTGCCTCGGTCTCAAGAGTGCTGGGATTACAGTCACGTGTCTCCATGCCCGTGATTATCCAGAATCTGAGTCATCATCTGTCAACCTCTCAAGGGATTCTTGAGTTTTATCTTGTCTAAGTATTATTGTGAACTCATAGGTACTATCCTTTGTTTTATTATGGAGATAACGTCTACCCACATTGGTCTGGAACCCCAGGGCTTAAGCGATCCTCCTGCCTCAGCCTCTCCAAGTGCCAACTCCCCAGGTTCCTAGAGGTCTTGTGTCTTTCATGCTCTTTGCTGTGGTTTCTCACTTGCACTTTACCCCATTCACATCTGGAAGTCGGGGCACATTTCCAAATAGCCAGGGGCACCCCCCTCGAGCCTGCAGTGGCTTCCCCAGTATCCAAGAATAAACCCCAGGGCTGCTCCGGAGTCTGCAGGGCTGGGCACCAGGCTGAGCCGCCTGCTCCTCTCTCCCCTCCTCCCAGCGCCAGCGCTGCCCTCCTGGCCTTGGCTGTTGCTCTTCCAGCTGCAGGGGACCTGCGCTTGGGGTCCCAGCCTGGCCGGATCCCACCCAGCTTCATCTTCAGTGTTGGACGTGGCCACCCTCAGGGCCCTGCCCAGCCTGACTGTCTGGGCCAAGTACTCCCCACCCACCCGTCAGGGTTGCTCGGGCCACTTTTTAAATTTATTTTATACAGTGCTTTTTTTTTTTTTTTTTTTTTTTTTTGTCTTTTTGAGACAGGGTCTCTATGCAGTTCAGGCTGGCCTTGATCTCACTTTGTAGCCCAGGCTGGTCTCGAACTCGCAACCATCCTCCCACCTCAGCCTCCTGAGTGCTGGGATTATAGGCGTGAGCCACCACGCTTGGCTGGCTGTGGGACATTTGAGCTGTTTCCAAGATTTAGCTATTACAAACTGTCCTTCTTTTTTTTATTTTGAGACAGAGTCTTGCTAAATTGGCCAGGCTGAGTGATCAGTCCTCCAGCCTCAGCCGAGCATAGAGTGCTGGGATTAGAAGGGTGAACCACTATGCCTGGCTTCCTATGAATATGCTCATACTTTTTTTTGGTTTTCGCTTTTGAAGTGGGTTGTCACTGTGGTGCTCAGGATGTCTGGCCTTGAACTTCAGGGCTCAAATGATCCCCCTGCCTCAGCCTCCCGAGTGCCTGGAGCTATAGACAAGTGCCATGACTCCCAGCTCTATGTGTCTGTTCTCTGAATTTCCATTTATTCTTAGGAAATGCATATACATGGAATCAGTGAGCTGTGGGGAAGGAAATAATACAATCAGCTTTAGCAGTTTGTGCTGTTTCCTCCTAGCAGCTATGTGGAATTACAGTCATTCCAGACTTGCCAGAAATGGATTCTTTTAAAATCTTTCATGTTACCTGGTCTAATGAGTATGTAGTACAACCTCCTGATTTCAGTTTTCATTGTTTGACAACACATTTATATTCTTGGCTGCCTGCGTGAGTGCTGGCTTTTTTTTTTAAACCCGGTTTTTAAAAATTGGAACTTTCATCAGTGTGGTGGTGCATGCTTGTAATTCCAGCACTTGGGAGGCTGAGGCAGGAGGAACTCTATGAGTTTGAAGCGAAGCTGGGCTACGTAATGAGACCCTGTCTCCAAAACAAAACAAAACAAAAGAAAACACCAAGAAACCAGTACTGGGCACAGTGCGTTATATAGCAGATTTCTAGAGCTTTTGCATCTTGGTATCTGCAACTCCATCCTCACCATGTAGTGACTGTTTCTCCGTCCTGCAGTGTGTGGTGACCCCATTCTACTTTCTGTCCCTCGAGTCTGGTGCTGTAGACCACGTCTGCAAGTAGAGCTGCGTGGAACTGGCCCTTCTGTGACCGGCTTCTTTCCCTGAGTGTAACCTCCTTAGGCCTCCGACCCTGTTACAGGCCATAGCAGTTCTTTTTGCATTTCTGTGTTTTGCAGGACCAAGGATTGAACCCCCAGCCTTTGCCCTGAGCCATATCCCTAGCCTTTTACATTTTTTATTTTGAGATGGGGGCTCTCTGAGTTGCTGACTTGCCCGGGGTGAGCAGGCATTTGTGATCCTCCTGCTTCAGCCTCCCAGAATGCGGGGATCAAGGCCTGTGTGCCTCTCCCCCTTGGATTTAATAGTGCAGGCCCTGAGCTTCCTTTCCCATTCATCTGCCACTGGTCGAGGCTGTGTTCCCTCTGCGCTGACACCAGTGAGGCCACAGTCCACGCACAGCCACTGTCTACTGGACAGCCTGATCTCAGCTTGGGGAACAAAGACTCCTAATGCAATACTGGGTGCTGGACAGAGCAAGCTTTCCCTCTGCAGGAGGAAACTGCATACCCCCAGGCCCTTTTACCTCAGGCCAACACTGAGTGAGCGGTGTGGTATCAGGGCTGATGCTGGCTTGCGATCTTCAAATCTTCTGTTAGTTTCTGATAGCAGCCGCCTCACTGGGCAGGGGCTGTGTCTCATGGTGCTGGTTTCTCTCCCTGATAACGAGTGACCTGAGTGTCTTTGATATGCCTGCTGGTTGGTTGCATGATTTCTCAAGGGAAAATGTCTGTCTGAGTCCCTTGCCCATCTTTATTTAGTTTTTTTTTTTTTAATTTAGTTTTTGTTGTTGTTTTCACTTGTGAGCCTTTAATTAGTTCATTAGTTAATTTAGGATTTTGTTGTTTTTGTTTTGTGGTCCTGGGATGGAACAGAGGACCTTGTGCATGCTAGGCCCACGCTCTACCGTTGAGCTACATCAGCAATTTGGGGGTTTTGAGACAGGGTCTCTCTATGTAGTCCAGGCTGGACTTGGACTCTCCCTGTAGCCTAGGGCCTCAAACTCAAGATACTCCTGAGCCAGGCGTGGTGGCACATGTCTCTAATCCTAGCACTTGGGAGGCTGAGGCAGGAGGATCACTGCAAATTCGAAGTCAGCCTGGGCTACAGAGTGAGGTCAAGGATAGCCTGATCTGCATAGTGAAGCCCTGCCTCAAGCAAAATCAAACAAATCAAAACAAAAAACTGGCTCAGCCTTCCTTGGTCCTTGGATCACAGATGTGAGTCACCACGCCTGGCTTTGGTTTATTTCTGGGTTTTCAGCCACTTTGAGAATCCAGTGAAAGCTAAGGGAAGATCCCAGATAATACAAACACCTACAAAATTGTGCACATAAATGCAAAGCCTCTCCACCCCACTGAAACCCATCCCGGCAGTCTATGTTCACAACTCGTGGTAAGACAGGGTGTGCGTGTGGGTGGGAATTAGTCATTAAAATTTGTGTTAAATCAGAAACCGCCATACAGAACATTATCCCTGGTCCCCTATTTATTTAGACAAGGTCTCACCTAATAGCCCAGACTGGCCTCAAACTTGTTGCAGTCCACCTGCCTCATCCTCCCAAGCGCTGGGATTATAGGTCCCTGCCACCTAACTCAGTTATGTAATTCTTTTTAATGTTTTTGGTTCCTAGTGTCTCACTAAGCAGAAAGAATAGGCGAATTTTCTGTGTTTAGATTCAGCCCAGACTGAAAACACTGTGCTCTGGAGACAAAAGTCCTGAGAGCTGACAGGCAGGCCTGGCGGTGTTCGCCCCTAGTCCCAGGACTTGGGAGGCTGAGGCAGGAGAATTGCTGCTACATAGACACTGACTGGCTCAAAAGTCAAACATGATGTGGTGGTGAACACAGCACAGAGCAGAGCCAGTGCTTCCTGGAAAGCAGCAGGGACAGGAAAAGGATACAAGGCTGATGTGCAGGCACCACCCTGACCTCAGCCCAGCTTCCAAGGCCACACAGGCACTCTGGAAGGCAGGACAGGCCGCCTTTCCCAAGAATTGCTGAACTGCTCTTCTGCTGAGCCCGCAGCTCTGCCTCTGCCAGGATGGGAGCTGCGTGCCCCACCCTTGGGCCTCCCAGGGAACGCCCGGCCGTGCCTGACTGCTGCTCAAATCCCTTTGGCCTAGTTTTGAGGGAAGCACTGGGACTGAAGCCAGAGCCTTCTGACCATGCTGGTGTCCTGCTGCTGGGCTGCAGCCCAGCCTTCTCCAAGTGGGTTTATTTTAAGACATAGCCTTGCAAAAAAAAAAAAAAAAAAAAAAAGACATAGCCTTGCTAGGTTGCCCAGGCAGGACTTGAAGCCCTCCTGCCTCAGCCTCCTGAGTACCTAGAATTGCAAGCAACTGTTACCACACCTGGCTTGCTGTTAATTTATAGAAGGGGGCAGAGGTTGAGAGACAGGGTCAGGCTATGTTTCAAACTGGTCTTGAAGTCAGTTTATAACCCTGACTGGTTTGAACTGGGGGTCTTCTCCCTCAGCCTCCCCACCTAGTGTAATGACAGGCGTGCGCCAGGCACCTGGTCCTCCCCTTTTTTTACCACTACAGTCTCCAGACTCAGAGCATTTCAGAGCACAGGATGGTGGTAGGCAGTGAGCCCGGCTCACCCTGGGCTCAGCCCCCGTCCTGTCCCCGCAGAGCCGCCCTCCATGCGCCTGAAGGCCCGGCCTGGCGATGCCGGCTTCTCCGTGCTCACCTGCAGCGCCTTCTCCTTCTACCCCCCGGAGCTGCAGCTACGTTTCCTCCACAACGGGCTGGCAGCCGGCACCGGCGAGGGCGGCTTCGGCCCCAACGGCGACGGCTCCTTCCACGCGTGGTCGTCACTCACGGTGCAGCGGGGGGATGAGCACAACTACCGCTGCCTGGTACAGCACGCGGGGCTACCGCAACCGCTCTCCGTGGAGCTGGGTGAGCCGGGGACGTCCCAATCCTGAGTGTCCCTGTGTCCGCTGCCTGCTGATGCTGGTGTCCCAGAGTCTGGCGGCCTCTGTTCTGCTGAACCTGTCCACGGGGACTTGGCACCTGCTGGCCCGTTTCCTCCTCCTGCTGCCGCTGCTGCTGCTGCTGCTCTCCAGGGCGTCTGACTCTTGCTTTAAGACTGATCACCTCCAGCCTTGCCATTCTGGGGTCCCTGTGTCTACCCCACCTCCGAGAGCTGGAAACCACCCACCCACTGCTTCAGGTCCCTGGTCAGGGAGACCGACCTCTCCAACCTCTCCTGGCTTTAGCTAGTTTTGTTTCTTATTCTATTCTATTTTCTTTCTTTCTTTCTTTCTTTCTTTCTTTCTTTCTTTCTTTCTTTCTTTTTTTTTTGAGACTCACTGTACAATAGTCCAGGGTGTCTCAAGCTGGTGGCAATCATTCTGCCTCAGCCTCCGAGTGCTAGGATGACAGGCATGCACCACCGCACCCGGGTGCTATGGCTGGTTCTCAACACCCAGCCAGGCCCAAGGTGTCACCTGGGGATCTCGGAGGTTGGGCGGGACCAGGAACCCCCACTTCCAGTCCTCCAGGGTGGATGGAGGGCTGGACACATCCCTGGGCGTTCTCTGGCCGCAGAGTCACCTGCCGGGTCCTCGGTGCCCATAGTGGGGATAGTCCTGGGCTTCCTGCTGCTCATTGCCACCGCCGCGGGAGGAGTTCTGCTGTGGCGGAGGATGAGGAGCGGGCTGCCAGGTGAGGACCTGGGCGGGGTGCCTCGGCGGGAGGGGACCGAGCCCAGAAAACTAGGCTCAGGAGCTGGAGGCCAGAGGCCGGGGGAGGTGGGCGCGGATGCGCACGCAGCAGTGCGCAGGCCGCAGCCCCGGTGCCTTCTCTCTGCAGCACCCTGGATCTCCCTCCGCGGTGACGACGTTGGGTCGCTGCTGCCCGGGCCGCTCCAGGAGCCCGACTCTCCAGACGCCAGAGGCACCGCCTGAAGGCCCCGCTGGGCTGCTGCTGGCCCTTGTGTTCGCGTGTCTGCTGTGAGACTCCTGGAATCCTGGATCTCTGAGCCTCCAGAACAAATGTTGGACCCCAGGTCCCCGCACAGCCCTCCTCCTGGGCTCTGCCTCAGTGTCCCCCCTGACATCTCTGGCCTTTGTCCACCTCACATATAAACACGAGTTTGGGCCCGAATCCATGTGTCCTCAAATCCTTTTTAGTCTGCTGGCGGGGAGGTAGCAGATGGGTGGAGGGGGTGCAAGAGTGGTGCAACCCTTAGCTAATCCAGTTGGCTCCTGTGCCTAAAGAGGTGTCTGTGAAAGAATGTGCCTTTTTGCTGTTTTTTTTTTTTTTTTTTTTTTTTTTTTGGTCTTTTTTGGTACCAGGGATCGAACTCATGACTGCCTGCTTGCAAGGCAGGCGCTTACGCCGCTGAGCTAAATCCCCAACCCCAGCTTTTTGGTTTTTTGAGACAGGGTCTCACTGTGTAGTTCAGGCTGGCTTTGGACTGACTATGTAAGCCAGGCTGGTCTGGAACTCATAGCCATCCTACCTCAGCCTCCCAAGTGGTAGGATTACAGGTATGCGCCACCCTGCTCAGCTCTGGCATCTGCCAGTTTTCTATACCGACTCATCTATATTTCATATATGAGTTTCATAAATATTTAGGGGCTGCCCACACTGCCAGGCATCTTAAGGAACTTTTGGCTGGAATATGTTCTGAATCCTTGATGGAGCAGAAGAGAAGAGCTGCTCCCTCCCCCTCCCGGAGGGAAAAGAATGACTTTTCTCTTAAAAGAGACCCACAAAGGAAACTCGAGGAAAATACATTTCCCATGAGCCTTTGGCTCGAGGGCGGCTGGAGGTGGTCCGGCAAGATGCCTCAATGCCTGCAGGGATTTGTGGTTCTCGCAGTCCGCGTCACTCGGCCTTAGCCCACCCTAACCTCTTTTGTGGACGTGGCGCAGGTCGCCCGCGACACTCCTGCCGCTCATTGGCCCCGCCCCTGGGTTCCTTGCGCGCACTCATTGGTCAGTGGGCGTGGTTTCTGGGTGGCCGAGGCGGGGCCTGGCTGGACTGCCGCCCAATTGGGCATCTTTGGGAGACCTCGGAGCCAAGCGTGAAGGGCAGAGAGAAGCTGGATAACAGGGTAACTGGGCATGTGTGTGGAAGCGGGGACCAGGGAGGGAGCTAGACCGCAGGATCAAGGGCGAGGGAGACTTGGGGGTTCGGCTGTACCCTCGCTGGTCATCACCATGCCCTGTGCTTTGCGTGGGATGCGCGCCACGTCTCCTCTGGGATCACCTCTGTCCGCTCAGGGACTCCTGGGGACTAGGAAGATCGGGACCCTCTCTGGGCACCCTGTCCTCCTCCCCGTCGTCGCCGCCCCCACTGAGCTGGAAACTTTCAGCAGGCACCGCCCATCTCCCAGTGTTGTTGTGGGTAACCCCTGCCACCCCGGTTCCGATCCCTTCCTGCCCTCTTTTTTGTGACCCCTGACTGCTGACCCCGCCGCTCCCCAGGAACCGACGATGTGGCGCCCATCACTCCTGTTGCTGCTGCTTCTGCAGCTGCTGCTGCGGCGCGGGGCCCAGGGGAAGCCATCCCCGGACGCAGGTCCTCACAGCCAGGCCAGGGTGCACCAGGCAGCCCCTCTGAGCGAAGCCCCACACGACGACGCCCACGGGAACTTCCAGTACGACCACGAGGCCTTCCTAGGACAGGAAGTGGCCAAGGAATTCGACCAGCTCACCCCAGAGGAAAGCCAGGCCCGCCTCGGGTAAGAGATAGGTGACCCGTGTGGTGATCTTGCCTGGAATCCCAGCACTCAGGAGGCTGAGGCCGAAGGACTGGTGCAAATTCCAAGCCCAGCCTAGGCTACATAATGTGTTCACGGCCTAGCCGCACTGCATAGCAAGATCCTGTCTCAAAAAACCAAAAAAGAACTCAGATCTCGAAGTTGCAGATTCTACCCTAGACACCGACTCTGCAAGCCTCAGTGGTCTGCTCTGTAAATGCATCTCCCAGTCTCCTTGGCCAGGGTGATGGGGACAAAAGAGATTCTGTGGGGAAGGAGCCACCAGGGAATCAGGAATAAGGCTGAGCTCTGAACTGCAAAGTGAGCTCCACTGAATGTGGTCACTATCAGCCTACTTGCCCTTTATCATACTAGCGTTTACTGAGCACCTACTACACGCAGGCACTGCTCCACCGGGTAAAGTCACAGCAGGGAACAAATCAGACAAAACTCCTTGCCTTCAGGAGGTTCATAAGGAGTGAGAGAAACAAGATGGTTAGGTATTAATAAATTAGGCAAGAGCAAGCCTGCTGGCTTACGGCTCTGCGGTTGGAACTCAAAGCAGAAGGGAGAGGGTGGGAGCCAATACATTGTCTCCCGCAGGGCCTTTGGGTTCCAGAAGGGGTCTGGCTTCTCTGGGATGGGGAGGCTATAGGGCGGAGGGACCACACTTTAATGGTTTAACATTCACTCCCCAAAGTCCCTGAGGCCTCGGCAGTTATTTAGCCCCATTTTACAAGGGGGTAAAGTTAGGGGTGCAAAGAGGTTAGGTCACTTGGTGAACACTCCTAATCACGGCTGGAGCTCGAGGCCACTCTCGGGACCAGGGGTCTTGGGACTGGGCCCAGGACCCGAGGGATGATGACGGGTGCCCCATGTGGTCCATATCAACTGTGGGACGAGGACCAGGGCCCTGGCCAGGGGAGAGGGAGCCGGGAGCGTGCGCGGCTGCCCGGCGGGTGCAACAGGCAAGAAGCAGTGGAGATTCACGGTCCGCACAGCTGCAGCTCAGGGCCTGCGCAGGACTCTGCGCTGTGAAGGGGCGTGGCGGAGACGGTGGGGGCGTGGCTCAGGCTTCTCCGCCCAACTCACTTTGCGCATGTGCACTGCTTGGGGGAATGGGGAAGGCGTGGCCCTGGCTTTTTCCCGGCCTTCCAGGCAAGGGGGCGGGGGCTAGGATAGAAGTGGGACTCTGCTGCAGTTGCAGTCTAGAGATTGACAAGTACTCTCTCTGCTTTGGATCCGAGACTACTTTGTTATTTTTTTCCTTTGGTTCTGGGAATTGAACCCAGCGCGTTCACACTGAGCTGCCTATTCAGCTCTTTTCTTTTTTTTTTGACAGAGTCTCGCTCTGTCGCCCAGGGTGACCTTGAACCAGCGATGATCCTCCTGCCTCAGTCCCCCGTGTTGGGATTACAGGCGTGCGCCTCCGCACCCGGCTCCAGCTCTTTATTTATTTTATTTGTTTATTTATTGCACTACTGAGGATCAAACCCAGGGGCTCCCTACCACCCAGCTACCTTCCCGGTCCTTTTTATTTTGAGAACAGGGATCTGGCTCAGATGCCAAAGGCTGATTTTGACTTCCAATCCTTCCTAGATAGCCTCCCAAGTTGCTGAGGTTACAGGGATGTGCCACCGTTCCTAAGCTTTATTTATTTTATTTACTTTGAGACAGGGTCTGCCTGAATTTCTAAATTGCTCTGGCTGGGTTTGAATTTGCCACCCTCCTGCCTCAGCCTCCCAGAATGCTGGGTGGGATTACAGACCTGTGCCACTCCATCTCTTCCATGGGAGCATTGAACTTCCAGCCCTGAGGGAACTGTTTTGGGGGAAGGAGTGAGGGGGAGTGGCTCCTGCTTGGGGCGGAACCTCGGTGGTGGCTGTGGGCCCAGATGTGGGCGTGGCCAGGGCCTGATGTTGACCGCCCTGTGGTAGGCGCATCGTGGACCGTATGGACCGCGCTGGGGACGGTGACGGCTGGGTGTCGCTGACCGAGCTTCGCTCGTGGATCGCGCACACGCAGCAGCGCCACATACAGGACTCGGTGAGCTCGGCCTGGGACACGTACGACACGGACCGCGACGGGCGCGTGGGTTGGGAGGAGCTGCGCAACGCCACCTACGGTCACTACGCTGCTGGTACGCATGGGGCCCCACCTTGCGCCCTGTGACACACCGCCACCCTCGCCTTCTGACCGTACTTATCCTGAAGGCGCTTAATCCTCTGGCCTGGAACCCCTACCTGTACCTCCTCACCAATTTTAGGACCTCATCTCTGTGAGATCCCTTCGTGGTGAGATTTGAGACAGGGTCTCCTTTCATAACCCAGGCTGGCCTGGCACTCGCAGTGATCCTCCTGCCTCAGCCTCCCACAGTGCGGAGATTACAGGAGTTCGTTCCCATGCCTGGTTTAGAAGACCCTCAGTTTCTTTCTTTCTTTTTTTTTTTTTTTTCTTTTTCGGTTTTTTTATCGGTACCAGGGATCGAACTCACGACCACCTGCTTGCAAGGCAGGCGCTTATGCCGCTGAGCTAAATCCCCAGCCCCGACCCCCAGTTTCTGACAGCTTGCTTTTCATATTGAAATCCTGATCTCTGTGGGCCCATGACTGGGGACTTCAAATCCCTGACCTGAGCCCTTGCCCTCCACTTTCTGTCTCCTGACCCCTGGCCTTTACTTCTCACACTGAGAACCCCAAAGCTATTTGCCCTGAACCCTGACTCCTAGTTTTCTCCTGTCCCAGTGCCTAGCCCCAGTACCGCCCACCATGATCTTGGTCTGGCCCCCCTAGTGCAGCACCCCAGCCTTTCCTGCACCAGCTCCCCAGGCTTCTCTGGGTCTTTGCAGATACTGCAAGCCCCTGTCCTCTCCACATGTGCCAGTGGATCTGTGGGTCGCAGACCTCAACATTTCCACAACCCTCTGCATTCTGCTTATGCCCTTCCCTCCCTTTGGCGGAAGCTGACTCAGGATAGCTTCCTGCATCAGGCATCAGGCATCAGCATTCAAATGGCCAGTACTCATTTGAAGTCCTGTTTCTGGCCCAAGTCCTTGTTACTTCCTCTGCCAAGGGTCACTTTCTCATTCGGGAAGTAAAAAACAAAAAGTTGAAGGAACCCAATTTTCTTGCTTTTTATGAGGATTAAATACAACATTGGATGTTGCTATGAAGGAAGCCTAGCTAAGCGTGGTGGTGGACAGACACCTGCACCTGCAGCACCCTGGGAGGCTGAAGCAGGCTGCAAGTTCCAGTCCAGCTTGGCCAACTCACTAATTTAGCAAAACCTTGCCTCAAAATAAAAACTGGCTGAATCTGCGTTTGGTAGTGCACACATCCTCCAAAGGCTGAGACAGGAGGATCAACACAAGTTCAAAACCAGCCTGAGCTGCATAGAGACCCTGCATCAAACAAACAAACAACCTAGCAAAGGCTCTAGGTTCAAACCCCAACATAGCCCCCCACCCAAAAAGCTAATAATATATAATGTATTGGATACACAACAAGTTTATATATTGGTTTTGGGAGATGAGATCTTGCTATGTAGCCCAGGCTGCCCTGGAATTCTCAACGATCCTCCTGCCTCAGCTTCTGGAGTGCTGGGATCACAGGTGGCACACAAGCTGGTTTGCACCACCACGCCTAGCTGTGTAGATGGCATAGAAGTCACTGGTACATGCTAATGCTTCTGAACTTTTCAGATTTATCCTGGTCCCCTGCCCGGTCCCCTGTCTTTCCCTGTGCCCTGACCCCCCTACCTGAGATGCTCTCTGCTCCGCCCTCCCAGGGGAGGAATTCCACGACGTGGAGGACGCCGAGACCTATAAAAAGATGCTAGCTAGGGATGAGCGGCGTTTCCGGGTGGCTGACCAAGACGGTGACTCGATGGCCACAAGGGAGGAACTGACAGCCTTCCTGCATCCTGAGGAGTTCCCACACATGCGGGACATTGTGATCGCTGTGAGTGTGCCTGTGCTCACAGGGACCCAGCTAACCACACAAGATCCTGCCTTCCTGGGCTAGGCTGTCAGCTGGTTTGTTTGTTGTTATTGTTGTTGTTTTGAGACAAGGTCTTGATCTGTAGTCCAGGTTGGCCTTGAGGTCACTGTGTAGCTTAGGCTGGTCTGGAAATCCTCTTGCCTCATCTGTGCTAGGATTACAGGTATGTGCCAGCACAACCAGCTAGGACTCCACTCTAAACGGAAGGATTTTTACTCCCATTATGCTTAACTTTTTACAGTGTCAAAGAACTTTAAAAGCCTTCGTGTCTTCCTCAAATACATGTCATGCCGATGTGCCTATATGTGCGAAGGATGAAAAAGAGAACTCTTTCCACCTACAAACCCAGCCCTATTTAAAAAAAAAAAAATTGGGGGGGGGAGACTGGGAATGGAACTCAGGACCTCGATATTTTTTGAGATTGGGTCTCTTGCTAAGTTGGCTAGGCTGGACTCCAACTTTCGATCCTCCTGCTTCTGCCTTCCAAGTGCTGGGATTCGAGGCATGGGCAGAAATCATGACAAAGTGCTGGGTTTTCAGAGACAGAAACACCTTGAGGTAAGGCAGCTGTCAAAACTAAGCCAGCTAGGGCAGGCGTGCAGAGGAAGGGGCCATCTGTCCTCCAATCAATTTGTTCTGAGCCCTTGGTCTTCCCAAGTCCGCACTCTGTCGGCCTTTGTCCTCACCCAACCTGGCCTTTATCACAGCCCTCAGAGGAGACTGCTGTTCTTTGGGCCAGTCTGCAGTCACAGCTGGGGCTCTTATCGCTAGGTAATGATTAAGGAAATGAAGGAGGAAAACATCACATCTCCTTCTTGCCAAGCAGCCCTGGCTGCCGGGCTTCTGGCCAGCTCCTGGCCGACTTAGGGCCTGACTCACACAGGAGAGGGCACTCAGCATTTCCTGAGCTGTGTAGTATTCCTTGGTCGCTCTACTGTTGTTTTAGTTCATTATGTAGCCCAGGCTGGCCTCAGACTCTTGGTAATCTGCCTCAGCCTCCCGAATGATAGGGTTATAGGCGGGTGCCACTGCACCTGACTCCAACAACAAATTCTTTAGTCTCTCATACAATATTGTCTTAGTACCAAGTTGTCTCCCACAATATTTGGGACATGTTCACACTCCAAAGTGATGTATTTATCCATAGTGCAATATAATTCATGCTGTGGGGGTGAGTGGGTCAAATGAGTGGAGCATGAGTAGAGCATGCTTACATCAAAGAATTATTGCTGTCATCTAAAATTCAAATGTGGTCAGTGGTCTGGGGATTTAGCTCAGCGGCATAAGTGCCTGCCTTGCAAGCACAAGGTTGTGAGTTCAATCCCCAGTACCATGGGAAAAAAAAGAAAAAAAATCAAATGTGGCCAGCTACTGCACACCGTAATCCTAGCACTCTGTGAGGCTGAAGCAGAAGGATTGAAAGTTTAAACCCAACCCGGGCAATTTACGAGTTTATTGAGAACATGTCTCAAAATATGGTAAAAAGTTTTTAAAAAGTTGGGGGGCTGGGGATGTAGCTCAGCGGCACAACGCCTGCTTGGCAATTATGAGGTCGTGAGTTCAATCCCCGGTACCAAAAAAAAAAAAAAAAAAAAAACAAGCTGGATTACAAGTCCGCTGCAAGGTAAAGGCACCATGGCCCTGTCATATTCAGACACCATTTTCATTCTAAATGAATCTGAATGTAAAATGAGGGATCAGAGTTGGGCTTGGTGGCAAGCCATTGTAATCCCAGCACTGGGAAGGCTGAGGCAGGAGGATCGCCATAAATTCAGGGCCAGCCTGGGCTACATAGTGAGACTCCCAAAAACCAAGCCCTCCTCAAAGTCAGTGCACCAGCGCACCCAACACTTTCTCCCCAGGAAACCCTGGAGGACCTGGACAAGGACAAGGACGGCTACGTGCAGGTGGAAGAGTACATCGGTGAGTGAAGTTAGGCGGCGGCTGCGCGACAGCCCCCGCCTTGCGCATGCGTGGTACACACCACAGCCCGCCCTGCGCATGCGCAGTATCGGGTGGGCGTTGCCTCTAGGAGCTGGTGCTAGTGTGTGCGCCGTTTGTGTTGCCTGGCTCCATCTGGCCACCTGCTGAGTGCTACACGGAAAAAGCATTTCCGGAGTAGGGTGTAGTGACGCGTGCCTGGCATTGCAGCTACTCCAGAGGCTGTGGCAGGAGGACCATAGGTGGAGCCCAGCTCCAGACCCCAAGAATGTCTGCCTTCCCTCTATGTTTTTCCAGCACTGTGGATTGAACCCAGGTCCTTGGCGCTGAACTATCTCCTCGGGTCTTTCTAAATTATTTTTTATTTTATGACAGCATCTTGCTAAGCCACTAGATCACCCAGGCTGGTTGCAGTCCTGCCTCAGCCTCCCGAGAAGCTGGAATTACAGGCATGCGGCATCACCCTTGGCACGTCATATCGTGTGAGCTTTTACCACAATCAAAAGGCCGGTAGCAAGCAGGCAGTCGTGAGTTCGATCCCCAGTACCGATAAAAAGGAAAAAAGACCAAAAAAAAAAAAAAAAACAAAACCCAAAAGGCCAGTCAGGACACAAATACACACACACACACACACACACACACACACACACACACCTGCTGTGCCCTCGTTTCCTACAAGAAATGATGACCCAGGACCAATCCAAATGAGGACAGGAAGTGCCGCGTCTTGCTGCAGGGCACAAAACTCCTGTCCCATCTCTGGTTTGGCTTTTTGGAGGCAGGGTCTCCCATGTAGTCCAGGCTGGTCACGGACTCACTATGTATCCCAGGCTGACCTCGAACTGGCATCGATCCTTCTGCCTCAGCCTCCAGCATCCTGGGATCACAGGTGTGTGGCGTATCTCATCTTTGATGACATCTTGCTGGCAGCCCTGTGGCCTGGTCCCCAGAGGAGGAAGCTTCTGCTCTAATTTTCATGCCTGTACCTGGTGTTGAAAGACTGGGCACGCCTTGTGCTGACTTCCAGGCTACCCTGGGGCCAGGGCTTTTGCAAGAGTCAAGCGCCCTGGGAGGAGGTGTGGGGCAGCCTGAGGACAGCTTTTCAGTGCTTCTTCTTCCTTCCTGGGATGCAACCTGCTGCCGGGGCCTCCCTCCTGGGAGGCACCAGTGTCACTTGCCTGGCATCCACCCGACTAGACCTATCCCTAAATCAGTTAAGCAAGTCCATGTCACATGAACGCCAGGAACCATCTTGAAGTCAGGTTTTGTTCCTCATACTAAGGTGAAAGGAGTGAAGTGAAGCTGGCCGTGTTGGCCCATGTCTGTTACCCCAGCCCAGAGGAGGCTGAGGCAAGAGGATCTCTGAAGCCAGCCTGGGCTACCTAGCTACAAAAATAAGAAAAGGAAAGCGCGTTGTCCAAAAGCCATAGGCCAAGAGGTATCGGAGCCCAGGCTGGGTCTCAGGTGCCCTGGCCCTGAGCGGCCCCTGAGCCCTGGGTCCCTTGGGTCCTCGCAGCGGACCTGTACTCTGCAGAGCCGGGGGAGGAGGAGCCAGCCTGGGTGCAGACCGAGCGGCAGCAGTTCCGGGACTTCCGAGACCTCAACAAGGACGGACGGCTGGATGGCAGCGAGGTTGGCTACTGGGTGCTGCCGCCATCGCAGGACCAGCCCCTGGTGGAGGCCAACCACCTCCTGCAGGAGAGCGACAAGGACAAGGTGCAGGGGACAGACATGGGGACCCGCAGGGGACAGGGCGTGGGGAGGGTAGCCTCAGTGCAGGCCAGGTCCTCTTGAGCAACAATGTCTCTGTGTTCCCCTGGGTTCCCCGAAGGATGGGCGGCTGAGCAAGGCTGAGATCCTGGGGAATTGGAACATGTTCGTGGGCAGCCAGGCCACCAACTATGGGGAGGACCTGACACGACACCATGATGAGCTCTGAGCCCCACGTGACTACAGGGACACAGCTCGAGGCCCGGCTCTCAGGGACCTCCTGACTCAGCCTCCCCTGGGCACCCAGTCCAGCTCTGCCCATCCTGGGCCCCTCAGAGCCCTCTGTGTGGGTGACACCATCCTCACGGCAGGGTTTCCTGCCCAGACCGGGACTGGCACCCCAGCTCAGCCTTCTGGATCCCCCATCAACTGCACCCCAAGTCTGAGCCATCACCACAGAGACCCAGAAACTCGACACCAGCCCTGGGCCTCTCTTCTGCCAGGGCAACAATAAAATCCAGTGCTGGGGCCTGTGTGTGTGTGTGTCTTTTTGTTGCTGTTTTGAGATAGGACCTCACTGTACCCCAGGCTAGTCTCAAACTCATGGGGGATCTTCCTGCCTCAGCTCCTTGAGTGCTGAAACTGAAGTGTGTGGCAGCATGCCCTGGGGCAGGATGGGAGCTAGGGCTGGGGGAGGAGCAGGCTGGGGGTCGAGGGGCTGGGATAGGCAGGAGGAGGCGGCCTTGGAGCTGGCATGAGGTGGAGGTGGAAGCAGGGATATTCTTAGACACAAAAAATAAGCACACACCCCTCAAAAAACTAAGCCCAGCAGACTGGATGCCCAGTGCACAAACCGGAAGCTGGGCCTTGGGGCGGGCCGTCAGCAGAGTGGGGACCATCAGCAGAAAATGCTGCTGGGGAGGAAAGACAAAGGGACAGAGCAGGGACGGGGAGAGGGCTATGGGCCTGGGAAAGGGGAGCAGGGGAAGTGTGGTCCAGCCACAGCCAGCAGCAGGTTCAAGGGGCCTGGGGCACACTTGGGTGACCCAGTTTAGGGGAGCAGCAGGAGGCCAGGACAGTGCAGGAGGGTAAGTGACAGGGACAGTGGAAACAGGAGGGCCCGACTGTAGCTGAGTGTGGTACACATGGAGGCCAAGGCAGGAGGTTTGCCTTAATCCAAGTGGGCCTGGCCTATATAGTGAAACTGTCTGAAAAAAACCCAAAAATCGGGCTGGGGATTTAGCTCAGCGGCATAAGCGCCTGCCTTGCAAGCAGGCAGTCGTGAGTTCGATCCCTGGTACCAATAAAAAGGAAAAAGACCAAAAAAAAAAAAAAAAAAAAAAAAAAAACCCCGAGAATTATAGGGAACTAAAAATACAAAAAAATTACCTTCCTGGAACTCAAGCCCCACCGGCCCCCTCCCCTTTTGTCTCTTGGGAAGGTGACAGATATAACCTAGAGGTAGACTGTGAACCCCAAAGATCAGCGTGGAGAGAAGCAAGGTGTTTACAGCACTGCATGTCCCAGGGCCTGGCCACAGGACACACGTCTTCAGCATGCCCAGGGTGCTGCTGTCTCAGCAATGTTCCCAGTATTAAAAGGCGTGTGCACGTGTGTGTGTGTGTGTGTGTGTGTGTGTGTGTGTGTGTGTTCGTGCGCGCGCGTGTGTGTATGTGTACACATTACTAAGGGATTGAACTCTGTCTTTTTTTATTATTATTTTGAGATATTCTTGCTAAGTTTCCTGAGTTGGGCTCTGATTTTAGATCTTCCTGCTTCAGCCTCCCAGAGTGCTGGAATCACCAGCATGCGTCATACCTCCTTGTTTGTGTTTTTAGAGGTAGGGTGTCACAGTATTAGAAGTGCAGAAAGACAGGCCAACTTGGCTACCCACTGAGCTCAAGGCCGGTTTGGAACACACAGCCAGAGCTGGTGGCAAAAAACAAACAAACAAAAAAACCAAAAACTTTTTTTTGTGTGTCTCCCGTGAAATGTGTGGCTAAAAAAGTTCACTTTTTTCAGGTTAGCTGGATTTCTTTTTTCCTCTTTTTATTTTTTACTCCAGTACTGGGCAGGGTTTTCACATGAAGTACATCCCCAATCCTCCCTCCCTTTTGTGTGTGTGTGTGTGTGTGTGTGTGTGTGTGTGTGTGTTTCGTTTTTTTAATTGGTACCAGAAATCGAACTCACGACCGCCTGCTTGCAAGGCAGGTGCTTATGCCGCTGAGCTAAATCCCCAGCCCCCCCACCTTTTTGAGACAGGTTTTTGTAAATCTAAATTGCCCAGGCTGTGTTCCTATTTTAAATCCTCCTACCTCAGTGTCCTGTGATCACGGGCATATGCCACCACACCCACTTTAGCTGGTGTGGGTCAGAGCCAATGAGATAACTGGGTGAAGCTTACAAATCTGGGATGCTCATTTTGCTTTTTTTTTTTTTTTTTTTCTCTATATGGTTCAGGCTGGCCTTGAGCTCACTTCGTAGCCCAGGCTGGTCTCGAACTCGCAGCGATCCTGCTGCCTCAGTTTCCCCAGTGCTGGGATTATAGGCATGCGCCACCACGCCTGGGTCTCCTTTGGTTTTCTTTTCCAAAATCTCACCTTTTTGCCAAGTCGTACTTCCAGCTGGGAGAATTTAGGCCGCGGACTGGCTTGGACTGGAAGCCGCCCGGGCTACTGGCGGCACACACACCGGAAACTCATCGGTCGCTTTGCACACTCTGGTTCCCGAGTGCCCTCCTTTCCGCCCGCTTTCATTCACTTTCCAGCGCCTGGGGGCCGCTGTCTCTGTTTCTTTCGTCCAACGTTCAGTGCAACCCTCGGCTGGGGAGACCTTACCTGAATCCGAAGCCCATTCCCGGTTCCTAAGGATGGCAGCGTTCTGCCCCCTGGTGGCTGCGCGTGGGCACTGCAGGACGTGGCATAGGGGCGCATTCCTAAATCTCCCGGTGCTTGCCCATTTCCGTGGTGCCGGGCAAGCAATTCAGGGCCCCGTGCATGCTGGTCAAGCGCTCAGCCACTAAGCTACCTCCTCAGGCCTTAAAAAATTTTTTTTGCGACAGTTTCGCTGGGTAGTTCAGGCTGCGCTTGAACTCGCTATGTAGCCCAGCCTGACCTTGAACTCATGGTGATCCTCTTGCCTCAGCCTCCTGAGTGCTGCGATTACAGGCGTGCATCACTGTGCTCGGCTGTTTTTTAATATTTTAAGACTGGGCATCACTCAGTAGCCCAGGCCTTTTTGGTTTTTTTTGAGCCATAGTCTCACCAGGCTGGCTTTGAACTATGTAGCCCAGGGAGACCTGGAATTTACAGCAACCTTCCTGCCTCAGCCTCCTGAGTAACATAATCACAGGTGTGTGCAGATGTTCTCCGCTGGTTTTTAGATTTTTTGATATATGATTCCGCTAAGCTGCACAAACTGAGCTCAAATTTGGGATCCTCACCAGATGTGGTTGCACACATCTGTGATTCTAGCATTGAGAGGCTGAGGTAGGAGGCTCACTGAATTCTAGGCCAATCTGAGCAATATACTTAGTCCAAGTTCAGCTTGGACTATATAGTTAAGATCTTATCTAAAAAAAAAAAAAGACCAAAACCACCCGTCTCCCACCGTGCCTCAGCCTCTGGCGAGTTTGCCCAGTGTGAATGCGGTAGGTACACATAGAGAGGGTCTGGCCAGAGCAGGCCTGCTGGGGAGCCGTCTCCACCCATTTGGCCCAGCTATGTCCTGCTCCAAACGCTGCTGCTCGGTCTGGTAGGAAGTGCCGGCTCCTTGGTGACCCCTTCCGGAAGGAAACCGTGAATGTCCTTCTGTTTTTAGTTTTACAAGCAACTTCCCCATCCGGGAGCCCACCGGCTGCAGGCTGTGAGGGGAGCAAGGGCGCTGACTCTGAAAAAGCTGAGCTGTGAGTCACATGAAATTAACCCCTTCAGCGGACTCTGCAGGCCGGGGAGTTGAACCAGGAGTGCCTTCCACTGAGCCGTGTCCTCAAGATCTTTTTTTTTAATAGAGGGTCTCACTATGTCGCGCTTTAGCCTTGAACTTGCTGTGACTCTCCTGCCTCAGCCTCCTGAGCACCTCAGTACAGGTGTGCCACCATTTTTTTTTTTTTTTTTTGTCTTTTGAGACAGGGTCTGGCTATGCAGTTCAGGCTGGCCTTGAACTCCCAGCAGTCCTCCTGCCTCAGCCTCCCTAGTGCTGGGATTACTGACATGCACCACCACACTGAGCTTCAGTGTTTTTTGTTTTTTTTTTTTTTGGTACCAGGGATTGAACTCTTGACCACATGCTTGCAAAGCAGGCGCTTATGCCGCTGAGCTAAATCCCCAGCCCTCAGTGGGTTTTTAATTTTTTTTTTTATTTACTTGTCTTTTTCGTTTTTATCGGTACCAGGGATCGAACTCATGACTGCCTGCTTGGAAGGCAGGTGCTTATGCCACTGAACTAAATCCCCAGCCCCATTAGTGGGTTTTTTAAAGGTAGAGTATCCATCACCACTAATGGGCTCGTTTTTTTTTTTTTCCTTTTTCGTTTCTATCGGTACCAGAGATCGAACTCATGACTGCCTGCTTGGAAGGCAGGTGCTTATGCTGCTGAGCTATATCCCTAGCCCCTAATGGGCTGTTTTTATCCTTTAGGCAGCCACCCCCATCCTTCCTCCCCAGCTGGACAGTCACACGTCCACTTCCTGTCCTTCTGGCTCAGCCTATTCTGGATCCCTCTAGAGATCGTACAGTATGTGGGTTTGTGTGTCTGGCCTCTTTCACTGGGTCTGTCCACACTCCAGTGTGCCTCAGTGCTGCACTCCTTTTCATGGCTGGGTAATATTCCTCAGGATGGACAGACATAGCTTGTTCACCCACCCGTCACAAATACTTGGGAGCATTTCTGTTTTGGGGGAACAGTGCTGCTAAGGTTCATTCATGTACAATATTTTTTCATGTATGTAGGTATGTGTGAGACACACAATTTTTTTGTGTAGTCCAGGCTGGCCTCAAACTCCCAATGCCTGGCTCAAATGTCTGTCTTCCTTCCTACTTTCAGGGAGTGAATCCCTCCCTCTTCCCCAGTCAAGGGGGTGCCTGGTTCTGCAATTTAGCCCTTCCAGAGTAACTTTCTGTCTTAAAAACCTTTACGCTTTTTTGTTTGGTTTTTAAATGTTTTTTTTTTTTTCTTTTGTCTTGCAAGTATGCAACCACACACTTGCAAGGCAGGTGCTTATGCCACTGAGCTAAAACCCCAGCCCGTTTTTTCACTTTTTATTTTTGGTACCGGGGATCAAACTCATGACCTGTGTGCTCACCAGGCAGGTGCTTATGCAGCTGATCTAAACCCCAAGCCCTAGTTTCTTTAAAGAGAATAGAGTGAAACAAAACAAAGAAAATGATGCTGGATTTGAAAAACAAGATGGCAGGAATTCAGCCATCGTTACCACCCTGCACTTTGCTGCCCTCTGAATAGCTGCCTGGACTGTGAGATACAGGTACCAAAGTGAGCCACAAGCTGCTGCGGGACTCGCCACCCTCTCAGGAATTTCAGGTGTGCGACTCCTCATTTTTGTGCCCGTGTCTCCTGGACTTGGCCTGGTGGGCTGGAGTCTGAGATCGCACCCTGCCCCTCCTGCCCGGCATTTTCCTGTGTTCTTCCGAATCAGCTGGTGGCTGAGTCCTGGTGCTTCCTACACTAGCTGCCGGTCCTAAGGTGCAGGGATCCCAAGGTGCAGAGATCAGCCCGGGCACCTGTGTTGTTCCCATCCGAGGTTCCCAGGGTGGCAGAGAGGGGTGGGGTTGTGGGGCTGTTTGCTTTTGTTTATTTGTGTAGTGGGAATTGAACTCAGAACCTTGTGCTTGCCAGGGGGGTGTATACGCTGCTAAGCACTATCCCTAACCCTCATCTGATTTTTGAGACAGGGCCTCATGTATTTGGCCTTGAACTCACAGCAATCCTCTTGCCTCAGCCTCCTGAGTGCTGGGATTCCAGGTGTGCACCATCATGCCCAGTGGGGCTGGGTTCTTTGACAAATTAGCCAGAGCCATGTGCTGGGCCCTGGGAGGGGTCTGTGGGTTTTAAGGGCCTTAGGAAGCTTCTGGAAGCACCTGTAGGGCACAGCTCAAGCCGGGGCTGCCAGGGTGCTGAGGCCCACAACTGCCCTCCTGCTGAACCCCTCCCGGAAGTCCCTCACTGCTGGGTGACATAGGTTGTGGGTTGCAGGAAGGGCTACATGTGAGGCTTGGCCATGCAGTCCCACATCCTGGACACCGCAATGGGGTGTCCTGACCATGCGTTCCAGCTCTCCCCACTGCCCAGGGGCCTGGCTACGTAAAAACCAGCTTAATTTGGGGGTGCATGTCGCCAGCCATTCTGGAGGCTGAAGCAGGAGGACTGCAAGTTTGAGCCCTGTCTGGGCAACTTGGCGACCAAAAGAAAGGGCTAGGGGCTGGGGGTTTAGCTCAGCGGCATAAGGCCTGCCTTGAAAGCAGGCAGAGGTGAGTTCGATCCCCGGTACCGATAAAAAGGAAAAAGACAAAAAAAAAAAAAAAAAAAAAAAGGGCTGGGGAAGTGGCCCTGTGCCAGGGCACCTGGCTTCATCCGCAGGAATGCACAACAAAAGCTTTTGTGTTTGGTACCAGGAATCATACTCAAGAGCCTCGTGCTGGCCAGGTAGATGCTGTGCCACTGAGCTACACCGCTGAGCTGGAACACCAGCTTTAACGTAAGCTGCGAGAGGATGGGACGGAATTGGAAGTTTGAGCCCAGCCTGAGTAACTCCCAGAAACTGGGACTCACAGGAGAAAACAAAAGGGCTGGGCATGGAGCCCCGCCTGGCAGCCAATCCCCAGTACAAGCAAAACAGTTACAGGTCTTTAAGCCAGGTGCATGCTTGTAAACTCACAACTCAAGAGGCTGAGGCAGGAGAACTCCAGTCTGAGGCTAGTGAGTACAACCCAGCTAAAAAAGAGCTTGGCCTACTGAGACCTTGCTCAAAAGGTCAAGCAAACCAAGCCCACAGTGCTTTGAGGGATGCAGGGCTCCCTCCCTCAGGTCTGTAGGCCTCACTACCCCTGGGCCTTTGCATCTGCGGTTTTCTCCTCTGCCCCTGTAACTGGGCAGGCAGGGCGGGGTCCTGACCACATTTTCTACACGGCACCTTCGCTCCCTCATAGAATTCTGTTTCCTGTGTGTCTTCTCAGTTTCCTCTGTGACCATACTTGCTTTCAACCTGGCACAAGTGGGGGACCGTGACTCAGGGCATCCCAACCTGAGCTCACTCAGCGTTTGACATGGTGCCTGGCACGGTTACAGCTCACTTCGACTTTGGCCATCCTGACAAAATCCTGGGGGGCAAGGCAGCACTGGGGATTGAACCCTGGTCCTTAGCACTGAGCCACCCCCAGCCCTTTCTGAGGCAGGCTAACCTGACCAGGCTGGAGCTTGCCATCCTCCTGCCTCAGCCTCCTCAGCACCGGGATCAGCCACCACACTCAGCTTGGGCTGACTCAGCTTAACTGGTGTGCACGTCCAGTTCTGAGTCTGCTCGTCCAGTTCTGAGTCTGCTCTAAATGTGAGGCCCGGGATATCCTGAGCCACTCTTGCTCTAGGGCAGGTATCTGGAGCCACCCGTTCCCTTAGCCGGGAAATGAAGACGCCACGTGTCCGGTCCTGGCAGAGGTGGTTTAATTTGGCCTCTGCGACCCCTCAGGCCTGCATCACTGGCCGGGACTTCTCGGCCTGCAGCTTCACCCCGGAGCCCGCGAAGCCGGTGCCACCCTGGAGAGGGGACAGATTGGGGATCAGGAAGACCAATAGGCAGCTGGAGATCCTAAACTAACCTGGTAGGGCGTGGCCTACCATGGAGGGGCATGCCTTGGAGGTGGCGGGTGGACACACATGACTGCTCCCTCCACTGCAAGAGGCGGAGCCCGGGATGGAAGTGGGAAGGTGAGGGGCAGGACTGGGCCGGTGGGCGGGGCCGGTGGGGGCAGGACCAGGCCAGAGGGTGAGACCAAGAGCTTGGAGGGGCAGAGACCAGGGGACCACCAGCTCACCCGCTGCAGCACAATGATGTCACGCTCCGTGAGCTTGTCCCCATTCACGGGGTCCACCATGTCCTTTCGAATCAGCTTCTCCACGCACTCCAGAGTCACCACGGCGCCACTGCGGAAGGGTGAGAGGGCTCGGATGGTGAAGCCACAGCCCCGTGGCCTCTTCCCCGCTGCCCACTGCCCAGGGGACTCACGAGGGCCGCAGCACGGCGCATGGCGTGGCATTACTCAGGCTGTCGCGAGTCACAGCACACACGTAGCGCTCACTGCGCGTGATGAGCCCCACGCGGTCCACAGAATTGTCGAGCGGAGTGAAGCGCACAGACGTCAGGTCGGCCATGCGCAGTGGCTTACCGGACATGGGGCAAGTGACGGTGCGTGACTGTGGGCGACAGGCAGGGTCAGGGGCCGCGCGCAGGGGTATGGGGGACATGGCCTGGGAATAGGACACCACAGAACCCACCGGCTTCTCCAGCTTGGTGGCCTTGGCCTCGGGCGTCAGTGAGGGGATCCAAAAGCTGGGCAGTGCCTTGTCCTTCTCCTTTTCCTTCTCCTTGTCCTTGCCAGGGGCCCCAGCACTGGGTCCGGGCTCGGTGTCATCTGTGGGTGCAGGGAGAGGCTGTCTTGCAGGGGCTGGGAAGTCACCATGACCCCCTCCCGTGCCTTCTCCCACTCCACCATCCTAGGCCACAAGAGCTGTCACCTGGGCCCGCAGCTGCCTTGGCTGAGAAGGGGTTGAGGGGGCGGCTCACAATGGCCGCCTCCTTCTCCAGGAAGCCGCGCACCTGGTCCTGTGCTGCTGCCCGCTGCAGCTGCTTCTGCTCCTCCCGCCGCGCACCGCGCTGCTTCTCATAGGCCTACGGGGCAGAAATCACGAGGGAAACTGAGGCCCTACTTGGGCACTGTCGCTTTAGTGCAGACCTGCCTGGTCCAGGGTGGCACTAACCAGCCTGTGTGGGATAGGCCCCCTGCCAGAGGGGCTCAGGAGGGCAACCTGCTTGGGAGCATCAGCCACAGGAAAAAAAGATTTTTTAAAAAGAGGGTCTCAGGGTTGGAGGTTTAGCTCAGCGGCATAAGCACCTGCCTTGCAAACAGGCAGTTGTGAGTTCAATCCCTGGTACCGATAAAAACGAAAAAGACAAAAAACAAAAACAAAACAAAACAAAACAAAAAAACAAAAGAGGGTCTCACTCTGTAGCCCAGGCAGGCATCGAATACTCAGTTCTCCTGCCTCAGCCTCACCAGGATCAAGGAGTTTAAAAGTGCTTAGGAGGCTGAGGCAAGAGGATTGTTGTGAATTCCAGATCAGCCAGGGCTACAAAGTCAGCTCAAGGCCAGCCTGAACTGCATAGAGACTTTGTCTCAAAAAGACAAATAAGTAAATAAATGTGTGTAGGAGTAGGGAACAGGTGCACAGACTTGTCATCTCACCACTCTGGGAAGCTGAGGCAGGAGGATCTCAAAGTTCGGGTCTGCCCTGAGAAGCTTATGAGAAAGGGTTTTGGATGTAATGAAGTGCAAAGTCCTCGGGTTCAGTCTCCAATGCTACAAAAAAAAAGTGCTGAGCACCCCCCAGGACACAGTAAGCTCTGTGAATGCCACTTGGTGGCTGCTGGTTATCTGTGATAAAGAGCATGTCCCTTCCAGCCTGGGGGCCTAGACTGGAGAGTGGTGGGAGCTGCACTGACAGTGATGCCTGTGCCAGGCAGTGCTGCAGCTTCTGGACTGCCTTGGGTTGCCCCAGAGTGAGAAGGTGACAGTGATGGGGCGGCAGGGCCTCACTATGCTCACCCCGGTGAGGGGCACCTGGGCTGAGGAAAGGCCTGCAGGGGCTCTGCCCTGGACTGACAGCTTGATACGGGGCCAGAGGGTGGCTGTTCGGCAGAGAATGTTAAGCACATGCCAGGCCCTGGGTTGGATCCCTGATGCCTCCAAAACAAACTAAAACGACATTTCCTGATCCCTGGGAAACCAGGCAGCTGAGAGAAGGCTGAGATGTGACATGCTGCAAACATGGGACAAGGGGCCCAAGACCCCTAGGGCCCCAGTTCCCACTCACCTGCACCCACCTGGCAAGTCTACCAGGTTCCCAAGGCAGGGTGCCTGCTGCCTCTGGGCCTGGCTGTCTAAGGGGGGACACGGTCATAAGTGACACGAGCAGGTAACAGTTGTGACAGGAGAGGTGCCCGGGGTGGATGAAGAAACCTGCAGGATGTAGTGCAGGTGACACCTGGGCTGTGAGGGCCCCAGGGCACAGGGAATGCAATGGGTCCAGAGCGCTCTGCCTGAGAGCTCAGAGTCCTGTGCTCCCCCCACCCCCCGTGCCCTCTCCCTGGCCCTGTCACCTTCATTTGCCGGGCAATCTCCCTTTTCTGGTGCAGAATGTACTCCAGGATTGCCTCACGCTCATATAGGTAGCCATCCGGGCTGCAGGGAGAGGCGACAGGAACATGCCTGACTAGGCATGCAGATCACACACCTATGACCCTGCACTTGGGAGGCTGAGGCAGGAAGAGCCCTGCGCCATGTGTGCTGGGATCACAGACGAGGTCCCCGAAGCCCCACACCCATTGTGAATATGGTAAGGTCTTCCTCGTGCCATGTTATGAGCCACAGGAGAACAGGGAGGTCACCTGGCTAGACCCACACCCACAGCCCCTCCACCCGGGCCTCCATGTGGTCCCCAGTGTCTCACGTGACGACGGGATCATGGCAAGGCTGTAAGGACAGGCAGCAGCAGTCGAAGTCCTTCACCGCATCACGGCTCAGTCGGATGTTCTGGGTCCCGTAGCCGGAGGCCGCTGGGGACAGAGATGGGTGGTGATGGACAGAGTCATCTCTAAGTGCCGAGAGAGGCAGGTGGCACAGGCCTGTAATTCTGGCACTGGGGAGGCTGAGGCAGGAGGACTGCTGTGAGTTCAAGGCTACATGGGGCTACATAGTGAGTGTAAGGCTAGCCTAAACTATATACTGAGGTGCTGTCTCCCCCCATAACTAAGAAACAGATAGCCAGGGGCTGGGGATTTAGCTCAGTGGCATAAGCGCCTGCCTTGCAAGCAGGCAGTCGTGAGTTCAATCCCTGGTACCGATAAAAAGGAAAAAGACAAAAAAAAAAAAAAAAAAAGAAAAAGAAAAAGAAACAGATAGCCACATGACCTGCAGGAAGTATTCCTGCAGTAAGTGACACACAGGACCTGCCACCGAGGGCAGCCTGGTAGGGGTCTCACGGCTGACGCCTCACGGAAGATGCCTGCCCTTCTCCTTCAGTGAGCAAGCTCCAGTGTGCCTGCAGTGCTTCAGGCTGTTTCCCTCAGGAATGCGCTCCGCCCAGCAGGGTACCTGTGTCCTTCTTCTTCTCATGGTAGGTGTACACAGCGCCCGCCGTGCAGTTCTTGCCGTGCCGTGTCATCTTGGGGATGAAGGGATGGTAAGGGCTGTGGCCACCAGAGCCCGGCGTGTGAGGCCACTGTGCTCCTCCTCTGGGACTTGCTTTTCCTCAAGGCGCCCCGAAACAACCTTTAACAGCAAGACAAAAAGTTGATGGGGTGGTGGGTACAGACCAGGCGGCAGTTATGCAAGTTTGTTTTTTTTGTGCTCCTGGGACTTGAACCCCAGGTTCACGCTGAGCCACGTGCCCTGCCCTCTTTGCTTCCTGGGACCAGCTCTGGCCAGGCCTCCCCAGGTCTCTGTGGTGACTGCGGTTAGTTGCTTTTACCATCTTCAAAGGATTCAAACAAATTACGGCCCTGGTCTCACCTATCTCTAAATGACTACCTGAAGCTTTTCTCCACCTAAGCTCAGCTGCCAAAGATGCACTGTTCCGCACAATGTAACTCTTGTCCTACAACAGCGCTGTTATGTTGTGGTTCCAGTGTGGCTGGTGGAATGGAAACAGCTATGATTTGATACCTGCCATTATTGGGGCTGGGGATTTAGCTCAGCGGCATAAGCACCTGCCTTGCAAGCGGTCGTGAGTTCGATCCCCGGTACCGATAAAAAAAAGAAAAAGACGAGGGAAAAAAAAAAAAAAGATTTGATACCTGCCATTATCCACGTGCAAAGGGCAAGCAAAGCCCTGCCTTCCCCGGCAGGAAATTTTCCTCAGCTCTGGGGCTGGGATCCCTGGGGATCCCAGGCCTCCCAGGGATGAGGTGAGCACGGTGCCACCCAGTCCCAGGCCAGTCCTCGGCTGGGAAGAAGTCACTTTGTCTCGCTCTTGTCTTTGAACCTGTATTTCCATCACACTTCCTTCACACTTCTGGGGGGTTTTTCTTTTTTCTTGAGTACTGGGAAACAACTCAGGACTACATCCCCAGCCCTTTCTTATACAAACTGTACTGATCCCCAGGTCTGAGTTAAAAAGGTTTTTTTGGTCTTTTTTTACGGTTTTTTTGAAACAGGATCTCATTATGCAGTTCAAGCTGGCCTTGAGCTCACTTTGTAGCCCGGCTGGTCTCAAACTTACAGCAGTCCTCCTGCTTCAGCCTCCTGAGTGCTGGGATCACAGGCATGTGGCACTGTGCCAGGTGTGGGTAGCTGCCAGCTTAAAAACAAACTGGATGCTCCTCAGATGCACGGGGAACAGATAAACACGCCCAGGCACAGGCACAGAAGGACATGGCTAGCAGTGACACAGGACACCCTGCAGCCACACCAAGCACCTGATGGGTGGAGCCGTCTCCATGTGTACCAAGTTCAACAGTTCACCAGCGTCACCGCAGCCTTGAAGCTGTGCTTCCTGTGCAAGCACAGAGGCGGGAGGGGGTCCGCCTGCTTTCTGCAAGCTGGGTGTGGGTGACACGAGTGTGTCCACGCTGAAGCCCTGCTGGGCCCTGCAGTTCCAGTCCTTGCGCTTCTGTGTTCCTGGTTCCAGGAGACAGCCTAGGGCCCCTGTCCCCCAGCCCCCTTCCTCGTCCTCTCAGCAAGCGAGAGTCCAAGGGTGCCTTGGATGAGTTCTCAGTTGTTCTTTTGCAGTTCTGGGATGAAGCCCAGGCCCTTGGCACTGAGACACGTGCCCAATCCATATTTTATGTTTTCCTTTGAGACAGTGTCTCCCAAAGTCACTCAACTGCTGAGGCCAGGCTCGAACTTGGAATCCTCCTACCTCAGCCTTCCAGAGTGCTGGGACCACCACGCCTGCTGGGATAAATTGCTGTTTTCTTTTTTGTGGTCCTGGAGCTGGAACCCAGGGCTCTGTGCAAGCGCTTTCCTGCTGAGCCTCGGTCTCTGGCCTCAGAGAAATCATTACAGGTGGCTTCGCTGGTTTGGAAGGCACATGGGTTCATCCTTAGCTTCTGCCCATGCTCTCTGTGCAGAGCTGAGGGCAGAACACCCCAAGCAGGGGTGTCCCTTGTCCTCTCACTGCGCTTGGGGCTCCCTGTGACCTCTCTGAGCCGAGCCAGGCACATGAGGCTCTGGAGCACGTGCAGCCAGACCAGGTGGCCCTGACATCCCAAGTCATCCCCACTGCACTGCCCCTGTTTAAATCACAGACACTGCAGAACGCACAGTGGGAACCACAGAGATTACAGAGAAGATGGGGTGTGCACAGTACCCAGAAACTGCATCAGCGATGCTGAAAAAGGGAAGCAGGTGTTGGGGTACACGCCTGTAATCCCAGCGCTCAGAAAGCTGAGGTAGGAGGAGAGGCGTACTGAGACCCTGTCTCAAAAGACGAAACAAATCCTGAAAATCTTGTAGCAAAACTCACCGTCCACAAAACTGCAGCAAATGAAGAAAGCAAACGGCTTGCTGAGTAAGGGGTGAGGAGCAGAAGGAACGCAGAAGCTCCGCAGGCACCTGAGGAGACCCACATTCGAACCGTAGGGTGATGTCACCCAACCTCTTCAGGGAGGGGGGACACGAGGAGCACACACTGTGTCCCCTGGGGAGGGGCATCCAGGCCACCAAGCTCCCCACCCCTAGGGGAAGGCAATGTAAATACAGGGACCTGCACCTCAAGCCGGGTGGGTGAAGACACAAAACCTTAACAGCAATCTCTGAAATCTGTGCGTGCACAAAATGAAAACTTTCAGCTTTCTCTCCCCACTGTCCTGGGGACTGAACCCAGGGCCACACCCAAGGCCCTTTTTTTATTTTTTAACTTTGTGACAGTGTCTGGCTAAGTCACGATGTTGCCTAGTCTGGGCAGGCACTGGTGACCCTCCTGCCTCAGCCTCCAAGAGCACACCAGGGTGGGCCAGCCACACATTGGGAGGGGAGCTACTGTCATAGTGACGGGCCTGGGCCGACAGAAACCAGGAAAAAGACAGGCATGCAGGTGGGGTTGCTGGATTAGTTCGTTGGGGATCCTGCCCTTGACCTCTGTCGGCTTCGAAGTGGTCACTTCCTCTTTTGAGCCTCAGTCTCCCTTGGTGAAAAACGGGGATCAACACAGGGCCTCGCTCTTTGGACCGACGTGCTGTGAGGACATGTGTGCATGCTCGGAGTCAGGCTATAGGGGGTCTCCAAAAAAAAGGCCAGAACCTGGGGTGCCCGGCGCCCGGACAGCTTCAGGAAGATAAAAAGCAGCTTTCTCCTTATCGCCCTCTTCTGGCTGCTTCAAAAAAACCTTGTCTTTCACATTCAAAACCAAAGCTCTCACTCCCCCTACTGGCGTCTTCTGCTTGGGAGACAATTATTTTCTTCCTCTTTTTTAAAAAAAAATCCTTTTTGTTTTTTTGAGACAACTGGCCTTGAACTCGCGCAGCAGAGGCAGGCCTCAAACTTGCCATGATCCTCCTGCCTCAGCCTCCAGAGTGCTGGGATTCCAAGGGGGCATACAGAGCACCTCCATGACCCAGAAAAGCCCCTTCTGCCTGTTATCTTGCCCCCGAGATGGTCACAGCATTGCATGCAGGTCTGACCTTGACACACCCCAACTTGACTCCTGGTGCCCTGAGCCGCAGTGCCCTCTTCTGAAGTAAGCATCAGCACCTGTTGCACCCCCAGCCCACGTGCAGCGCGCTCCCCAGCCCTCCCCACCCCCACCTCGCCACTCAGGAAAGGTCAGGCCTCAGGGACAAATTCCTGCCGCTATTCTTAGTTGTCAACTGCCCTGACCCAGCGGCATTTGGCATCGGAAGCCTCTGCTTTTCCAGAGGCCAGAGGCCAACGGCCACTGCCACCAGAGCTCTGCGAGGTGAGAAATGTCCCCAAGAGGGGACGGCTAGAGGGAACATTTTGAAATGGTGCCAGGTTCACCAGAATGACCACAGGATCAATGGTTTGTCCAGTCGAGGTTCCCGAGGTCACCCACTGTCCCACCCCCATGGTCCCAGAACCTCTCTGCTTTGCTGTGGGGCCACCTTCAGCTTGGAAGGGACACAACCCACCTAGGGCAGTGGTGCTCACAGCAAGGCAGGGACCCCAGGGGCCCTCAGCACTCCAGGGCGCCCACAGGGGCCTCCCAGAATGTGTCTCCAGAGGCCGGGGGACCTGTGTGGATTCGAGGCTCTGGTCTGCGTGTGTGCTGTCAGCAGTTGCGTTTTGTGTTTCTTCTCTCCTGGGGATCAAACCCAGGGTCTCACATAAGTCGGGCCAGCTCTCAGCCACTGAGCTACACTCCTAGTCTCTATCCAGAAGGTCTCTTTCAGCCAGGTGCGGTGGCACACGTCTGCAATCCCAGCACTTCCAGGGGCTGAGGCAGGAGGATTGCCGCAAGTCTGAGGTCAGCCTGGGGCACACAGCAAGACCCTACCCTTGGCTTCCCCAAAAAAAGTCTCTTTTAAATTGGGCATGGTGGTGCACACTGGTAATCCTGGCTCTCGGAAGCTGAGGCAAGAAGATCACAAGTTCAAGCCCACCCTGGGTGACTTAGCGAGGTCCCATCTCACAATGAAAAATTTTTTTTTTTTTTTTTTGTCTTTTTCCCTTTTTATCGGTACCAGGGATCGAACTCACGACTGCCTGCTTGCAAGGCAGGCACTTATGCCGCTGAGCTAAATCCCCAGCCCCTTCACAATGAAAAATTAAAGAAGGGGTGGGGAATGCAGCCCGGTGCCGAGGCCTCCGGTTCAATTCCGAGAACTACAAACTAAAATAACATAACATACCGGTGTGTGTGGTACCTGCATCCACCTAAGGGAAAGAAAGCAGGCCCAGAGGCTGTGAGTGCAGGAAGTGCAGGACAGGCCAGATCAGGCACAGAGTGAGTGGGCAATAGTGCTGGCCACTTTGGGGTGATGGAATGTTCTGGAACAAAGTGGCGATGGGTACCTAGCAGCGAACAGGCTGAATCCCACTGGACTGGATGTTTTAAATGGGTCAATGTTAGGGTGCGCATTCTTGCCCCAACCACTTTTAGCTCGGTTTCAATTTCTAATTTGTCCAACACTGATCCATAAATCAAGCCCTGGGGGGCGGCCTCCCGTTTTTGGATCCTGAAACCAAAAAGTGTGAGAACCTTGGCCAAGGGCTGAAGGCCGCCAGGTGGCAGGGACGCTGCTGCAGAACTCCGGAAGGGGAGCTCCTACCCACCCTGCTGTATTATTTCCTTGCTAGGCCCAACTTCAAAACAGAACACAGAACTACTGCCCTCTGCTGTCACCAGCACTTCAGAGAGGACAGCAGGGGCGGGAGCCACCACAGTGCCAGCTCTTGTCAGCATCATCCCCACTTTACAGGATGAAGCACCCGAGTCCTCCAGTGGGGAGGCAGCAGGGCAGGGCCTGGGATTCAGACAGCCAAGCTCTGGAGCTCACTGTGAGGGTCAGGCTGGCCTCAAACTCCTGGTGATCCACCTGCCTCAGCCTCCCAGGTGCTGGAATTATAGGTGTGTGCCACCATGCCCAGCCCTGAGAGTCTCTCAGCGACCATCGGCTCTGTACTTGTGGGGTCAAAGCAGTCTTGCACATCATGGCATGAAACGGAAAAGCTATCCACGAGCATAACTGCAGTAAAACCAAGACAACACCACGATGCATGGCTGTGTCACGCATGATTATCACAGGCCACAAAATGTATTGTTCTTTGACTTTACCTAATTATTTAAAAATAAACATACAAAACCCTTTGTAATCCCAGCACTCTAGGAGGCTGAGGTAGGAGGACCAAGCCCAGCCTGGACAATTTAGCAATTTAGTGAGACTCTCTAAAATAAAAAAACAGTTGGGGATGGCAATATAGCTCAGGGACACAAGCGCCCGACTAGCAAGCGTGAGGTCACGAGTTTGATCCCTGGTACTTGCCCCCCCCACCAAATAAAATAAAATAAAGTAGAAAGCAGAGTCTAGGAATACAGATTATCATGAAGGCTCTGGGTCAATCCCCAGGGCTGCAGGCAATACAAAAACAGGTGGCAGCGACAACAATCAGATACTGGATAAGGGAATTGTATCTACAACATGTAAAAACTTGTAATTCAGTAATAATATAATGTAAAAATGAGCAAAGGATGTGAACACACTTTCTCCCAGGAAGACACATGAATAGCCAATAAGCATATGAAAAGATGTTCAGTACCATGAGTCACAAAAGAACCATAATGAGAGCTACAATAAACTGGGTGTGGTGGTACACACCTGTAATCCTAGTCCTGGGAGGCTGAGGCAGGAGGATCACTGTGAGCTCCAGGCCAGCCTGGGCTACATAATTTACACAGTGAAGACCAGGTTAAGTTACACAGTGAGTTCCTGTCTCAAAAATAAACCCTTAATGAGACACCAGTTCACGCCATGAGGATAACTATGGGAAAACCAAAACAACAGATGATGATGGTAAGTGTTGTTAAGAATGCAGTCAAGATCTGGGGATTTAGCTCAGTGGCATAAGCACCTGCCTTGCAAGAGTACAGTCGTGAGTTTGATCCCTGGTACCGATTTAAAAAAAAAAAAAAAGAATGCAGTCAAATTAGAATCCTCACACAGTGCTGGTAAGAAAGTGAGGTGGCATTGCCACTTTAGACCTACTTGGCAGTATGCAAGTGCCTGCCTGGGAAGTGCAAGGTCCTGAGTTCGAATGCCAGTCTAAAAAAAAAAATCTGACAGTTCCTTTAAAGATTCAATGTAGATGCCATTTGACTTAGCATTGCACAGAAATGAGAACACATGTACACACAGAGACTTGTACACACAGTGAAGTGCCACAGCACTGCCATAGCTGTAATCTGAACTATATCAAAGGCTGAGATAGGAGGATTGAAAGTTTGAGGTCAGTTGCAACTTAGAAAGAAACTGCCTAAAAATAAAATGCAACAGGGAATTAAAATGCTGGGCATGGCGATGCCTGCCTATAATACAAGCACTGGGGAGGCTGAGGCAGGAGGATAGCTTCATGTTCGAGGCCAGCCTGGGCTACAAAGTAAGTTCAAGGTCAGACTGAACTGCATGGTGAAATCTTGTCTCACTCACACAAACACATACAGCTGGTAGGGTGCTCGGTATGTAGCTCAGTGACAGCACACTACTAGGTTCAATTCTTAATAACTGAAAAAACAAAACAAAAGTTGTACACAAATGTTAACTAACGGTATTACTTGCTTTTGAGTTTGTTTCCTGTTTTTTTGTTTGTTTTGGTACTGGGGATTGAACTCAAACTTCGTGCTTGCCAGGCAGGTACTTAGGCCACTGAGCTACATCACCAGCCCTTTGTTTTCTGTTTTTTTGCTGGGTAGTTCAGGGTGGTCTGGAACTTTCTATGAGGCCCAGGCCAGTCTCAAACTCTTGGTGATCCTCTTGCCTCAGAGTCCTGAATGCTGGGATTATAGGCATGAGCCATCACGCCCGGCTTGATAATGGTGCTCTCTGTAATAGTGAAAAGAGGAAACAATCCAAAAGGCAATCGGCTAGTCTAGATGGAATAGACACGAAATGTGCCCTAGATTACACAATGAAACATTATTCAGCCACAAAAAGAAGTACTGGTACATGCTACATGGATGGACCTGGAAAATGTATGTTAAGTGAAAGAAACCAGTCAGGGAGGACCACAATATCATTCAGGGGAGTGAGCTCAGTGTACAGCACCTGCCACTTGCTTATCATGTGTGCAAAACCACATATTGCATGACTGCATTTCAGTGAAATTGTGCAGACTGATGGCAGTGCCAGGCACAGTGGAGCAAACCTGTAATCCTAGCATTCGGGAAACCAAGGCAGGAGGATCACCAAGCATTTGAGGCCAGCCTGGGCTACACAGCAAGAGTTTATCTCTAAAAAGCAAAAAGGAGTGGTGGCATCTTGGTAAGTCCCTATCTCTAAATAAGTGAATGTATAAATAAATAGAAAAGGGATGGGGATGTAGTTCAGTCAGAAGTCCTTGTTTTAATCCCCAGTACTACAAACAAAGAGATAAATTGATGGTGGTAGTGGAATAGTTTCTTGTATGACCATACTAGAAATTACTGAATTACACATTTTAAGTGAACGAATTGAACCAGGCGCACACACCTGTAATACTAACACTCGGAAGGCTGATGCAGAAGTCAATCTGCAATACATGGAGAGATCCTGTCTCAAAAAACAGGCCTTGCAGCTTGATATCAAGCTGCAGTGAATGAATTACATGATATAGGAATCACATCCTGCTGGGCATGGTGGTGCTTATCTATAAACCCGGCAATTAGGAGGCTGATGTATGAGGGTCATGAGTTCGATTCTTAGTACCAAAAAAAAAAAAAAAAAAAAAAGCAGGTGGAGTACTAGGGGCTGCTCTACAAAAGATTTAAAAGGCATAACAGCTGTCACTTGACTGGGTCGTCAGTTAAGAAAATAACAAGCTGGATGTAGTGGTACAGGTCTGTAATACCAACACTAGGGAAGGATCTTTAAGAGTTCCAGACCATCCTGGGCTACAAAGTGAGCTCAAGGCCAGTTTGAACTGCATAGTGAGATAGTGAGATCCTGTCTCAAAAAGAAAGAAAGAACGAACAAACAAACAATGGTATTTTTGAGCTGGTGATGTAGCTCAGTGGTACAGTGCTTGCTTAGCATGAGCTCTGAATTTGATCTCCAGCATCAAGAACACACTATTTCTGAGGCACTAGATCTGAATATGGCCTAAGTAGTGGATCACATTCTAGCAGGACGATTGAGTGCTTACCCTGATAATGTGTTACATGTGGGATCGTATTTTTAAAAAGTCCTTGGTTTTCACCCATGAATCCTAAACTAGGGATGAATTGTCACGATGGCTAGAATCTGTTTCGACAAGTTTAAGTTGAAAAACATATTCAGCAAGTATATTCAGCAAAGACACCACGGCGACAAATCTAGGCAAACAGAGATGTGTATATACATACACTTGAACATTCTCACAATAAAACATTAGAACTGTTTCCAGGACCCTGCAAGGCCACACTGAACTGGCAGCACAATTAAATGAAAGCTAAGGTGGGCCTGACTCCAAAGCTCCACAAAAGAAAACCGTACACCCTACCGCAGCCCCGAGAAAAGGGGTTGTCAAAGGGTTCAGAGAAGACACCCACAGGTGACCGTGACCGCACCCGCCTACCGCCTGCCCGCCCTCCTCCGCCCACTCTGGGACACTGAGGTCAAGAAACGATTCCTGCTTCCTCAACTACGAATTCTTAGGCCCTGGAGGCTCCCCAGTCCTCTCTGTTCATCTGGACCTCCAACCCATCGTCCTCCATCGCGGAACTACTCTCCCCAAAGAACAGACCAACGGCGCGTTGAACGCTTCCAAGGGATGCTGGGAGATGTAGTTCACCCTCCAACTTGGAGCGCCCGGAAAGCTCAATTAATGATTTACAAGGAGCCGGGAATCCGACACCTAGCCCTACTAGTTACCCTGTGGAGCCCCAGAGCTCTACCTCGCAGGGTTGTACCTCAGCCACACCATCCCTTTGTCTCCTGGAACTCACCTCACAAACGACGCCTCGCTCCCTCTTTTCTTTAGCAGCGCAAATACACCGGAAGGGAGTGCTGTTTTTCTCTTCCTCTCCGCCTCCTTCCGTCTGACAGTAGAGACCGGAAATAAAGCTGCCCCTAGTTGCCGAGGTGCTTTCCCAGGCTTGGTAAGTCCTTTCTTCTTTTCTTCCTCCCTCCGGAAACGTGAGTTGCAAGTAGAAGGTTCCGGTTAATGAAGCTGGTATGAATACAGGGATTGCTTCGTATGTACAGTATTAGGCATTTCCCAGCATAGATTTTCCACTCCATCCCCAAGCTTTGCGTCTTCCAAACCCAAGTTTAAGAACTAACCACTTACGCCAGAGGTTGGGATACCTGTTGCTTCAAATTTATTATCTATTTTTCATGCTGTATCTTCAGGGATTATTGAGAAGTGGGAACTCCACTGTTCCCACTTTATAGACAGAGCGACAGAGAAATCGAAATCCAGAGCCGTTCAAGTCACTGTTAGGAAGCAGGGATTTATTAAGACAGTCCTGGATCGCAGGGACCAAGGCATACCGTTTCTGCCAGTTTCTAGCTATCTAGGGTCTTAGGCATTTATTTTCCTAGCTGGCCAGGCAAGCTCCCGGGGGAGCGACAGGCCTGAGAGATGGGAGTAAGGTAGAGGAGGAAGTGTAAATCCAGTCCCCTGTGCTCCTTAAGGCCCATGGCAGTGGACACCCTGGCTCCTCTAAGGAGAGCTCTGGCCCTTAGAACCTTTCTCCTAAGGTCCCTTTAAAACATTTGTCCCTCACCTGAGTCCCGCCCAAGGCAGGTAATGCAAGCCCCGCCCCAGTACCAGAAACCGGGATCTGGCTGGGTTACCATCGGGGTTGAGGACCTTCCTCCTTCTCTTCCCCTCTCCCAGCTGGCTGCTGCTGGCCGAGGAGGTCCCAATTGAAGAGGAAGGACAGTGTTCACACATCTGGCCAGGTAAGTGCATGTACCTGGAGTCAGAACCTGGCTTGGGGACCCTATGGTACTGGCCCCCAGCCTCCTAAGACTAATTAGTTTGGAGTCCCCAGTACCAGGAGTTCAGAGATGCTGCCCCCTCATGGTTTCAGATCCAAAAATACAGGACCTTGCTGTGCCTGTGATCTTTGATCTCTGTGGGTGGATGTAGCAATGGGCAGGGAGAGGCATAAGTGGAAGCTGCTAGGGTAGTGGAAGAACCCCAGCTACCAAGGAAGCTGCGTCTCAGCACTGACTGCACTGCACACTGACCAGGAAGAAAAAAATACATCGTGCTGTCATACTCCTCTCTAAAAACACTGCCTTCCCTCAAATCCTGGCTCAGGTACTTGCAAACCGTGTGTTGGTAGGCCAGTTATTTTACCTCCTTTGGCTTTAGTTTCCTCATCTATAAAATGGGCACAATAGACCTGCTGGGAAAGTGACAACAAGTTGATGCAGCACCTGCTCTTATCCCTATTTATGACCGCAGAGCCCAATCAGTGGGTGACCCTTTGCCTTATTCCTCAGGGGCTGAGGCATTGGTCCCCCGCACTGCACCTGGTTTCAGGAGTCCACAAAATATGAGGGGCCACCCTTCCCTGCTGCTGCTCTACATGGGGTTGGCCACCTGTCTGGACTCCTCTCCCAGTGGAGAGCAGGACCAAGGTAGGTTAATGGGCAACAAGGTAGGTTAATGGTGGCCAGAGGATTGGCCTCTGCCTTTCTACATCCCCTCTCCATGTCCCCTTCACTCCGGGGCTCCAGGGCCCTCCTCCTCCAGATCAGGAGTCCAGGCCCCAGACCTTCCTCTCAGGAGACCTCCTAGATCTCCATCTCCTTCTGTCTCCAGGCCTAGGGACTTTCTGTTTTTCTGCCCTCACATCTTTAGGGCCTGAAGTCTTTCTTGGCCCCTCAGAGGCCCAGGGGTTCCTGAAGGGCCACAGGAGGGTCCCACGAGCCAATCACTGGGACCTGGAGCTGTTCACACCAGGGAACCTGGAGCGGGAGTGCTACGAGGAACAGTGCTCCTGGGAAGAGGCCAGGGAGTGCTTCGAGGACAACACCCAGACGGTGAAGCCAAGGGAGCCCTGAAGCCTGGACCCTCTGTCCTCTCCAGGCGTAGGGGAAGGGGACCCTGGACCTCAGCCTCTTCCTCCGTGGGGACTCAGAGGTCAGGTTGGGCTGCTTTGGGGGGCTGTGAGTCTCCCTGTTGAACTTCTGCTTTTCCTCTTTTCTTCCCCTTCGGCCTGTTAAGAATACGTTTTGGGAGACCTACCTCTACAATGGCAAAGGAGGTGAGTGGGGCCCACACCCACTTGTGCTGTGCAGTGAGGATCGCCAGTTCCCATGGGGGCCAAAGCCATGTCCCTCACCCCAAAATAGATGCAAGACTTATCTGATCCCCAGTTCATGTCTCTGAAGATGACCATTATGGAGTCCCCTTATTTAACAGTAGAATCCCATCTTCAAAACCCACTGTCCTGCATGTGCATTTAGAGGAGTTCCTGAGTCCCCAGAAAGGGAGCAGTGCCATGGAGGGAGGGTTACAGCCACAGGACCCATCCAAAGGGTGAGCCAGCCCTGAGTTCTTAGGAGTCCAGACCCCAGCCCCTATTTTTGCTGGGGGAGGGGGGGTGTTGCCACTCCCCAGGGTGGAGCCAGGGCCAGAAGCCTTGCCATGCTCAGCTGTTCTGTCCACCCTGCTGCTTTGCCAACCCCAGCCCCTCCTTTGAATTGTGAGGCTCCATCCTGACTGCAACCTTGTTGCTAAGGGGGGTGGCTCCTTAGCAACGGGGTCTGGTCAGGCCAGCCTGAGGGAGCCCCAAGCGCTACCTGGCTGTCTTCCCCTCCCCCACAATCCCATCCCAGCTGCAGCAGCCTAGTTGCTAAGGAGGCCTTCTCCCTAGCAACTGCACCTAGTTGGAGTAGCCAAGGCTTCTTGCCCGCTGGAGGACCCCCCTCTGGGCACCAGATGCCCCACCCCTTCATGGCCTGGTTGCTAGGGGTGGATGCACCTTAGCAACAGGCTCTAGGACTGGGCTGGAGTCTTCACATTGGAGCCTGGTTGCTAAGGGGAGCAGGTCCTTCACTATAGATCTAGTGAGGCCTAGTTGGCTACTGAAGTCCATGAATCTGGACATCTTGCTTCCTCAGTACAGGTTTTTCCTACAGGGGCAAAAGTCTCAGGGTTTAGTCTTTCAGGGGCACTGTCCTTCCAGTGCCAAAAGAAATGTCATCAAGCTGGGCATGGTGGCACATGCCTGTAATTCCAGAGTTCTAGGAGGCTGAAGTGGGAAGATGACAAATTGGAGTCTTGCCTGTGGGCAGTTTAACAACTTAGCAAGACCCTGTCTCAAAATAAACCAGGAAATAAAAATTAAAAAAAGAATGGGGAATGTAGCTCAGTGGGAAGTCTCCAAGTTCAATCCCCAGTAGCAAGTGCCCCCTTGGAATGCCAAAGGGGGCTGTATCTTATCACAGGCCTACTTGAGTTCTTGACTTACAATTATTTGAGGGGGTGTGTCTCTAGAATCCATCATTGTTAAGTGATGTTTTTCCAAAGCCTTCCTGTAGATCATGACTACAGATTAGCGTTGAGGCCTCTTCCTTCAGTGGCCTAATCAGTAGAAGGGGTTGCATTCCAGAGCAGGTGAAGATCCAGATAAAATACTGGAAGCTTGGCCTCCCCCTCGCCCCCTCCCTCACAGGTAAATTTAGGTGCACAATGAAAGCAATTCTCAAAGTGTAGCTATATCCCAAATACTTCAAGGGATATACTATTATGCTACAATGTATTTTTTGTTGCTAGGCACATAGCTATAATTCCAGCACTCTTGGGAGGCTGAGGCAGCAGGATACCAAGTTCAACCCCAGCCTGGACAACTAAGTGATTTTTTTGTTTTATTTTCTCAAAAATAATCAGCAGATAAATAAATAAATAGGCTAGGGATATAGCCTAGTATGAAGGTCTTGATTTCAGTCTCCAGTACCAATAAAGAAAGAAAGAATCGTTATTTATCTGAATGTCATTTAATTGAATGCCCTGTTCTTGCTGGCTCCATCTGACAGTGTAGGAGCCTCTTTGTTTACTTTTGTGGCACTGAAGTCTGAGCCTGTGAAGACTGTACACTGAAGATTGAGCCAATGTGAAGACTGAGGTCTTTTGCACTGACCTACATCCCTAACCTATTTAATTTATTTTTGCATCGGGAATCGAACTCACAGCCATGTGCTTGAAGGCAGGCACTTATGCCACTGAGCTTAATTCCCAGCTAACCTTTTTTTATTTTGAGACAGGGTCTAAGTCGCTAGGTTTCCCAGGCTGGACCTGAACTTGTGACCCACCTGCCTCAGCCTCCCACAATGCTAGGATTATAGCTATGTGCCAGGGCACCTGGGTTAGGGGCCTCTTGAAGCCAGCAGCCACCTGAGCACCCCACCCTGACTTTGTAGATAGATCACTTAAAAGCTGTACCCCCTGACTCTCGGGTCCCAGAGCCATCCCATGTCAGCAGAGGGCCTGCCTGTGTTGTCATGGGGCTGCAGCCTCCCAGTTCCTAATTCCAGGTGAAGTTAGTACAGCCTCTTTGTGTGGTAGAATTGCCTGAGGTCACAGGAGTAACAAGTGGTCCCAGCTCTGGGGGTGGGGGTGTGGGATTGGGAAGTTGGGGTCCAGGTAGCCCAGGACATACCAGCTTCCCTTCCCCACAGGGCAGAGACGAGTGGATGGAGCAGCCTTGGCCGTGGGGCTCACGTCTGGCATCATGCTCATCATCTTGGCCGCCCTGGGAGCCTTCTGGTATCTGCATTATCGGCAGCGCCAGACCTCAAGCCAGCAGCTGAGTCCCCAAGAGTAAGGGGGCAGGGAGGGAGGAAGAGTTGGTCTAGGCCTGAGGACTGGGATGAGAGCATGCGGAATGCTTGGAAGAGACAGGCATGTGGAGAGTCTAGTGGCCGCTTCTGCCTCTGTATGTCTGCCCAACACACAGTAGGGGCTCTAGTAGCATTTGCTACCTGCCTGTCTTTGAGGTTCCAGGTGCCCAGGAGAACACTGCTCTGGATACTCTTATCTGTGGCGAGGCTGTTACTGAGCAGCCTGTGGTCCATGGCTGCCTGTGGCCGTTTCCATGGTGACAGGGAGCAGCTTGTGTTTGTGTGCCGTGAGAGGTCTAGGTGTGTCTTTCACTGGCAGGGTCTCAAAGGGGATCTGAGTGTCACAGGATAGGGTGGCTCTGGGTTTTCTTTAAAGTATTAGTGTGACCTAGTAGCTCTGTGTTGTGCTCCTGTCTGTATGGATCTACTGAGTTCTACCTGTCATCTGTCTGTGTGTCTGTCTACCTGCCTGTCTCAGGGCTGCTTCTCCATTACTCTGCCTGTTACCTGGTAGATCTGTGAATGAAAAGCTTTCTCTGTGGGTCCTTTTTTTTTTTTTTTTTTTTTTTTTTTGGTGGGACGCCTGGATACTGGCAATAGAATCCAGAGTCTTCACACTGAACAACATCCCCAGCCCTTTTTGAGACAGGGTCTCACTAAGTTGCCAATTGCCTAAGATGGGCTTGAACTTGTGCTCCTCCTATCTCAACCTCCCAGAATGCTGGATTACAGATGTACACGTAGTTTTTATCTTTTCCTTTTTTTAAAAACACGGCCTTGACGGGTGGTCCACATGACCTTGAACTCACTTTGTAGCCTGGGCTGGCCTCTTAACTTGACACAATATTCCTTCCTCAGCTTCCCCTAATGCTGGGATTACAGGCCTATACTCCTTTCTGTGTCTACCTGCCATGTACCCAGCCTGCCATGTCAGGCGCTTTTTCTGCAAGGCTGAAGGTGACCCTCCTTTCCTCAGGTCTATTTCCCTTCTCTGCCATCCTAGGCTGTAGCTTGTCTCTATCCTGTCTATCTCCGTCTCTAGCCTGGACCTCCCCACCCCAAGTCAGCCTTTTCTGTTTCCAGAACCAACCTCATCAGCCCTTTGAACCCTCCAACGCCCCTGGCTGCACCCCGACCCCCAGGCCTCCCGACCTATGAGCAGGCACTGGCAGCCTCTGGGGTGCATGACGCACCTCCACCCCCTTACTCAAGGTAGGAGAGGAGCTGCTAGGGGCGGGGGCAAAGGGGGAGGAGGGACGTGGTCTGGGCGGGGCTTGGATAACCTGGGGGCAGGGCTTGAAGTCGGGGGCGGGGCCCTGCGCAATTGTCTACAGAGGCGTGGACCAGCGTTAGAAGAGTGGAGTATTACAAGTATACAGAAGGGTGGGGCTTGTGCCCAGAAGGTCCAGGATTGGCTGAGGCACCAATCTTGGTGTTTGTGAAGGGGGACCAGCCAGATCTTTGACTCCCTACTGTGCTCCTCCCCTTGTAGCCTCAGGAGGCCTCAGTGAAGAGCTGCTGCAGAGCCGGGGCTCCCCTGAACCGTGCCCCCGATTCACAACGGATTCCGGAAGTCCCCAGGCCTCTTAAAAGTCTCGAGCTGAGCTGGAGGTGGAGGGAGATCAGGGGTCGTCCCCTAGAGGCCTACCCTGGCACACGTGTTTCCGCTGCATACAGACACACACACCAATGTGTTGTAGAGCTGGGGTATCTCCCTCGCTTGCTCCCTGCCAACTGGCGGGGGGGGGGTGTCGGGCGGAATACCGGCCAGTCCAGTCCTCAGAATAGGTATACGAGCCGGCGCCAGTGAAGACTTTGTGGCCAGACGTGACTTGACCATCGCCCTCCGGTGCCACGGGGCACGTACGCGCGGAGAGCCCCGCCCGTGCACACGCCTGCTTTCCTCCAGCCCCCGTGCGCGCACAGGGGTGCTTCATAACCCAGAAAAGGGTGGGGGGCGTATTTGCAAGGGTGCTGGAGGGGGCAGGTGCTCAGGTTGCACCCAGGGAACCACAGTTGAGCTGTTCTAGATAAAAACGTTTGGAAAGGAACTCCCTCAAAAAAGCCGAAACAATGCAAAAACAAATAAAAATCTAATGAACTAAATCTCATTCTCGAGCGCATCTGCCCGTGGCAGAGCTAATTTTCTGTACCAGCGCAGTGCCCTACACCCCCAGGCACTGTTAGAGCTCAGTGGCTCAGTCTCTCTCTCCCTCTCTTTTTTTTTTTTTTTTTTTGCATTTGCACGGGATTGTGGGAGGAAGCGGAGCGCAGCCAGACACCCCGCCGCCCGCCCCCCTTCCCCTCCCCCTCCCCAGCCGCCTTGTGCAAAGATGGCTGCACCGTGAGCGCAGAGGAGGAGGAGGCGGCGGCGGCGGCGGCGGCGAGAGAGCGAGCACCCAGCGCCTGCACCCACCCCGGGGCCGCCCGGGACGCCCCCTCCCGAGCGCGTGCCCCCCCTTCTCTCTTGCAAGCGCCGGGGCAAAGGCGGAGACAGCGGGGTCCCTCCTCCCCCTCCTCTAGGGGGAACCCCCCCTTCCCCCTTCTTGGCTCAGCAGCTGCACACCCTCCTTTGCCCGCCCCTCGGTCCCTGCCCCCTCCCTCCCCCGCCCCGGACCTTCCCGGGCCTTTGGTGGCTGCAAAGAGAAAAAACAGAAAAGGGGGGAAAAAAGCAGCGGAGGGAGCGGCGGCGGAGGAGAGCGCGCGCGCGCCCCCTCCTTCCCCTCCCTCCCCCTCCCCCTCCCCCCAATTTCCACCGCGGCCAATTCATGGACAGGAACTACCCCAGCGCCGGCTTCGGGGACCCGCTCGGCGCCGGGGCGGGATGGAGTTACGAGAGGTCAGCGAAAGCTAGGTAAGGAGCTGAGGGTGGCCTGGAGAAAGAGGCCAAGGGGTGGGGGCCTGGCTGGGCCGGGCCGGGCCCGCCCGGCGACTCGTGCATCGCAAACTCCCCTCCGGCTTGCAAGGGAGCGGCCTTCTTCGGTTTGTAAGGACGCCGCCGCCCCAGTTTGCAAATTACAAACTCCGCCAAAGCCAACTCCGTCTTGCAATGGGAGAAATGCAGCGGGAAAATATGGGTGCAAAACAATTTTGGACTGGGAGGCCTTGGGAAGGTGGGAGGGACTGGCGAAGCAAGGCCTGGACTTCCCCGCATCCTTGGATTCCCGGCTTGCTGTACCCTCCCCCCCAGCACCTCTGGCTTTGCTCTTGTAAAGATGGAAGGAAAGGAGAATTGGAACGCCGACCTGGGGGGCGCGCACCCCCTCCCAGGTCCTATTGTTCCGGAATTGCGCGAGGCAGGGCCTATTAGCCCCCCCAAGAAATTCCGCGCGCAGAGTGGGCCACGGGCCCCGCCCCCTTCTTAAGCTTGGGTTAATGGGGGGGGGTCTGGCATTTGAGACACACCCCCTTGAACTCCCCATCCGCAAAGACGCAACCCTATTTAATGTCCTGAAGCGAGAACCCTCTTAAGTCTCGGCCACGGATTTGGGCCGTTGCATGAGGAGAATTGGATGTTTGGTGGGGGGATGCGAACATGGGCTAGGTGCGTGCGTGCGTGGTTGGCTGCGTGTTCTCCTGTGCATCTGCCCCTTTCCAGTGTGGCCCTCCCGCCTCACCTGCCCCCTCCCCCACTTCCACCTGGCTTCCCGTCGGGATTTTTCGTTTGGGACTCCTCGCTCTGAGGCTTTTCTTCTTCACGGGCCAGCTGAATGCCCGTGTACACACGTACCTGGTTTTGCTTGGGCCCATGCATGGGAACCTCAACCCCTAGGGATGGACGGATTCGTGTTCGCACTTGTACCTGGTACTTTCCCCGGCCCTCCGCCCTCCCCCTCCGGTTGTGAGACCAATCTATCTCCGGCCCCAGCTAGGTTTGCATGGCCCCCTGAGGCTCAGGACCTGTCCCGATCCAGCGACGGGTATCCTTGTGCACCTATGGGGTGGGCCCCATGGTGGTCTGTGTCACCACCACGCAGGGAGGTGAAAGGACGGTAGGAGAACCACGCCTTTTGCATTTTCAACTCAGGACACTTCTTCCGAATTGATTTGTGCGTTTCTGGTTGCATGCCTGTGTTTGTAAACGTAAAACTCTCTGGGCTCTATTTACCGGGATTCTGCAGTAGGGGCCATTTCTATGGCTATTGGGCATCCTATTGCCTTGTCATTTCCCTCTTAAGAGCCCAAGGCGCCTTGGGATAACCCCCTAAATCAGCTGGAAGCCCCCCAAGAAACTCTTCGGGGATTTCCTGAGCTCTTCTCTCGGAGGGCATTTTGAGAAGACATTCTGATATCTTCCCTTTCTCCTAGCTTGGTCTATGGCAGCTCCAGGACCTCGCACCCCGAAACGGACATCTTACATCGACAGGCCTACGCGGCCCCCCACCCACTGCAAAGCTATGCCACCAACCACCACCCGGCAGGTACGGCCCCCATCCCGCCCGGTTTAGCTTCTGCCCTCCTTCCCCAACAGCTGGTTGGCTGCTGAAAGTTCCGCCCCTCCTAATTGGTCGTGCCGAGTGTCGTGGCCCTCCTCTTACTGTCTCTCCTCTGATTGGTTGCTGGTTGCAGCTTAATTTCACGCCGGATTCGTCAGCCGCTTCCCCGCCCCGCCCCTTTTGCTCCAATTGGCCCCATCCCTTCAGCCCCCAAATCCCACCTTCTCTTCCAGGCCTTTCGGGCTCTCTCCAGCCACTCCAATGCTTTCCCTCCGAATTAGCCCCATTCTCTTGGCTCCTTTTGCCGTCTTAATTCTTTCTTCCTAATTCTCTTTCTTTCTGATTGGCTCCACTTTGGTCCTCCCTTTTTTGTTGGATTTGCCCACTGCCTTATTTGGTCCCTCTGGCCCAGCCTCCCACGCATTCTGATTGGTTCCCTTCTTGCTGTCCTGAGTCCCAGATGTATCAGCATTAAGGAGATGGTGCTGTCCATTTGACCCCTGGCCCTGCTGATTGTCCTCTTCCCTGTCTCACTTCCACCTTTTTTTTTGCTGGCTCCTCCACCTTGGTTTAACCCTTTTGACTTTTCGGAGGGTCCTTCCGAGATTGCATTTGCCCCATCCCCTCCTATCTTTGCTTGAATTTCTTGAATCCTCTGGCATACTCCCCCATCCCAAAGCCTAATTGAGGATGGTCCCCTGCCCCCCCCCCCCTTTTTTTTTAAGATAAGGTCTAACTAGGAGTAGTCTAGGTTGACCTTGTACTAAGTTGCCCAAGCCGACCTTGAACTGATGGTCATTTTTATTTTTTGTCTTTTTGAGACAGGGTCTCACTATGTGGTTCAGGCTGGCCTTGGGCTCACTTTGTAGTGATCCTCGTGCCTCAGTCTCCTGAGTGTTGGGATTACAGAAGTGTACCACCATGCTGGGCAAACTGGCAATCTTTTTGCCTCAGCCTCCCAAGGCCTTAGATGGAAGGCATACTCTACCAGCCCTGGCCTTTTTTTTTTTTTTTTTTTTTTTATCAGTACCGGGGATGGAACTCACGACTGCCTGCTTGCAAGGCAGGGGCTTATGCGGCTGAGCTAAATCCCCAGCCCCAGCCCTGGCCTTTTTTGTTCTTTTGGCTGTTTTTCCCATCTGAGCTCCCTGCCCTTATGCATGGATTGCATCCCGTCATGCTGAACTATGCCTTCCCTCTACTAGGCCTAGTCTAGGCCTGCTTTGGACTGGTTTCTGCTCTGTGAATCAACTCTTCCTTTTCTCTGCAGCCCTTTTCTCTGATTCTGTCTGCTTGGTTTGACTTACTGCTTTTCTCTCAGTATCCCTGCCCCTCACTTAGCTAACTCTGTCCCCTGTCCCTGGCCAGGCCTCTCAGGACTCTTTGACACTGGCCTTCACCACGCGGGCTCGGCAGGGCCCGACGCCTCCGTCATGAACCTCATCTCGGCCCTGGAGTCTCGGGGCCCCCAGCCTGGCCCTTCTGCCTCCTCTCTCTTGTCCCAGTTCCGCAGTCCTTCCTGGCAAACAGGTAAGCCCAGTGTCTGCCCTGGAGGGTGGGGGTGGGGCTGGCACGTGGGCAGCTCTGATCTCCTCTCCACCATCCCCAGCCATGCACACTCCAGGCCCCACGGAGCTCTTCATCTCGGGCGCCCTCCCAGGTTCCAGCACCTTCCCGTCCTCCTCTGCCCTGTCAGCCTACCAGCACCCGGCTTCCTTCGGCAGCCGTCCTTTCCCAGTGCCCTCGTCCCTCAGCCTCCAGGACCCTCCATTCAGCCCTCCCGCTAATGGGCTCTTGTCCCCTCACGACGTGTTGCACCTGAAACCCTCGCAGGCACCCACGGTGCCCTCCTCCTTGGGCTTTGAGCGCCTGGCAGGGGGTGGTGTTCTGGGGCCTGCGGGCCTTGGCCCAGCCCAGACACCCCCTTACCGCCCCGGCCCCCCAGATCCACCCCCACCTCCCCGACACCTCCCAACTCAGTTCAACCTGCTGGCTTCTTCTTCTGCCGCTGCTGCTGCTGCCGCTGCTGAACAGTCTTCCCCACAGCTCTACAACTTCTCCGGTGCTGCCCCAGGCCCGCCACCCCCGGAGCGGGCCCTACCCCGCCAGGACACTGTCATCAAACACTACCAGCGGCCGGCCAGTGCCCAGCCTCCCCCGCCCCCTCCCCCAGCCCACGCCCTCCAGCACTACCTGAGCTGTGGTGGCAGCTACCCCTCCATGGGGCACCGGGCCAACCTGGCCTGCAGCCCCCTGGGTGGTGGCGAGCCCTCCCCAGGTGCTGGTGAGCCCAGCAAGGCTGGTCCCAGTGGAGCCACAACTGGAGCATCAGGCCGAGCCACTGGCCCAGAGGTGGCTGGGGGAGGCGGGGCTGGGGCTGGAGCTGGAGGCTACCGCCCCATCATTCAGTCTCCTGGTTACAAGACAGGCAAAGGTGGTTATGGAGCCACTGCAGGGGGTGCCACTAGGCCTCCACCACCCCGATCGACTGCCACACCCAAATGCCAGAGCCTGGGGGGCCCACCAGCGGCATATGCCACGGGGAAGGCCTCTGGGGCAGCGGGTGCTGGGGGCCAGGCTTATTCCCCTGGTCAGCCCCAAGGGCTCCTGGGACCCCAGGCTTACGGGCAAGGCTTCGGAGGAGGTCAGGCACAGGACTTAAGCAAAGGCCCCAGCTACTCAGGGGGTCCCCCCCAGCCTCCCAGCGGCCCACCACCTCCAGGCCTAGCCACATGTCAGAGCTACTCCCCTGATCAACTGCAGGGACAGCTGTATGGGGTGCAGGGCGAGCCCTACCCTGGGCCAGCTGCCCATTCCCAGGGGCTACCTACAGCCAGTCCCTCACTCAGCTACAGCACTGGCCATTCCCCGGCACTCTCAGGCCATGGAGGTGGCTGGGGACCTGGCTCCCTGGGAGGTGGCGGGGAGGCCAGTCCCTCCCACATCATTCGCCCACTTCAGTCACCACCTGCCACAGGCCGCCCGCCTGGAGTGGGCTCTCCAGGAACCCCTGGCAAATACCTGAGTTCAGTCTTAGCCTCAGCCCCTTTCCTGGCACCCCCTGGAGCTGGCAGCTACGCAGCCGGAGCAGGTGGCTACAAGGGCAAAGGCGAGGGCTCAGAGCTGCTGGCTGGCCCTGGGGGTCCCCCAGCCCAGCGCACAGAGGACGAGGAGTTCCTTATTCAGCACCTCCTGCAGGCGCCTAGCCCTCCAAGGACCTCAGGGGCAGAGGGCTTGGTGGGTGAGGAGGGGGCAACAGATGCCTCTAAGGGACTTGGGGGTAGTGGTGGGGCTGGGGGGCCACCAGGCACACCTTATGAGTTGGCCAAGGAAGACCCCCAGAGGTACCACCTGCAGAGTGTAATACGTACCAGTGCCAGCCTGGATGAGGGTGCCACTGCAGCCCTGGAGCTGGGCCTAGGGAGGCTCAAAGAGAAGAAGAAAGGGCCAGAGCGGGGTGGTGAAACCCCGGAGGGACTGGCCACCTCTGTTGTCCACTATGGGGCAGGCGCCAAGGAGTTGGGGGCCTTCTTGCAGAAGAGTCCACCACCTCCGCCTCCCACCGCCCAGCCTGCCCAGCCCAATCCCCATGGGCTTCTCTTGGAGGCTGGAGGCCCTGACCTCCCCATGGTGCTGCCTCCACCTCCCCCCCAGCTACTGCCCTCAGTCCTCAGCCATGCCCCCAGCCCATCTCCCGGAACCCCCAAAGTCGGTGTCCATCTCCTTGAACCAGCTACCCGTGATGGGGCACCCCAGCCACCCCCACCCCCACCTCCGCCACCCATGCCTCTCCAGCTTGAGGCCCACCTCCGTGGCCATAGCCTGGAACCTGCGGCACCCAGCCCCCGCCTGCGCCCTGAGGACAGCTTGGAGCCTCCAGGGGCCATGCAGGAATTGCTTGGGGCACTGGAGCCATTGCCCCCTGGACCTAGTGACACCAGCGTGGGTCCACCTAACTCAGAGGGCAAAGATCCTGCTGGTGCCTATCGAAGTCCCAGCCCACAGGGCACCAAGGCCCCTCGCTTTGTGCCACTGACCTCCATCTGCTTCCCTGACTCCTTGCTCCAGGATGAGGAGCGAAGCTTTTTCCCTACCATGGAGGACATGTTTGGCGGAGGAGCAGCAGATGACTATGGCAAGACGGGGCCCCCTGAGGATGAGGAGGATCCCAAGACAGTTGGGGCACCTCCAGGACCCCCTGCCTATGACCCCTATGGGCCCTACTGCCCTGGTCGGGCATCTGGAGCTGGACCTGAGACCTCGGGCCTGGGCCTGGACCCCAACAAGCCCCCCGAGCTGCCCTCCACGGTCAATGCTGAGCCCCTGGGCCTGATCCAGAGCGGGCCACACCAGGCAGCACCACCACCACCGCCCCCTCCACCCCCTCCCCCGCCCACCTCAGAGCCCAAGGGGGGCCTCACCTCACCCATCTTCTGCTCAACCAAGCCAAAGAAGCTGCTCAAGACGTCCTCCTTCCACCTGCTGCGGCGTCGAGACCCACCCTTCCAGACTCCCAAGAAGCTGTATGCCCAGGAGTATGAATTTGAAGCCGACGAGGACAAGGCCGACGTCCCTGCTGACATCCGCCTCAACCCACGGCGCCTGCCCGACCTGGTGTCCAGCTGCCGTTCCCGGCCAGCCCTCTCACCATTGGGTGACATTGACTTCTGCCCACCCAACCCAGGCCCTGATGGTCCCCGGCGCCGAGGTCGTAAGCCCACGAAGGCCAAGCGTGATGGCCCTCCCCGGCCACGGGGCAGGCCTCGGATCCGCCCGCTGGAGATGCCCACCACCGCAGGGCCTGCCTCCGCCTCTACTGCCGATGGACCCAAGAAGCCCCGGGGCAGGGGCAGGGGCAGGGGCAGGAAGGCAGAGGAGGCAGGAGGTACTCGGTTGGAGCCCCTGAAGCCACTGAAGGTGAGGAGAGCTGGGTGTCCTAACTGCCACAGAGGAGATGCTCCAGGTCACAGAATTTGTTTCGGGGTGGGGTGGGGTTGCATTCCTCAAATGAAAGTGAGGAAGGAGCCAAGAACGGGAGCCTGGGGTCTGGCAGGACCTAGGTCTTGGGTACCAAGTCCTGTCGAAGGGTGAGCAGGCAGGGACCCTGTATTGGGTCATGGGTCAGCTAGCTCTGGGGACTGAACTAGCTGATGAGCATAGGCAGGACATGGGCCATCTGCCATTCTGCCTTTAGAGAAGGGTCTGGAGGATGAGATTCTAGGTGCTGGAAATGTGGGGACAGGATTTGGACCCCTGGGTGCTGACACCCTACTCTCCCCATACATAGATCAAGCTATCGGTGCCCAAGGTGGCTGAGGGTCTCGCAGCCTCGTCAGGTGATGCCATATCTGGCCCAGACCACAACAGCCTGGATTCGAACCTGACTCGGGAGAAGATTGAGGCCAAGATCAAGGAGGTGGAGGAGAAGCAGCCGGAGATGAAGTCGGGCTTCATGGCCTCCTTCCTGGACTTCCTCAAGTCGGGCAAGCGCCACCCGCCCCTGTACCAGGCAGGCCTCACACCACCGCTCAGCCCGCCCAAGAGTGTGCCACCCTCTGTGCCGGCCCGAGGCCTGCAGCCCCAGCCTCCTGCAGCCCCCACAGTACCACATCCACCGCCTGCAGCAGCCTTCGGGCTGGGGGGCGCCCTGGAGGCCGCTGAGAGCGAAGGGCTGGGGCTGGGCTGCCCTTCACCCTGCAAGCGGCTGGACGAGGAGCTAAAGCGGAACCTTGAGACGCTACCCTCCTTCTCTTCGGATGAGGAAGACTCTGTGGCCAAAAACCGGGACCTGCAGGAGAGCATCTCGTCAGCCATCTCTGCCCTGGATGACCCACCCCTTACTGGGCCTAAGGACACTGCCACTCCCGAGGGGCCGCCCTTGGCTACTGCAGCAACAGTTACGGGGCCACCCCCTCTCCCAGGGCTCCCTAGTGCCAACAGCAGTGGCACGCCTGGTGAGCTCCAAGAAGGTGGTCTGGGGTGAGGTAGGGGATTCAGGTTATTAGGGTCGCCTAGGTTCAGTTGTGCAGATTGTGCACTGATGAAGGGGTGGTAGTCCTTTGTGGTTATGTAGCCAGCCACAGTGGCAAAGGTAACTTCCTGATGGAGGGCAAACATGTTTTAAAGAAGGAGCAAATTGTTCTGATGGGCTCAGAAGTGTTACCTGGACCAGCAGGGACCCAGGCTGGACCTGGCGGGTGGTAGGGCCAGAATCGGTTATAAGTGGTGGGAACAGGTCATAAGGGACCCAGAGGGGTTTTGAAATGATGGTGGATGTGGGGCCTGGAGGGGTTCTGAGCACCATCGATGTGTGCTCTGGGGCAAAGCCACACAGCAGGAGAGTGGCAGGTAGGATGGAGAGGCTGGCGGTCACAGTCTGCAGGGCTTCCCTTTTCTGCGATGGTGAAGAGGGAACCCAGGGTCCTCACGCAAAGCTACACCCCCAGACCTATTTCATTTATTTTTGGGGAAGAGCAAGGCGTGGGGGACACTGAACAGAGGTGACCGATGGGAACTGCCATGGGGTCCTAAGCAGACAGCAAAGGGCAGCAGTAGTCAGAGAGCAGGGCAGGGGCTCAGGAGGGCTGGGCGCACACTTGGAAAAGGAGTATGTCTGTTCTGTTCTGTTCTGTTTTGTTGGTTTTTTGAGACAGGCTCTCGCTGTGTAATTCATGCTCCTAAACTGACTAGGTAGTCCAGGCTGGCCTTGAATTTGCAGCAATCCTGCCTCAGCCTCCCAAATGCTGGGATTACAGGCATGGAAGGAGCAGTTCTCAGGAGCCAGGTAGATTTCAGCAGTTAGGTATGTTAAAAAAATTTTTTTAAAGACAGCTCTAGAAGGGAACTGGTAGATGGGCAGTTAGGGGCAGTCCAGGAGGAACAGGAGTTCGGTGCCAGATGAGGGCTTGGAGGGCTGAGATGATTCAGGACTGGAAAGGGCATCAGGGAGTGGGGCATGGTGGCACATACCTGTAATCCAGCACTTAAGAGGCTGAGGCAGAAGGGTCTATTTGAGTTCGATGCCAGCCTTAAGTGAACTGTACAACCAGACCCTGTATAAAAAATGAGCCAGGGGGCTTAGAGATGGTACCATGATTTTAGGGGTTCCATATAGCTACTAGAGCTGGGAAGCCGTCCTCTGGAGGAACTTCAACATAGGGGGTGCAGCTGACAGGAGAGATGGGCTGTTGGCACAGGAAGAGATGTTTGAGAGCAAGAAGAGGGGGTCAGGGATCGGGGGTGACACCCAGCTGACTCTCCTCTGTCTCCCAGAGCCCCCGATGCTGGAGGAGAAGCCCCCGCCCTCCCCACCTCCCGCCCCGACGCCTCAGCCTCAGCCTCTGCCACCCCCTCCACCACCGCCAGCCCTGCCCTCACCGCCCCCACTAGTGGCCCCCGTGGCCAGCTCCCCACCCCCGCCACAGCCACCATCTCCACCGCCACCTCTACCTCCACCTCCACCTCCACCGGCCCTGCCCTCTCCACCCCCACCTGCTGCTGCCCCTGCCCCACCAGCCGCCCCACCCGAGGAGCCGGCAGCCCCCTCCCCCGAGGACCCTGAGCCACCCGATGCCCGGCCCTTGCACTTGGCCAAGAAGCAAGAGACAGCGGCCGTATGCGGGGAGACAGATGAGGAGGCTGGGGAGAGTGGCGGTGAGGGCATCTTCCGTGAGCGGGACGAGTTCGTCATCCGTGCTGAGGACATCCCATCCCTCAAGGTAGGTCTAGTGGATTTATCGGTCATGCGAGTGTTTGTTGAGTGCCTGTGTGACAGGCCTGCTTTGCCCGTGGCTGCCCCCAAGATTGCAATCTTAATATGGTTAGTAGAGGTGGCCATTTGGGACAGTGGTATCATACACGCCATGGGGACTTCCAAAACATGTCTTATTTATCAAGACGAGCCAGGTGTTTGTCACACACCTGTGATCCCAGCACTTGGGAGGCTGAGGCAGGAGGATTGCTGTTTGTTTAAGGCCAGCCTGGATTACATCGTGAGACCTTGTTTGAAAAGACCAAAAAAATAATAAAAATAAAGGTGGTGTTTCTGCCAGATTCTCTGCTGCGAGTGCAGGGGACACAGTAAGGAACAAAGGCGAAGCCCTGGTTTGGGGGAGCTTCTGCTAGGAGGGGACAGCCAGGGGATGCTGCTGTATAACAGGGTGCCTCTGGTGGAAATGAGGCTTCGCCGTCTGGGTTCAGTGTACCCTGGCAGACCTTGGGAGGACCTGGGAGATGAGTGACTGAGCCTTAAATACTGACGGATTCCTGCGTGGTTGGAACGTTCCTCTCTACAGCAGGGGTTGGCAGATTGGCCCCTGTACCTAATGCAGTCCACAGACGGGTTTTATGAATAAAGTTTTATTGGCAGCCAACCACACGCAGTCATTTGCATCCCATCTGGGGCCGCTTGCCCAGCCATGGCAGAGTGGCCTGGCCTAGTGAGGAGGAAGATATCCACCTCTGTGGTTCTCGGTTCCTTGGGCACAGGGAGCTGGACCAGAAGTTTCATGTGCTGGGCGAGGAGGGGGTGACACTGGTGCAGTTCTTGGCACAGAGCATAAGACACAACAGGCTGCTGTCACCCTTGCGGAGCCACCAGTGTACTCAGGATGTTCTCCTGGCTGTCACTGTCAGAGGCTGTGTGTCATGTACGCTGTCCTATGGAATTAAGTCTCCAATGTTGGTTCTTTTGAAATGTGGACTGAGAGATTGTGAGGTGGGTGAATTAGAAGGACAATGATAACTTCGTGTTTTCTTCTTAAACTCGTTTTGGCCAGGAATATAGCTCAGTGGTACAGCGCCTGCCTGGCAAGCGTAAATTCAATCCCCGGTACCAGGGAAGACAGAAAAACAAACAAAAAATTGAATTTGTTCTGCATAGTGAACCTAACATGTTTTCCTGTACTTTTTTTTTTTTTTTTTTTATGTTTAATTTTTATACTTTTTTGTGTTTTTTTTGAGACAAGGTTTTGCTATATAGTCAGTCTGGCTTGAACTTGTGATGATCCTCCTGACTCAGTCTTCCAGGTGCTGGGATTACAGGTGTGCATCACTTTGTGCAGCCTCTCTGTACTGTTTTTCATCTATTTTTTGTGGGAACTGTAAGACGCTAAAATGTGCAGCTGTGTAGTCCCATTCTGTATTTCGCTGCTGCCTTTGTCACCTGATGGCCAGTCCTTCTTCCGGTCCACTTTCCGTCTGTCTCATACTCCTTCCCTAGATCCCAGACCACATATCCTGTCATCTGAATGAACTTTCTAGCAATTTTTTTTGTGTGTGTTAGGGTTTTTTTTTTTTTTTTTTTTTTGTACCAGGAATTGAACTCGGGGTCTTATGCTTTCCAGGTAGGCAACTGTGCCACTAAGCTCTGTCCCCTGCCCTCCAGCACAGTTTTAACACATAAAGATCATTTAAAGCCAGTTGTGATGGCCCATCCCTGTAATCCTAACAACTGGGAGGCTGAGGCAGGAAGATTGAGCTTGAGCCCAGTTTGGACAATTTAGCAACTTAGTGAGAACTTGTTTCAAAATTAATAAATGAATAAATTAAAAAATAAATAAGGGCTGGGAGTAAAGCTCAGTGCACAGGACCCAGGCTCAATCCCCAGTATGGAAAATAAAAACAGGAACTTTGCAGGACACAGGGTAGAATGGGTGTCTATTATGGACTAGGCCTTGGGTCATGGTGCCCAAACCCCTCAAAACAGGGCTTTCATAGGAGGTATGCAGGCTATACAGCAAACTGCTAAAGTGAGCACTGCCACCCCAGGGCCAGCCCAGCAGCCTGACATTTGCAGCGTCACTGGTCTGGGATGTCCCTACCCTGTTTTGTGTCCTGATTCAGGGACATCCTTGCCTCTGTAAGTTATCGCTTTTTAGTAACAGCCTCCAAGGCTGGTGTGGCCATCAGCAGGACAGGCAAGGAAGATGTAGAGGAAACTGTGTGACCGCTTCCTTATCAGAGAACTATATAGGACCCTGCGCAGGCAGAACTGGAACCCAGAGCCCTTTTCGAGGAGCTCCATCTCCATCTCTGAGCCCCCCAGGCTGGGCTCAGACTTGAGATCTGCATCCCCAGCCTCCCCGAGAGCTTGAGATCCAGGCCTGGCTGCTCTTTCTCATCTGCCAGGCGCTAACCCACGTACCAGGAAATTGACTTCTGAACACACTGAGGTGCCACTGAGGTCCCATTCAGGCATAAGTGCCAGTAAGTATGTTAAGTATATTTGCAGCCCTGGGCAACACCCCCTGCCCATAACCTCCCAGATCATCTTTCCTCATAGGACTGCAGACCTTGGTTAATTAAAAAGGGAAATCGAGAGCCAGGTGTGGTGGCACACGCCTGTAACCCTAGCCCTTGGGAGGCTGAAGCAGGAGGACCTCTGGAAGTTCAAGGCCATCCCAGACTACATAGTTAGACCCTGAGGCCCAGAAAGGTAAAGTAGCTTCCTAGGCTTTTATAGTTCCAGCGCTCTCAACTCAGAAATGCACGTACCCTGTGCCAGAGCCAGCAGTGTGCTAGGCACACTCTGGTCAGCTGTCAACCAGGTGATCAGGGCTTTGGGCAGGAGCTCAGCAACTGTCCCCACTTTATAGAGGAGGATGTTCTTGTGCATAGGAGGAGTCTGCCGCCTGCCAGTGCCGAGCTGGGCAGGGGGACCAAGGCATCCGACACAGCTTCCCAGCTGGCCTATAGTAGTAAAAGGACCAGGTGAGGACTCTGGTGCTTAAAATACAACTGAGGTAGGTGTGATAGTGGGGGGCACCCCGAGCCTGATCCACTCATCTGGATGTCAGGGACTCGGTTCCAGGCCTAGCGGTGGAGCAGTTGGTGCCATGGTTGAGAGCCCGGCTTCAGCTGAGCGTGGTGACATTTGCATGTAATCTCAGCCCTCCGAGAGGCTGAGGCAGGAGGATGATGAGTTTGAACCCAGCCTGGGCAACCTAATGAGTCAGTGAGATGCTGCCTTAAAATAAAGAATAGACAGGACTGGGACTGTAGCTGAGTCCAAAGGCCCTGGGTTTGATTTCCAGTTCCACCAAAAAGAAAAAATAAAATAACAAAGCCCGGCTTTGGTGCTAACCGGAATGCACCCCATCTCTGCCGCTGGGAAACTGGGCTGGTGTCTTGTCTTCCAAAGTCCTAATTTGCTGAGGACCCCGAGAGCCACCTGCAGCCGGTTTCAGGGGAACTCACGCAGAGGGTCCTATGTCCCCCGGCTCTGTTAGCCTTTGATGTGCTCTTAGGTTCGTCTGTGGTGCAGGGTTTGGCAAACAGTTTTTTCTTTTTTCTTTTTTCCGGTACCAGGGATCAAACTCACGACTGCCTGCTTTCAAGGCAGGTACTTATGCCGCTGAGCTAAATCCCCAGCCCCTGGCAAACAGTTTTTATAAAAGCACAAATAATCTTTCATGCTGTGCGGGCTATATACACTCTCTGCTGCATATTCTTTGGTTTCTTTCCTTTTTTTTTTTTATTGTTCTTTTCCATTTTTACAACCCTTTAAAAATACAGAAACTACTGATTGTAGCGCATTGGTAGGGAACTTGCCTAGCGTACACAGTCCTGGGTTCCGTCCCTAGCACGTTAGACTGTCAGTTTGTTCAGAACAATGGTGTGTATGTGAGTACACACTTGTCTTTTTATAATTTTTTTTTAATTATAAGAAAAAAATTTAGGACTGGGGGTTTAGCTCAGCGGCATAAGCACCTGCTTGGCAAGTGTGAGGTTCAGAGTTTGATCCCTGGTACAAAAAAAAAAAATTTTTTTTTTAAAGCATGGTAATCAAGGGTAACAGTGGTACATACAATGTGCATTGTCATTATAATTTTTTGTCTTATTTTTGTTTTATTTATTTTTGCGGGGTACCGGGAATTGAACCTCAAAACCTTCCATTTGCCAGGCAGGCACTTGTGCTGCTGAGGTAAATCCCTGGCTTGTTTTACTCCTGAGACAGAGTCTTGCTGTGTAGTTCAGGCTGGCCTTAAACTCAATATGTAATCCAGGCTGGCCTCCAACTCACAGCAGTCCTCCTGCCTCAGCCTCTCCAGTGCTGGGATTACAGGCATGTGCCAGGACGCCAGACCTATGTTGTAATTTTAAGCTTTCACATTCCCATTATTATTATTATTATTATTTTTGTCTTTTTCCTTTTTTATCGGTACCAGGGATCGAACTCACGATTGCCTGCTTGCAAGGCAGGAGCTTATGCTGCTGAGCTAAATCCCCAGCCCCCACATTCCCATTATTAAAAAAAAAAAAAAAAAAAGATTCTGAAATTTGCTGCAAGAATATATGTTATTTAACTGTAGAATAGTTAAATATGGAATATGGAATATTTGGAATATAGAAACTATTTCAACATGTTGCTGGGCATGATAATGCACACCTGTCACCCCAGCACTCAGAAGGCTGAGGCAGGAGATCGCTTTGAGTTTGACATCAAAAAGAAAGAATTGAACATGATAGGACTGATCTATTATCTTCTTGGGTGTCTATAAATTGGGATATAATATCAACTCCCAGTGCTTGGCCCTGTTATGAAGATGCATTAATTAGGCTGTCAGGTTAGAAAGGGCATAGGTGCAGGGCATCCCAACAGAGGGAGCCCCCTGTGCAAAGGCCCCGGGGTGAGGAGAAGCTGGTATATTTGGGGTATGCAGGGTTGTAAGGCCTTGTGGTTGTACCGTGCATGCTGAGGCTGGGAAGGTCACAGTCCAGATGCTGGGGTCCCATAGATTTGACTTGTTGAAGATGGTCAGCTTCTGGCTGCTAGGCAGTCAGTGTCCAGGCTTATACTGCTGTAGCCTCTGATTAACAGGACCTGGTAGCTTTTCTTTCATTTTTTTCTCTTTCTTTCTTTCTTTCTTTCTTTCTTTCTTTCTTTCTTTCGTTCGTTCGTTCGTTCGTTCTTCCTTCCTTCCTTCCGTCCTTCCTTCCTTCCTGAAACAAGGTCTTGATATTTTGCCCAGGGTGGCCCTTAACTCGTGGGCTCAAGCGGTCCTCCTGCCTCAGCCTTCAAGCAGCTGGGGCTGCAGTCCTGTGTTGAGTCTCCACATCTGGCTTGGCTTTTTATTATTGTGCCTGTGTCCTCCTAGCTGCTGGCTTATATCCAGCTGCTTAAGCTGCTTGTTTCACTTGTTATCATTCAAATTCCTGGGAGAATCTGGGCCTGCTCAGTATTTGGGGCCAAGGTGCAGTTAGTGACCTCCCTGTCCATTGGCTGATTCTCTTTAGATCTTCTCCAATCAGCTGTGGCTTCCCTTTGTGCGGAGGTTATGGGAGGAGCTGTGGAAGTGAGCTCGGCCACCATAGGACTTGACAGGAGTAGAAGGGTGGACCTTGTGGACTGGCAGGCCCTGATTGGGAGATGGAGAGATGACGACAGGGATTGGACCTGGTACGTGGGAGTGGGCGCCAGGAGGAAGACTGCTCTTGAGGACCAGAAAGCACAGCATCATGGTCACCTTGAGAGGGACAGAGCATCCCTCTGCTGGGAGCCCTGGGAAGTGCAGATGCCAAGGGATCAGGCTTGGTCTGGCTTGATCTGGATGGCTGTGGGTGGGGTGCAGAAGGAGGCAGAGGCCCTCCTTACTGGGCTAAAGTGTTTGAAACCCTGCCTGTTTCACAGCAGGCAGGATGTGGTCTGGAATGGACCTCACCTTTGGACTTTTAGCCTGGCCTCTAAAGTTACTGGGTGACTGAGAACTGTGTGGTGGCTTTAAAGAAGATCTGGATTCCTGTCTTATCCTGCCTCACCCTTTTGTAAGCCTGTAGTCGAGACCTGGTTTTATTCTTTTGCTGGGAATAGCTCTTCACACTGAACTATATCTCCATTCCATTTCTTTATTTTTTTTAAATTTTGAAACAGTGTCTTGCTAAGTCACTAAGTTACCTGGGTTGGGCTCAGATTTCCAGCCCTCCTGTCTCAGCCTTCCAGTGCTGGAATTCTAGATTTGTGCCACCACCTGGCTAGGCTGAGATGCTTCACTGACCTCATTTTTAGCGATTCATGATAACCCTTTCTTTGTACTGACCTGGCTGATCCACGAATCACAAAAATAATTCAGGGTATAAGAGCAAATTTCCCCAAATCAGGAGTAGATAGTCATTAGCTGGGGACGGATCCCTTGTTCTAGGTGGTACCTGTGGCAGACATTACTAATAGAGCTTAGCACTGTACTGCTGAGTGCAGAGCTAAGGCAGCCACAACTAATCAATAGGAGGTATCATCTGAATCCTATCTGAACACAGATGACTCTGTGTTCTTTTTTGTTGTTGTTGGTACCGGGGATTGAACTCAGGCACTTATGCCGCTGAGCTAAATCCCCAACCCACTCTATGTTCTTTGAACACACAGTGCCTTCATTCATTCATCCCTACATTGTGGGGTTGGGGCCATTTCCTCCATTTATTCCTTAACTTATCTGTGCTTATCAGTAGCTTTAAGAAGACCTGTTCCTCTCAGGAAGTATTTGGTGTCATCCCTTCTGGGAAGTTTTCTTGGATTCAGGTTGACTTTGAGGGCATCATCACCACCACCACCACCATGGGTTTCACTGTATCCAGGGAATTAAAATTAACCCATTTATTACTTGTACTCTTACTTTTGGTGGCCGCGTGGGCACCTGTGCTGTCCCTGTTACTGCAGAGGATTGGATACAGAATGTGAGTCCCATGTGTGGGTGCCTAGTGCCGCCATGCTACACAGAAACCTCAGGGCTCGCAAAGTGTGCAGAGAAGGGGAGCCTTCTCATCCCCTGGCCTCCCTGAAGTCCTAGGGATGGCTATGAAATGGCCTCATGAACCTGTCACGGTCTGTTTTTAGCATAAGCTGTAGACTGGCTGTGTTCGTTTTTTTTTGTTTGTGTTCCTTGTCATGTGTATGAGGGACAGAACAACTTGGTCTCTTCGGGTTGGAATATTGAAACACCTTGCTGGGTGGCCTGTAAGCAGCAGACATGATTTCTCATGATTTGGGAGCTGGAAGTCCAAGATCAAGATCCCAGCATAGCCAGGCATGATGGTACACACCTGTAATTCCAACGCTTTCCATCTCATAATAAAAAATAATCCTGGGGATTTAACTCAGCGGCACAAGCACCTGCCTGGCAAGTGCCAGGAAATTCAGTCTGGTGAGGGCTGCTTCCAGTTGCTGGATGGCGCCTCCTTGCTGTGTCCCCATGGAGTAGCAGGGGTAAGGCAGCTTCTGGGCCCTCAGATCTGGTTGCTTCCCAAAGGCCCCCCCTCCTGGTGCCATTGCATTGATGCTCACGTGTCAGCTTGGAGATATGCCAGGGACGAACAGGCACAGGCCTTAGCTGGGAATCGAGTTCACAGCTTAACTCTGTGTCTGGCAGGGATTCGAGTCTCACCAGCAGTGGGCGGGTGTTCAGGAAGCACTTTTGCCCTGTGACACAGAGGTGCAGCCCCACCAGGCACCGGTGGGACAGGGCCAGGCTTAGGCCGAGTCCCAGGCTGAGAGTGTCATGGTGCCAGAAGATACTTGTTACAGGAGGGTTGGTGCTTGTTGGTGGCTCTGCCTTTTCTCAGTGGGGATGGTAAGGCAGGGACTGGGCTGTGAGGGCAGGATCAAGACTGACCTCGTGAGCCCTGTGTCTTCTTCAGCTGGCACTACAGACGGGGCGTGAACCCCCACCCATATGGCGCGTGCAGAAGGCCCTTCTGCAGAAGTTCACTCCTGAGATCAAGGACGGCCAGCGACAGTTTTGTGCCACCAGTAATGTAAGCCTGTACAGGGGCACTTGGACTTGTAGGCCTGGGGGAGGGTCCAGGACTGGGTCCCTCAAGCATAGTTCTGATCCATTTTAAAAATATACCAGGAAGCTGGGTGTGGTGGTGCATGCCAGTAATCCCAGGACTCAGGAGGCTGAGCCAGGAGGATTGCTATGAGTTTTTTTTTTCTTTTGGATTGCTATGAGTTTAAGGCCAGCTTGAATTACATAGTGAGACCCTGTCTCACAAAGCAAAAAAGAAAAATAAAAGAAAAAAAGATGCATCAGGAATGGCTCTTTGAGGGCCAGAGATATAGCTTAGGGGTACAGTGCCTGCCTGGCAAGCCCAAGGTCCTGAGTTCGATTCCTGGTACCAAAAAAAAGTGGCTCTTGTGGGTCTAGCAGGCTCCAGGTGGCTGTTGTGGTATTCAGGGCCAGGTGGAACAGTACGGGGAGGGTGACAGACTGTCTCATGTGCCTCCTTCTCTCTGCAGTATTTGGGGTATTTTGGGGATGCAAAAAATCGCTATCAGCGTCTGTATGTCAAGTTCCTGGAAAATGTCAACAAGAAGGATTACGTGAGGGTCTGCGCTCGGAAACCCTGGCACCGGCCGCCAATGCCAGTGAGGTACCTGGTCAGGGGACACAGGGCCAGTGGCACGGGGGCCACATGCACGGGGCTGGAAGGAGCGAGGTGGAGCCGGGGCTAGGGAAGGGGTTATATGTGTAGAGCAGGTCTCGGGCTGCTGACCACCACGCTCTCCTCACCCCTGTAGGCGCTCCGGGCAGGCCAAGGGCCCCACACCTGCACCTCCCCCCAAGACCCCAGCGCCACCACCCAAGCCTGAGCTGCCCGAGAAGGTACCGCCTGAGAAGCCCCCAGAGCAGACACCTGAGACGGCTGTCCCTGAGTCACCGGCCCCTGAGAAGCCATCGCCACCACGGCCTGTGGAGAAGGAGAAGGAGAAGGAGAAGGAGAAGGAGAGGGTGACGCGAGGGGAGCGAACAGCACGGGGCGAGCGGGGCACAGGCGGGCGGCAGCCCCGGCTGGAGCGCAGCCTTACCACAGCACAGCCCCCCACGGCCCGGCCGCCCAAGGCTCGGCCCCACAAGGTGAAGGCCGAGCCACCCCCTAAGAAGAGAAAGAAGTGGCTGAAAGAGGCGGTGGGCAATGCCTCATCAGGTGGGGGTCCAGCAGGCAGCTCCTCGGACTCGGATTCCTCACCCGGAGCTCCCAGTGAGGATGGTGAGGCCACAGTGACAGCGACATCAGGGGCCTGCAGTTGTGGCATGGGTGAGGGATTCGGGTTTCAGAAGCCTTTATCACTCTAGGGCTCTGACTATGTAGCAAGACAGAAAAAGAAAAATGATGTCCAAGTAAGAACAAAAACTAAATCCCAGCATTCCGGGAGGCTGAGGCAGGAGGATCTCAAGCTTGAGCCCAGGCTGATGGTGTCCTCAGTGAGACCCTGAGCACAGAACTCATTGAAAGCCCCCAACTGCGTACAAAAAAACCACTGCAGCCTGTTTTGTTGGTACTTACTGCTTGATGCTGGTTAAAGTATATTTGTATTTTCACAGTGGTCCTAAGAGGCCACACTGGTATGACTAGCCCGGTGGAGAGATGAGGACATCAGGCCACAGTGGCAGTGCCCAGGCTCTGAGTTCTTTGGTGCTGTCAGGCAGCTCCCAAGGGCTAAGATGAAGCAGGCCAGCCTTGGTCCTGGGCCTCCAGAGAGGTGCTTTATGCAGCTTGCTGGCGACCTGAGGATGGGCCTGACCTCTCAGGGCCAGAGCAGTGAGCACCCCATGAGGTGAGCCACACCGATGAAGCCCCTAAGGAGTGCCTGTCTGGAACAGGACCAGATAAGAGCCCTACATCTGCCTGGCACATAGTGCGTCTACAACCCCAAGGTGACAACAGATTATATCCATTATGCACACACAATGTAAGTAACAGCAGACTTTTATGAAGCTGCCTCCCATGTGCTACGTATCACCTTAGGCATTGATTTGAGTTCAGCTTTACCTGAGCCCTCTGAGGTAAATGCTATAGAATTAACTTTGTGTTATCTATTTTTAGTTTTCTGAGACAGGGTCTCGCTACATATTGCAGCCTGGCCTTGAACTCACTGTGTGGCCCAGGCTGGCCTTGAACTCACTTTGATCCTCCTGCCTCAGCCTCCTGAGGACTGAAATTACAGGCAAGCGCCACCAGGCCTGGCTCATCCTCACTTGAAAGACAAGGAAATTGAGACTTGAGAGGCTACAGGACTTGCCCAGGGCCCCACATCCTGTAGGTCCATAGTCTCATGACACATGAAGTGGAGTGGAAACTGGTGGAATTCTCTTGAGGCAGCATAAGGCCCATGGGAACCCACTCTTCACTCTTGAGGTTGTCCGGAAGCTTCATTAATGCTGAGCAGAGTGAACCAAGGTCCCTGGCCCAGACCCTTCTGTCCCTCTCAGGCTTGGCGCACCTTTCCTGGTGCCCTGCTGAGCCGAGCCTTCCCCTGAGTTCCCTGCTCCGCGCAGGTGGGGCCGCTCTCTGACGGGCATTCTGTCTTTGAATCTGCTGCTGACAGCAGTGTTTGCCGTGCAGGTGGCCTAAGGGAAAGAAGGAATCACAAATCTGTGCCCCATCTTCCCCCAGAGCGGGCAGTGCCGGGGCGTCTGCTGAAGACCCGGGCCATGCGGGAGATGTACCGGAGCTACGTGGAGATGCTTGTGAGCACGGCCCTTGACCCGGACATGATCCAGGCCCTGGAGGACACGCATGGTGAGCTGGAGCCTGCAGAGGGGGCCTGGGCTGGGTGATGTGGGCTCTCCATCCCCTGGGCCCTGCATTGTGGAGCTGTGGCCCTGACACTTCCTGTCTTCCAGATGAGCTGTACCTCCCTCCTATGCGGAAAATTGATGGTCTCCTCAATGAGCACAAGAAAAAAGTCCTGAAGCGGCTATCACTGAGCCCGGCCCTGCAGGTGCTTGGGAGCCTGGGCAGGGAGTAGTATCTGGGGCCCAGGGCTAGGGTGTGGGGATGAGATGTCCCCTGAACACGTGGCCATTGAGGAGGGACATTGTTAGGAGGGAATCAGTTCCATGACTCTGCTGGAGAAAAACAGGATTGAACAATCCCAGAGTTGGCCCCCGTCCCAAGGCCTTGCAGTGGTAGTGATGGGGGGCGGCAGAGCTTGAAGAGTAGTAGCAGGACATAAAGAGACAGGGTACACAAGGCCGTGCACTGAAACGTGCCTGGCAGCTTTGCTTAGGACTCCTCCATCTACACGATGCCAGCTCTCTGACTTCCAGGTCTCAGGTGAAGTTGTTTATCTGCAGTTTCCTTTCTGGAGAGGCCTCGGCTGCTGGTTTTGCATTTAAGGATGGCTCTGAGAATTCTGGGCAGTGTCACCTGGCTTTGAGGATCCTGGTCAGGGTGTTACTCTGCCACTTCAAATAAGCTAACTTAAAATCCCAGGCCTCCAGGAGGCCGAGGCAGGAAGAGTGAGAGTCTGAACCCAACCTGGATAGTTTAGTGACTCAGCAAGACCGTCTCAAAAACTAGAGAGAGCACTGGGGCTCAAGCCCTTAGGTTCAATCCTTAGGATTAAAAAATAATAAAAAGAGGTGTTAGGGTGAGTGGCTCAGGATTCTGGGATAGAATGTGCATCTGGCTTTGAGAATTCTGAGAGGCTGTGACTGTTAGATCCTGAGTTGTTTTAGGGTGGGTCTGGGAGTTCTCAGTGTGAAGTTAAGTCGGAGCTCACAGTTGCAGGGTAAAATATTAAACTGCTTGGTGATGCCTGGTGGGGTCTTTGTATAACTTGGAAAGTACTGGAATGGAACATTACTGTAGTTCTAAGAATTCTGGGTCAGGGTCTTTCACCTAGACTTCTGGGTGGGATGTCGGGGTGACAGAGAATTCTGGAATGCATACTTGGCTGATGCTGAGAATTACATGTTAATGTAATTAATTACTATTAATTAATTAACAGAATTACTGTTAATGCTGGTTTTGAAAATTCTGGGATACAGTGTTAGTTGGTTTAGAGAGTCAGTTTCTGACAAATCAGGATGTTACTCTGGTCTGCAGAATCAAATTATCAGGCTGCCTGGGTGTGGTGGCGCAGGGCCTGTAATCCTAGCACTGGGGAGGCTGAGGCAGGGCATCATTGCAAGTTCCAGACCAGCCTGAGCTACAAAGTGAACTCAAGGGTAGCCTGCGCTGCTAGGGATTCTGGGTGGGCAGTCATGCTAGACGTGAGAATCCCCTACTTAAGGTACAGTTATATCTCAGTAACCCTGTGGTGAGTTGAAGATACCATGCTTCTAATATGTTTAATGCACCTGAAACCCAAATATCATGGCTAAGCAACACGGCACCCTCAGTAGTCAGTCGTTGCCTGTCATTTCTCATTGTTTATTTTGTAGTACTAGAGATTGAACCTGGTGCCTTCTCACTGAGGTACATCCCCAGCTCTTTGTAATTTTATATTTTGAGGCAGGGTTTCGTTAAGTTTTCTAGGCTAGGCTTGAGTTTGCAGTCTGCCCGCCTCAGCCTCCTAGAATGTGAGGGTTATAGGCATACACATCTTCACTGTTTTCTCTGATAACCCTGGGGCTGACTAGCAGCTGCTCAGCAGGGAGACACCCCGTGTTGGTGGTCTTGAGAAGCTCCCCAAATTAAAAATTTCAAATACAAATGGGGGTACATGCCTGTGATCCTAGCACTCTGGAAGCCTGAGACAGGAGAAGTGTAAGTTTGACCCCAGCCTGGGTAACTGAGCGACTTGGCGAGACCGTGTCTCGAGGAAAAAAAAATTTTTACAGGCCGGAGATGTAGCTCAGTCAGAGGGGAAAAAAACAAAACAAGAAATGAAAGTAATTCTAAGTATGGGGCTGGGGATTTAGCTTAGTGGCATAAGTGCCTGCCTTGCAAGCAGGCAGTCATGAGTTTGATTCCCCGGTACCGATTAAAAAAAAAAAAATTTTTTTTTAAGTACAGTGTCTATTTCCTGCCATTATAAAGTAAAGAAATACAAGAGGTCCAAGCCAGGCATGATTGAGCACATCTATAATCCCACTACTCGGGAGACTGAGGCAGGAGGATCACTGTGAATTCCAGGCCAGTTTAGACTACATGATGAGATTCTGTCTCAGACGAACAACAAAATAAATCATTTAAGTCATACACAGCATGTTTCAGTATGCCTATATGAAGTATTATAATTGGTATGAGATTTTTGGGCTAGGGTGTTAGTCTGGTTTTTGAATTCTGGGATTGATTGGCATTGAGGATTTTAAGATTTTTTTTTTTTCTGGTACTGGGAATTGCACTCAGGACCTCAGGCTTGCCAGGCAGGTAAGAGTCCCCTTCCTCTTACCGGCCTCCCCATGCTTGCCAAGCTATATCCCCAGCCCAAAGATAAGTTTAAATTGACTCTGGGAATTATGATTGGGATGTTAGTTTTGCGCTGAGATTTTGGAGAGAGAGTTATTTACCTATTTATTTTTGTTTTTCTGAGACAGGGTCTCTGTAATGTAGGCTGGCTTTGAACTCACAGTGTAATGCTTTGCGGATAGAATTATGCTTAGAATTCTGGGATTGGATTTTAGGCTGCCTCTAAGAATCCTGGGATAGACTCACTACGTACCCAGACTGGCCTCATTTATAGTGATCTTCCTGTCAGCCTCCCAACTGGTGGGTTTACAGGCATGTGTCGCCACGCCTGCCAAGAAGGAGAACCAAACCTCTGAGTGTCTCCTATCTGCAGTCGGGGGCTAGGGGGAAGCGGAGGCACCTGAGGCCAGGCCATGGGTAGGGTCAGGTGGGTCCAGGGAGCTCCTGCTGACCCCCGGCTTCCTGCAGGACGCGCTGCACACATTCCCACAGCTGCAGGTGGAGCAGAGTGCGGAGGGCTCCCCCGAGGAGGGCGCTGTGCGGCTGCGGCCAGCTGGGGAGCCCTACAACCGCAAGACCCTGAGCAAGCTCAAGAGGAGCGTCGTGCGAGCCCAGGTGGGTGCTGGGGGAGGGTGCACCAGGGGGGGAAGAAGGTGACCTGGGAGGCCAGGTCTGAGTCTCTGTACGCCTCTGCCTAGGAGTTCAAGGTAGAGCTGGAGAAGTCGGGATACTACACACTCTACCATTCCCTCCACCACTACAAATATCACACCTTCCTGCGCTGCCGGGACCAGGTGAGCCACCCAGCACCCTCACCTGGGGGCGCCCTCTCCATGAGCCAGTCTAGGACCCAGGAATCCAGATCCAGCCTCCTCCCTCCGACCTGGGGATCCGGGCCCAGCCTCCCCGCTGATACCTGGGGATCCAGCACTCCTCCCTTGTCGGGGTGGTTGGGCCTTGGCCGTCTGCCCCCCTTCTCAGAGGTGGGTCGCAGCCCCAGTACTGTTTAACCCTCTGCAGACCCTGGCCATCGAGGGTGGCGCTGAGGACCTGGGCCAGGAGGAGGTGGTCCAGCAGTGCATGCGGAACCAGCCGTGGTTGGAGCAGCTCTTCGACTCATTCAGTGACCTGCTAGCCCAGGCCCAGGCCCACAGCCGCTGCGGGTGACCCCACCGCAGGGCCACCTCCTCCGTGATTGGATTGGATCGGAGAATTGGGACAGAACTGTGTTCTCAGGAGCTCAGCGCTGGGCTCCTTGTCTTGGGGGAAAGGGGTGTAACCGGTCAGGGTGTGTCCATGCTGCCCCCCACCCCCCAGGGCAGGCTTCAGAGTTCGACTCCCCTCTCTCTCAAGTCCTCTCTCCCCACCCTCTTCTTCCGCTGTTCGGTGTACAGAGAAATTATTTATATATATGTATAAATGTCTATTTAGTAACGGTATCCCTCAGCCCCTACCCATCCCCCCTCCATGGCCATAGCGCCCCCCTGCCTTGTACATAATGTATAGGAAAAGTCTATGTATGGTTGTGGGGGTGGAGTGGCTTCAGAGAGCTGGGGGACCCTCCTCCTTCCCTAAGCCCCCAGGCCAAGATCTTTGCTAAAGGCCATTCCTTCCCCAGGGCATTCGGCATCGGGTGGGAGGGGAAAACGCATCTTATTAATTATTTTTAATCTTATTTATTGTACATACCTGGGGCTGGGGGGGAGTTGGGAGGTCGAGGGGGGAAGGGTCCCCTCCCTCTGTCTGTCCCACTCCTTTTGTAGGGCAATTTGTCTGCGTCCGGCCCCCTCCCTCGGCCCCCTCCCCTTCTCGTCTGGATGTGGTTCTATTTTTTAATCAGTCCCCTTCCTCTTACCAGCCTCCCTCTGTCCTGCACCCCTCATCCTTCCTGTATCCCTCGTCTCCTGCTCTTTGTCTCTACAACTCACCTTGTATACACTGTGTACACAGCCAGCCAAACGAAACCCAATGGCAACACTTTACCTGCGGCCTTATGTCCTCAGTCCTTCCGCGTGGGGCGGCAGGAGGTGGGGGGACAGAGGGTCTGGGGCCGGGTTTCTCTGGAGCCCCAGGAGTGTGTTGAATGCCCAAGCACCACATCTGAAAACTGCAAACAAGCTGCTGTTGAACTCACAGCAATCTCCCTGTCTCATCCTCCAGAGAGCTGGCATTCCAGGTGTGTGCCACTATGTCCACCATACCTGCCAAGAAAAAAATTCTAAAAATACTTCTGAGTGTTGTCCAGATGCACAAGTGCCCATAAGTGGAGGACAGAGGTGTTTAGGAAGAGGTCTCCATGGACTAGGAGGTTCTGGAGAGTCACCAAGTTTGGGAATGTGTCCTCCCACTGTCCCACATGCACTGCACTGCCTGTGGTGCAGGAGGGCAGCCTCCAGTTTCTGGACCAGGCTCAGTCTAGGCTTGAAGATTCCAGCATTGGCATTGTCAAAGGCAGAGTCCAGCATGGGAGGCAGGCTGTGTCCTTGGTCCCTGTCAAGGGTGAGAGGAGGAAATCCTGGTTGGCCTTTGGGCCCCAGCTGCCTGAACTTGCAAGCTGAGCGTAGTGATTCCCTGTGAGATGAAGCCTGTGCTGCAGAGCCAGACTGTCTCCAAAAAACAAGCAATAAGATGGCTAAAGACAAGGTCATCAAACCTGGGAGAGGCTGGGCATGGAGCCCAGCGTCTGCCTGGCAAACTTGAGGTACTGCATTTGACTCCCATTCCCAAAAAACAAGCCCAAACAAGACAGAAAACAGGGAGAGTCCTGAGGTGCGCCAGAGCCCTAGGGAGGAGTAGTGTCCTATGGGTGTCCTCGTGGGCACAAGCATGTGCGTGGGCCAGTGCCAGCCCCCTTGCTGTTGTCTCATAAGCTTTGAAGTGGCAGGGGCTGCAACTTCCAAAAATGCCCTGTCAGTTGTTGCACGGGCTTGTGCACCTTCCTCTGGGGCACACAAGAACTTGGCTCACTGCATTGTGGTTCTGCATGAAGCAGGTGTCCCCAATCTAGAACCTTGACTCCGTGGGACAACCTGGAAAGACCCAGCTGCTCTAGCTGGCATAGCACATGTCCAGCAGGGGCCCTGAGAGCCCTTCTTGCAGGGAGCTTGGCACCCCAACCAGTCAGGAGGAAGCACCAGGCCGGGCTGGACACTGGTGGAGATGTCCTGCCTGTGCTCCCACCCGCACAGCCGGCAGGGCCTTGGCCCTGCTGGTTGGGCGGAGCAAACAGCACAATGCATTTCAGCCACCCTGATTCCCAGGGTAGAAGGTTGAATGCAGGCCAAGGATTCTGTGATAATGAAAGCCGGAAAGGGATCCTTGGTAATCAGTGTTCTCATCTGGAGCACAGAGAAGCATTCATGGTTCTGGGGCAGAACGGAACAGCTGGCCCCGGTCATTGATCCTGAGCCCCCGGGGCACTGTCCTACCTGCCTGCGGCTCATCCGCCTTCTTCTAGCTTGTGATCACCTCCTTGCCTCCTCACAGGGAGATGAGAGGCCGAAGCTCTGGGGTAGGACAATGAGATGAAGGTTCCAGCCTGGCATGTGGAACAGGTGTTAGGATTCAAGAGGAAGAGTGTGTGTGTGGTGCCACAGCCAGGCACAGGTACATGCCTGTAGTCCCTGCACATGGGAGGCTGAGGCAGGAGGTTCACCTGGGCTACAGCGTGAGCCTTGTTTCACAACAAAAAGGAAAACCAGAGTGACCGGTCAGATGGAATTGGAAGGTGAGTGTCAAATAGTTTCCCGTTCTGGATCCAGCCTTTCAGGGTAGGAGATGGCAGGCAGGATTTTTATTTTTTGTTTTGTATGGCAGGTTCAAGGGTTCCCAGAACATTGGCGCTTGGTCGGCATGGCCAGAAGGCTCCCTACATCCTACCCCAGATATTCAGCCCCAAACTCAGTTCAGGATTGCTTTGAGTTTTCTTGTTTGTTTTTGTTTTGTTTTGAGGCAGAGTCTCTCTGTAGTCCAGGAAGGCTTTGAATTCACTATGTTACCCAGGCTGACTTCAAGTTTATTGCATGGATTCTCCTGCCTCAGCCTCCACAGTGCTGAGATTACAGTTGTGTGCCCACATGCCCCAAAGATTCAGGATTCAGATTCAGATGCCAGCCCTGTTAGGCAGTCTCGGAAACTGAGCACCATTCAGCCCACCCCTGCCTCCAAACGAAGCCCTCATTTAGCAGACAGTGGAGGTGGGGGGGTGGGGGTGGGCAGGGTTGGCAGCCCCTGCCCATCAGTGCAATGGGCCTTTGTGTACTCCTAGGATGCCATGGATTTAGCCTACCTGGCAGGACAGCCACTGGCCCCATGGGACTGTTACAGCCCTAAAATGTTGCTGGTGTCCCTGAAGAGAGTTAACTTCTGGCCACCAAAGTGACCAGTTCAGTTCTAGGACTTTGCAGAGGGGAAAAAACTTGCAAACATCAAACTTCCCCAACAGCATGTCCACCCAACTATCAAAGGGTAAACTCATGCTGTTGAAGGGATGTGGGGGTCTAGATGTCTGCTGGAGTTCATGTCCCTGCCCTTTCCCAAGAGATGGGTGGGTTGATTCTAGATGCTGTGATATTTTTAGGTGGAGTGAGGCTTTAAGAGTGTGTAAACGCTGAACTTCCCCAGCATCTCCCTTTTAAAAAGCACATCCATATCTCTAGCATGTGGGAGGCTGAGGCAGGAAGATTGCCCTGAGTTTCAGGCCAGCCTGGGCTACATTATGCGTTCAAGGTCTTAATTGCCTGAACTACATGCAGAGACCCTGTCTCAAAAACAAAACATAAAAAGCATTTCCAGAAGTTGGCAGTGACATTTATTTTTCTGAGGGAGGAGAGTTATGTACAGCAGTGACCTGGGAGCCCCTCACCCCACCAGGGGCTTGGGTGGGGGAAGGAGGCATTGGCAGAAGGCACACAGTGGTGATGGCCCGGAGGAGGCCAGCAGATCAGGGTGGGGGCGTAGTGTGTTCTGGAATTCCCAGCAGAGGAAACTGAGGCTCAGCTGGGACCTCAGGCCACACGGCAGGACAAGCTGGTCCCACGAGCTTGTTCCTGGATCAGCTACAGCAGGACGCAGGGGCAGCCCCCATCCTTCTTTCTGGGGGCACTGGGTGGGCTTGGCGGGAGCTCTTGTTCTTGGTACTTCCTGTGGGAAGAGGCTGGTGACACTTCGCCGGAGGTACAGGGACAGGACAAGGGGCAGGGAACTCACCGGACAGCCCGCACCAGCTGCTCGAAGGCCTCGTCCACGTTGAGCCTCAGTTTGGCAGAGGCCTCAAAGTAGGCCACATGGTGGGAGGCCCCAAAGTTGGAGGCTTCGGATCGGGGGACCTGGAGCAGTGCAGGGGAGAGGAGTCAGGTTTCTGCACTGAGTGACCCCAGCTAGGGAAGCCAAAAGGCATTAGGACCCTGGGAGCTCCAGAGGGAAAGTTCCTATGGGATGCTGGGAGTGTTAACATCATAGAAATAAGGAATCAGGATCCCAGCTCAGGAGGCTGAGGCAGGAGAATTGTCCCCAGTTTGAGGCCAGCCTAAGTTACACAGCAAGACCTTGTCTCAAACTACTCCCTCAAACAAACAAACAAAATCAGGGAAATGTTTTAGTTGTAATGGGGATGGAAGCCAGGGTTTTTACACTAAGCTATATCCTCAGCTCTTTGTTAAAACAAACAAACAAAAAATTAATGAAAGTCATTTAAGACAGGACAAAAAAAATTTATTTAAGACAGGATCTCCCTAAGTCACTAATTTGCCCCAGTGGGGCTTCATTTGTGACCCTCCTGCCTCAGCTCCCTGGAATGCTGGGATTGCTGGGATTGCTGGCATACGCACCACCATGCTTAACTAGGGAGGCCGCTTAGGATGTATTAGATAACTAGGAGTCTGCAGGCTACAAGTAAGGATGTTGGTCTTGGCAGAGGCCAAGTGTAGCCCTGAAGCTGGAAATCCCCAAAGAAGGATTCGGCTAAAAGATGAGTTCTGTGTGGAAATCACATCTTTCATATGTCCAGGAAGTGACAAGCACAGAAGAAAGGGCACACACCGAGTGTCAGGTTCAGGGAAGAAGTGGGGGCTAGCCTGGGCAGGCGGGGTGCTGATGAGGGGGGAGGTACATCAGAAGGAGGCAGAGATAGAGTTCCCTGGCCGCCCCATACCTGCCGCTGTGCTTCCAGATCTGCCTTGTTCCCAACCAGCACAACGGGGAAATCATCTCGATCCTTGACTCGGAGGATCTGTGTGAAGAGCTTGCTCACCTCGTTGAAGCTGTGAGAGAGGCCACAGGCGTGAGGGCCTGCCAGCCCTGGGCCGGATGCCCCGCGCTGGACATGCCCCTTACCTCTGCCGGTCATTAATGGCGAACACCAGCAGGAAGCCATGGCCTGCACGCATATACTGCTCCCGCATGGCCCCGAACTCCTCCTGGCCCGCTGTGTCCAGGACTGGGGAGACAGGGAGAGGCGTGCGATGTGGGGCAGGCTTCCACCCAAGGCTACCCACAAGCCCTCCACCTTGGCCAATCTGTTCCCTGCTGCTCACTGTCCAGCCGTGCTGGGATGCCATCCACGGTGCAGATCTTGGTGTAGGAATCCTCGATGGTGGGGTCATAGTCAGACACAAAGTAGGACTGGAAGGGTGGGAGAGCCCACTGTTATTGGAGGAGAAACCCCAGCTTCTGGCTTCCCTGACCCCCTCCCCAGTCTCTAGTCCCCCCTATCTCTCTTTTTATTTCTCTCCAGACAGGGTCTCACTTTGCAGCCCAGGCTGGCCTTGAACTTGCAGTGATCCTCCTGCCTCAGCCTCCTAAATGCTGAGATTATTGCCATGCACCACATTGCCCAGCTCTTGGTCTTTTTTTGAAGTCTCTGATCCATTCATTGGTTCCCTGTACTCTTTTTCTCTTAGTCTCTATTTACTCCTCTCCGAGTATCTGTCCCCTTCTCTGGGTATTTGTCCCCCTTCCAGTGTCCTCTCTCTGAGGCTCTCCTGGCTGTCTGCAGATAAGATTCATCTATATCTCTTATCATGATGGCATCCTGGTTGTGTGACATTAAATGAAATGACTTCCCCTGCCAGCTTCAGTTTTTTCATTTGGAAAATAAGAAGAGCACCACACCCTCCAGCGTTATGAAATTCCGGGGAACCCCTTGCTGAATGTTTAATATATCACTGGGCATATCAGTTATTGGGAGCCACCATCGTCCCAAGTATCTGGCTGGCTCTGTCTTCCCTCCTCCACTGCCTCCTTCTCTCTTTCCTCCTCTACTTCCCCTCCTCCTCCTTTAGGCAGCCTACATGGCTTCTCCTCCCAGGGGAAGCTCCCAGTTCCAATGTGGCTGCAAGAGGCTGCCCCACCCTCTGCCTTGGGGCCTTGGCCCCTCCCTTCCTGCCAAATCCACTGCCTCCAGCCAGGCCTGGGGCCAGCTCTGGGTCGGGCCCTGGGTGTCAGGGGCCCAGGGCTGGGGCCTCCTTCTGCACATGCAGGGCTCCTCGCTGGCATGTCCTGAGTGGTCTGTGGTCCAGGCAACAACTCTAGGGGCTCACACTCATCTAGGCATGGGGACTGTTTCCCTGGGGTGCACGCTGGAGGTTTCTCGCCTCATGTGGGTAGGCAGCAGAGAGGGACTGACTTTGGGCTGGGGGTCTGCAGCCCATTAGCTGCGTGCTCAGTGAGCCTTCCCTGGAGGGAAAGTACAGGGACCAGAGGTCATCTGAACAGATCTGGAAAACCTCAGTGATGAGGATGGGGACCAGTCCAGGAGTGGCTCAGAGCAATCTGGAGGCTGTCACAGAATAGTCTTAGAGAACCTGAGATGGATCTCGGAGAAACTCCCAATGGGTGGATCTTTCATACAGAATCTGGGAGCTTCTTCCATGGAAATGATTTGGAGGTTACCCAGGGTTTCTGGGAGGAGCACAGGGAGCTGGAGGGGAAGGAAGATCAAAGACTGGAGGATTGGGGCGATCACTAGATCTTGGGGTCTTGGGAGTTTTCTTGAAGGTCAAGGGAGAGGATCTTTTTGAACTCTTGGGTGCGAGGGGAAATCAGCCAAGGACTGAGCAAAACTTCTAGATTCTGAGAGAGGTTGCCTGAGGGGTAAGGATATCCATTGGGGCATCCCAAAGGTGCTGGCAGAGCTGATAGCCAGGTGAGGCTCTGGGTAGCACGGAGGGGAACTGGGATTTGGGTAAGATAAGGTTCAGAGTGGAGGGGTTGGTGGCACTCTGAATTGGACGACTGTTCTGTATTTAGGCTGCTCCAAAAGTCACTTGAGCCAAAGTCAGCAGGGAACCCCTGGGCTCAGGATGTATTCAGTCCAAGGTCCCCCGTGCAGGCCCTCAGAGAGTTTAGTTGCAAAATCAGAGGATCTTTGAAGATTAAAGGGCCTCGCAGGAAAGTCTCAGGGATGGGGCAAGGGGAAATGGGAGTCTTAGGGGTCCCCCCCCCACAGGGCTCAGGTCCGGGTCCCAGGACATCTTCCCGGGTGAGGGCACTCTACCTGGATGAACTGGATGGTCAGCGCGCTCTTGCCCACGCCGCCGCCGCCCACGACCACCAGCTTGTGTGTCTCGCTGGGCGGGGGGTCCCCGGGTCCCGACCCCCCGCCCCTGGGCCGCCCCCGCCCAGTCCCGGACGCCGCCCCGCTGCTCATGTCGCCACCGCTGCCGCCGCCTCTGCTATCGCCTGGGGGGAACCGGGCGGGATCCAGAGGCGGGCTACGCTAATGAGGCTACTGCATAATCATGAGCTCTTGCCAGAAGGACTTGGGTCTCGGACACTTAAGGAGCCAGGAAGGCCCGGGGAAGGGAGGAGTTATGCTAATAAGGGTAGGGAACGAAGTTTGTGGAAAGGGGAATTCCAATGTGGGGCGGGGTTATGCTAATAAGACCTGTGCTCACCCTGAGCGGTTCCACGCGCTTTCAGCCCGCGGGCCACCCGTGGGCGTGGCTATGCTAATAAGCACGTATTGTTTTGGCAGATGGAAGGGAAGCTCTTTCGGGGTGGGCCTATGCAAAATAGGAGTTCCTGCGACAGAGTTTCTGGAGGACTAGGCTCGCAGTCTTATTCTGGCAGGCGGGGCTTGCCGACTTGCGAGCGGCCGTATATAGGGCGTTCTGAGGAAGCAGCGGGTCTTGAGGAGAAGCTCCACCTCTGTCCTGGGGTCGTAGCCAAGTTCTCGCACGCGGCGTCTGAGCAAGAAGTCGGAGCCTCCGCCCGCCTAAGGACCCAGGCTTCCGGTTCCCGCTGTCCCAGCCAAACGGAAGACAGACTGGGAGGGGAGATGGGGCCCTGGAGGGGGACAGCAGAGTAACGGGGCTGGGAGGGGCCGTGAGATCACTGCATTCCTAATCCATGAGCCAGCTTGCTCAAGTCAGGACGCCCGGGTCATGAAGGGCCTGGGGCCAGGATTTCTGGGATTTGGAGAAGGAAGCTTAGAGACTAGATATTGGGTCTTTAGGAGAAAAGTTGGAGACCTGAGGCCTTTAGACCCAGGGAAGAGGGACTCGGGGAGGGGCGGAGGCCTTATTACAGATAAGGTGTGATCTTGACACCTGGATAGTTTGGAGGACAAGAGGCCTGAGGACTCGACTCGGGTTCAAGGAAACAAGATTAAGACCTTCGAGTCTGAGGGAGAGGGACTTCTTTGTCCTAAACGAGGAGGCTGCAAAGTCCAGCTCCCCAGTTCTAAATTTACAGTGGATCGGGGGATCTGTATTCTGAGATCTCCAGAACGTGAGCGGGGCAATGCCCAAACAGTCCAACTCACTTTGTGGGACTACAGTTCCCTTGCATCTGTTCTGCTGGACTTTTTGCATCACTTCCTGTTCCGCCGCCCTTTCCCCGCGCGCGCAAAGAATTGTGGGATTTCACCGCGGGCTATAGCAACCCCGCCCACTTAACTTCACTCCTTCCCTGTCCCCGCGCGACTGAGACGGTACCTGGACTACGCATCCCGGCGTGCATTGCCAGTGCCCCGCCCCATATACTCCTTTGACTCCTGGGAAAATGAGTCCTCTCACCTTCCTGTAGCCTTCAGTGCCCCATGCTCGGTACTTGAAATCCCGGCAAGCTCGGCGGCATTTTAGCTCCGCCCCACACCTCCTCTGCTCGCGAGCCCCGCCCTATCCCGCCCCGCCCCGCGCCGGGGCTGGAGCCGCAGCCCGAGCGGCGGGGTAAGATGGCGGCGGCGGTCCGGGCCGCGGGGCTCCGGCCTATTGGGGTGGGCGGGGAAAAGTCGGGTCCCTAGTTGTCCCTGGGTACTCCCCTTACGCCAGGGGGCCTGGAGGGCTTAACGGGCCAGTCTCAAACCTGGCAGTGGGGGTGAAGTCTGGCGCCAAACGGGGGCCTTCTTAGGCCCCCAGAAAGCATCTGTGGGTGCCAGGGGGCGTCTACAGCATCCCTGAGCGGACTGGGGGCGTCCAGCGGGCCTGGACTGAGCCTGGGGCCTGGCCTGCATCACGTAGCTGACCTGGATCGTGTCAGTAGGCGCTGTGCATCGCCTTTATGGGCCGACCAGAGCCTAGACTCTGCTTAGAGGATTTTGGGGCCATCTTGAGATCTTGAGCCGTCTCCTGGGGTTGAAGGAGGTCTGCAAGAACCGAGGAGTGTCTGCAGAGCCACCTCAGATTGCTGGGGTACGTCTGGAAGGGCTCGGAAGTGTCTACATGGGCTGGCCTGTGGATGCTACTGGTCTGCATAGGTCTGGAGCCATTTCTGGGCCTGGAACAACTCTTCAAGGGTTAGAAAGTCTTTCAGGGCCACCTGCAGGGATGAGATGTGCTCACCAAAGTGGAGGTTATACTGTGATGTACCGAAAGCAGCAGATAGGTCTCCAAGATTTAGAAAGTGTCTGATGTGGGTGACAGGAGGCTTGGGGTAGTTAGAAGGAGCTGGAACCATCTAGGTGGATTTGATGTGATTGTGAGGATGCTTAGAACAAATTCGAATCCTTTTGGGGATCAGATAAATCTGTGGAAAATAATACAAAAAGAGAGCATTGGAAATTTTGCCTAGTTCAAAATGTACTTAGTCTCTAAAAAGTAATTCAAATTGCCTTTTAAAATGCTTTCTCCTGGGGCTAGAGAGAGTGAATTACCCACCCAAGTCTGAGAAGGTCTGTAGGGTCTTTTAGAGTCATTTAGTGCTGTACTTTTCAAAATCTTTTGATTGTATTCTATTTACTTTTTGTACCTAGACTATTTATGAACCTCTAAACTGCTCCCATACCTGGGAGTTTGGGTACCACTCATCTAGAGGGACCTTGCAGGGTGAGCAGAGCCTTCTGGCATCTACAAAGGCCAAGAAGTGGAGAGCATCTCCTGTGCTGTAGTTTGTCTGGGGTTCCCCAAGGTTGGGCCAGGTCTTGACAGAGCTTGTGATACTCAGTCTCTGTGCTAGGTAAGCACCTCCCAGAAGGTGCTGAAGAGCAGCCTCAGGCCTGGGTGCTATGTGCAGGCCTGGAGGGTACTGAATATTGCCTGGAGAGACCAGGGTGTGAGAGGCTAAGCTGGGCTGTGTCTTCAGGGAGTTAGGGAAGAGGCTGAAAGATTTAGAGACCTGGGAGACTGATTGCCAGTGTGGAAGCTTGGACACAGGCTTAAAAATCTGCGCTAGGATAGAGACCAGGGCCTAGTTCTTTTCTTTGCCTAAGTGCAGCAGGGGAAGTGTGTGTGTGTGTGGGGGGGGAGGGGATGTAGGGGAAACCGGAATATTAAGAACTGGTAATAGTGACTTTTCTGTGCTTTAAGGCCTTCAGATGTGCTGATCAGTGTGTGGCTTTTAAAGTCTCACAGCCATTGTGCAGATAGATACAACTTTGCCATTTACAGAGAAACACATCCAGTGTAGCTTAGGGATTTTGAAGCTTTCAAGGAATACATTAGGTATTCTTTTTCTCATTAGCAAATTTGACTGTGGAAATTTGCACCATATTGCTAATTTCTCAAGCTCTTATCCAAACATCCACCATTCCACAGCATGCACTTTTCAGCTGCCTCCCTGGGTGGATTGACCCTAAGAATTTCTGCAGCATCACCCAGGTTGTGGTCACACAACCATACAGGTGTGTGATGGCAAGGTGACAGGTACGAGCTCCCACAGGGTTTGTGGGACAGCATGCCTTTCTGAAATTTAGTGGTTTTGTGTTAAAAGTGGCGTAGGGGCTCTGCAGAGCATTCTGTCCTGCTTCCGTCTTTTGTGTGTATAAAGAAAAGTTATTTGCTTCCTTATTGAGGATGATTGATGCCCCATGCGGCTGTGCAGTAGCTGGCATTAAATGCCAACCAGCATGCTGGTACAGACCTCAGTTTGGCAAAGGTGGGTTTATGGGGCATGGAACACGCTTTGCAATCACAGTGTAACGGAAGAATGTTGTGAGGATGGGTCTGTACCCCATAAGGAAAGCAGCGAGACCTGTCAGGAGCAGTGGGCAGCAGACAAGGCCTCCCGCTGGCAGAGGAGGTGGCCAAAATCCAGACAAAGGAAGAAAACTAACTGCTCCGTTCCCTTTGGGTCCACTGGGGCCCAAAGACATGGTGGCCTGGGTTGAGGCGGGTTGCTGAAAAGCATGCCATTAGGCAGTGTCAGAGGCCTGCTCCTGTACCCTCCCCAGCCTCAGCTCCAGCTGTCCTCCCCCCAACCAGGTAACCATGGAGGAAGAAGATGAGTCTCGAAGGAAGGCAGAGGAGTCAGGCGAGGACCGAGGCGATGGGCCACCTGACAGGGACCCCACACTTTCTCCTTCTGCCTTTATCCTGGTGAGGCCACTGGATACCTGGGGTTGAGGGAGGAGCAGAGGGGCTGAGGCCTGGCCTGGCTGCAGGGCTATCTAGCATGCTTGTCTCACAAGGAGCAGAGGTGGCACGGGCTCCTTTGCAGGAGACGCCCGAATTGGTTCTTTTCATTCTTCCCACAGCGGGCCATTCAGCAGGCCATGGGGAGCTCCCTGCAGGCAGATCTGCCGAATGAAAAAGGTAGGGTGAGTTGCACTTCTCTCAGCCCTATCCCTCACCCTCATCTCATCCGTGCCTTTCATGGGCACAGGGATCCAAAAGTGGTACAGTACCATGGCTGTCTCTAAGGGGTCCAAAGTCCAGTGCAGGGGAGAGGGGGACGCAGCAGTAGCCCTGTGGCCTGAGGTACTTCGAGGGGGCGCGCAGGAGGCTCCTCAGCGAGTCTGGAGGGAGGCGGGCTGGCGGGTGGCTGCTAGAGGGGTGACATGACCCAGTTCTCCATGGACACATGAGCTTTGTCCAATGAGGCTAAGCCTTCTGGGCAGAAGAGTAGTGGGCTGTGGCACAGGGCCCAGTTCGGGGACAGCGTGGCACTTATCAGGACTGGCTTGCAGGGTGGTGGGGCATCTGGGAGAACCAGAGAGGTCTGTGGGGACCAGGTCATAGCAGGCCTTGAATGCTGAGCTGAAATGTGAGGATTTCATCTTGCAGGTGGATAGGAGGGTGAACTGGTGAGAGTCGAAGCCCATAAAGGGGTCTAGGGCAGCTTTGGGGGCCTGAGTCAGGAGGCAGGATGTGGGTCCAGCATCAAGCAGTGGTCCAGGCCCTTCTTTCCTGTCCCTCATGGGGTCCCTGCATCTTGTCCTCTGTCTTCAGTTCCCCCATGCAAATCTCTCTCTCCAGATACCTCTCGGTGTCATGGCCTTCAGTGGAGGTGCTGCCGGAGCCCACGGACAGAGCCTCGTCCCCAGGAATTGGGCACTGACACAGCTACTGTGAGTAGGAGGGCCTGGGTGATCACTTCTCTGGGTCTGGAGAAGGAGGGCTTTGGGGGACCAATCTGGGCCTGAGAAGGGACTGCGTTGGAGTTTGAGCCAGTCTGGGAATCCTGAAGGGAAGAGCTTGGTTCCCTGAGTTTTCTTGGGGGCTCAGAGTGTGGCTTCCTGAGCATCAGGTCTGGGGTAGTATTATTTATGAGTCCTCCCTGCTGGTCTATTGCAGGTGCTGGACCTGGCTGCTGACAGCTTCCTTGCAGGGCTGATGAGCGTCCTGGACCCCCCAGATACCTGGGTTCCCAGCCCTCTGGACCTGCGGCCTGGCGAGTGAGGAGCTGGAGGGGTTTGGAGTAGGGGCTTCCCCGGTCTGGAAAGCTGCTCCCCCTACCCCCTTAGGCTCACCCATCCCCCTTTACCTTGCAGAAGTGAGGACATGCTGGAGCTGGTGGCCGAGGTCCGAATTGGGGACAGGGACCCCATCCCGCTACCTGTGCCCAGCCTGCTGCCCCATCTCAGGGCCTGGAGGATGGGCAAAATGGGTATGTGGGGCTGGTGGAGCTGGGCAAGTGGCCAAGGAGTAGTGCAGGAGGTAGCTAGTTTCAGTTGCCATGGTGGTTGCCATTGTAGTCTGTGGACAAACAGCTTTCTCTTTGTAATCAGGATGCTCTGAAGCCATATGTGTGTAGACATATATAAGAATTGACATGACAGGGTCATGTCAGGTTATCGAGTACATGATGGCCAGGGCTGTGTTAGTATCATGTCCCCAGGAGGGGGTCCTCCAGTGTCTCCATTTTCCAGAACAGGGAGGAGCCTGGAGCTAGGAAATCATTTGCTTAAGGTTGTGGAGCCAGATGCTAGTGGTGGCCCTGGGCCTCGAGCTGCGGTGTGTCTGTGTGTGATGCGCACGTGTTTGATCACTTCAGTGTACATTGTGTAAGGAGGAGCCTGCTCCTGAGCCCTGGGCTTACAGTGCCTGCCCCCGGGCCGGCACTGTGCTTCTCAAGTCTGCACTTGATCCGAATCACCTGTGAGTGTGCGTGTCCCTGGGCCCAGCCTGACAGTTCTCATTCTGAAGGGTGTGTGCACTGGAGTAGAGGGAATTTGCTTTGTTTGTGTGGACTTGGGGTTTGAACCCAGGGCCTTTGCACTGCACTGTATTTTATTGTTTTGAGACAGGGTTTTGGTGAGTTGCTCAGGCTGGGTTGGAGTTTGCAGTCCTGCCTCAGCCACCCAAAAGGCTGGGATTATGGGTGTGCATCACCATACCCGTCTGGGAATTTGCATGTTTAGCAAGATGTACTAATGATTCTCAGGACTCCTGTGAGTTTAGATCCCCTTTGTGTGTACATACAGGTTGGGAAGGGGAGTGGAGAGGAAGATTTGTTTAGCTCAGGTGTGGCTGCAGCAGCCTTGACTGCCAGTTCCCTGAAGAGCGTGGCTTGTACACCTCCATGTGTCAGGTCAGGCTTACTTTTTGCCACGTTGTTTTATTTTTTGAGAGGGTTTCACTATGTAGTTCATGCTGGCTTTGAACTCACTACATAGCCCAGGTTGGCCTCAAATTCATGGTGATCCTCCTGTCTCAGCCTCCTGAGTGCTGGGATTATAGGTGTGGGCTTGTACCTTTTTTTTTGAGAGGGGGACCAGGGATCGAACTCATGACTTCCTGCTTGCCAGGCAGGTACTGTGCTGCTGAGCTAAATCCCTGGTCCCTGGTTTTGCCTTTTTATTTTTTATTTTTTTTGGCGGTACTGGGGATCGAACTCACGACCTTGTGTTTGCCAGGCAGGCATTCATGCCACTGAGCTAAATCCCCAGCCCATACCTTTTTATTTTTAACAGTTATGAGTTATCAGGAGTTATAGGAAATGTGGTGCTCAGGACCTATAAAATTGTTTTGGAATTTTTCTTAGACTTTGAGGCCACAAGTAAACCAGTGGGCAGGCAGTATTCCAATAAAACTTTATTGACAAAACAGGATGAATACCAGCTTTGACCCCAGGCTTTAGAATGATATAGCGGTATCTGGAACGTGATAGTTGTATTCAGGTGACTCTGGGCTTATGTTATATTTTTTATTATGTATTTATTTTTCCTAATGTCTAGGATCAGGCCCAAGGCTTATGCATGTTAGGCAAGGGCTCTACCACTGAGTGGCACCCCAGCCCATTTTTTTTCTTTGTTTATTTGAAATGAGGTCTGCCCAGACTGGCCTCCAATTCGTGGCCTCAGAATATCCTCCTGCCTCAGCCTCCTGTGTAGCAGGCACACAGGTGTGTGCCACCTCACTCAGCCCTGGCCGTGCTGTGCTTATGCTGAGTGATCATTTTTTTCTTTGGGAAAAAGAAAGACCTAGGGGAAAAGAAAAGGCCCCATAATCCTGTCTGTACCAAAATCCTTTGGGAAAGGGCATTCTGCCGTCTGTAGACTGGCTGTGCTGCAGACAGAGGTGAGCACATCGAGGGAAGTGGGCATGCACCTCTCTGGTGCCCATGGGGTGCCAGGCTCTGGTGCCGCTCACTGAAGCTCTTTGCATCTTCATGTCAGTCACCTGCAGTGACACTGTCATTGTCATGGTCACCATTCCCTGCTTCCTTCTCCAGGGCTCTCAGCAGCTCATAGTCCGTCCATTTGGCTTTTTTTTTTGGTACCGGGAATAGAACTCACAACCTAGTGCTTGTGAGGCAGGCATTTATGTCGCTGAGGCATATTACCCAACTTGACTCTTGGTAGCCATCCTTGTGCTCCTCTTCGTGTGAGCCCCTGCCCAAAAAGAGAGGCCACTGTCCTTTGCTTGCCACTTTCCTATGCTCCAGAACACAGCTTGATGTAAAATAGGGCATTGGTAAAAATGTGTTGAATGAATGCATAAGCTCCTGTTTTAAAAGTGAGGAAATTGAGGCAGATAGGTGGTCACATTACTGAGAAGGGCTGGAAATCAGGCCATGGCTCTGGGAGCTGCCCTAGGGAAGCCCTTTGCCTCCTGCTTCTGTGCTCACCCAGTGGAGCTGGAGCCCTTGGCAAAGGGAGGGAGGCACATGTGCTGGGGTGTGTGCCCAGATCCCGTCTGGCTCCTTGGTGTGGCATGGCCTGGGTCATCTGCCTCCACTTGTGCAACTGGCACTGAGGATGTAATATGCAGGGCACAGGGGTCCGGCCTGGGAGCCAGCTAAGGAGGTGATGTGGAGGCTGGCCTGTCCTGGCTGTCAAGGAGCAGCTTGGGCTCATGAGTGTGGGGAGCTGGGAGGGACCTAGACACAAACCCCCTGGCCCCAGCTTCACAGTCTCCTCTGCACAGAATGGGAGAAACCTGGGTGCAAACCCAGGCCTTCCTCCCCAGCCTGTCTGCTCTGATGGCATCGCTGCCTCTGCTTGGGGCAGTTCTTGGGCTTCAGGGCCAGTCTGTGGGGCCTGGGATCTGGATGTGGGGTGCAGGCTCTGCTCACATTGGCCTCACCCCGATGGCTCCCTGCTTACTCTCTTGTGTCTGACAGGGCACAGGCCCTCCTGATGGCATGCACGTCACAGGCCCCTACCTGGTCCTTTGGAGATCCTGCATTGGGGGATGGCCAGGTGGAGCATGGCCCTGACCGCATCTCTGTCTGCCCTGTTCTTTTGCAGTTTCTCCACAGTCTCACTCTTCTCCACCCACCTGTGCCCGCCACCTCCTCACCTTGGGCACAGGAGATGGGGGCCCTGCCCCGCCCCCTGCGCCCTCCTCTGCTTCCTCCTCCCCTTCCCCTTCCCCCTCTTCATCCTCCCCTTCCCCTCCTCCACCCCCTCCACCCCCTGCTCCCCCAGCCCCACCTGCCCCCCGATTCGACATCTATGACCCCTTCCACCCCACGGACGAGGCCTATTCCCCACCCCCTGCTCCGGAGCAAAAGTACGACCCTTTCGAACCCACGGGCTCCAATCCCAGCTCCTCGGCGGGAACCCCCTCTCCCGAAGAAGAGGAGGAGGAGGAAGAGGAAGAGGAGGAAGAGGAAGAGGAGGAAGAAGAGGAGGAAGGCCTGTCGCAAAGCATCAGCCGCATCTCGGAGACCCTGGCAGGCATCTACGATGACAACAGCCTGAGCCAGGACTTCCCTGGGGATGAGAGCCCGCGCCCGGAGCCCCAGCCCCCTCAGCCAGCGCCCGCCCCTGGAACGCCGCCCCAGGCTGACTCCACCCGAGCTGAGGCTGCCACTCGCCGCCGTGTTTTTGTGGTGGGGACCGAGGCGGAGGCCTGTCGGGAAGGCAAAGTCTCTGTGGAGGTGGTCACCGCTGGTGGAGCTGCACACCCACCACCCCTGTTGCCGCCCCCCGACTCGGAGATCGAGGAGGGCGAGATCGTGCAACCGGAGGAGGAGCCCCGCGTGGCCGTGTCCCTGTTCCGGGCCGGGGCCCGGGCTGCCCGTCCGCCCCCTGCCTCTGTGGCAGCCACCGCAGCACAGCCCCTTCCACAGCCCCCGGCGGCCCGGGCCCCAGAGGGCGACGACTTCCTGTCCCTGCACGCAGAGTCCGACGGGGAGGGCGCGCTGCAGGTGGACCTGGGTGAGCCAGCGCCAGCACCCGCGCCCCCCGCAGCCGACACACGCTGGGGCGGCCTGGACCTACGCCGGAAGATCCTCACGCAGCGGCGGGAGCGCTACCGTCAGCGCTCGCCGTCCCCGCCCGTGGTTCCCGCCCCTGCTGCTGCTGCTGCTGCTGCTGCTGCTACTGCTGCTGCTGCTGCCGCTGCCGCTGCCGCCGCCGCCACAGCCACGGGGCAGCCCACGCGCAAGAAGTCGCGGCGGGAGCGGAAGCGCAGCGGCGGGGAGCCCAAGGAGGCCGCCTCATCCTCTTCGTCGGGCGCCCATCCCGCGCCACCCACCCCCGCCTCGCCCTGGGACTCCAAGAAGCACCGCTCGCGGGACCACAAGCCTGGCTCCCACGCCTCGTCCTCCGCCCGTCGTCGCTCCCGCTCGCGCTCGCGGTCTCGCTCGCGTTCCGCCCGCCGCCGCTCACGCAGCTCCGATCGCCGCCGTGGGAGCAGCCGTAGGTCTCGGTCCCGGGAGAAGCGGCGCCGACGGCGGCGCTCTGCCTCCCCACCCCCGGCCACTTCGTCCTCGTCGTCCTCCAGGCGTGAGCGGCACCGCGGCAAACACCGGGATGGCGGCAGCAGCAAGAAGAAGAAGAAGCGGTCGCGGTCCCGGGGTGAGAAGCGGTCAGGGGACGCCGGGGATAAGACCCCGGTACCCGCGCAACAACCCTTGGGCTCTTCCGCTGGTGGGGAGCGGGATAGCCGCCGCAGGGGCGCTGTGCCGCCCTCCATACAGGACCTCACGGACCACGATCTGTTTGCCATCAAGCGGACCATCACGGTGGGCCGGCTTGACAAGTCGGACCCCCGAGGACCCTCCCCGGTGCCTGCCGCCTCACCCAAGCGCGAGGTTCTGTACGACTCAGAGGGACTGAGCGGGGAGGAGCGCGGGGGCAAGAGCAGCGAAAAGGATCGCAGGCGCTCAGGGGCGGCCTCCTCCTCTTCCTCTTCCCGGGAGAAGGGTTCGCGCAGGAAGGCCATGGATAGTGGGGACCGGGACAGGGACAGGGACAGGTCGTCTAAGAAGGTCCGGCCTCCCAAAGAGTCAGCACCTTCCTCAGGGCCCCCGCCGAAGCCACCAATCAGCAGTGGCTCAGGCTCCTCGTCCTCGTCGTCCTCCTGCTCCTCCCGGAAGGTGAAGCTGCAATCCAAGGTGGCCGTGCTCATTCGGGAGGGCGTCAGCAGCACCACGCCAGCCAAGGATTCTGCCTCCACTGGCCTGGGCTCCATTGGGGTCAAATTCAGCCGTGACCGAGAGAGCCGCTCCCCCTTCCTCAAGCCTGATGAGCGGGCTCCCGCGGAGGTGGCCAAAGCTGCACCAGGCAGCACCAAGCCCAAAAAGACCAAGGTCAAAGCCAAGGCTGGGGCCAAGAAAGCCAAGGGGACCAAGGGAAAGACCAAGCCATCTAAGACCAGGAAAAAGATCCGCAGTGGGGGAAGCAGCGGGGCCAGCGGGGGCCCAGTGTTGCTGAAGAAGTCCAAGGCGGACAGTTGCAGCCAGGCAGCGGGAGCCAAGGGGGCTGAGGAGACTTCTTGGTCTGGGGAAGAGCGGGTGGCCAAGGCCCCTAGCACTCCTCCCCCCAAGGCAGTCCCTCCGCCCCCAGCGCTCACCCCGGACTCACAGACTGTGGACAGCAGCTGCAAGACCCCTGAGGTCTCCTTCTTGCCTGAGGAGGCCGCTGAGGAAGCTGGGGTCCGAGGTGGGGTGGAGGAGGAGGAGGAGGAAGAGGAAGAAGAGGAGGAAGAGGAGGAGCAGCAGCAGCCTGCAACCACCACTGCCACCAGCACAGCTCCAGTTGCCCCGAGCGCGGCTCCCAGTGCAGGGTCCACCGCTGGAGACTCGGGGGCAGAGGATGGGCCAGCCACCCGTGTCTCCCAGCTGCCCACGCTGCCCCCACCCATGCCCTGGAATCTACCGGCTGGTGTGGACTGTACTACCAGTGGTGTTCTGGCCTGTGAGTGTCCCTGAGAGGTCCCTGAAGGGGTAGTACCTAGTGACAGGGTGCTCCGCTTAGGTCCCCCTACAAGTTCCCTTGGGGCTGGGAGAGATAGTGGGTGCAGACAGCTGATGGCCAGCTCAGTAACACGGGGCTGGGGTGTGCCAAGGGCCGACTAGGACAGAAGGGCCCTTCAAAGCGTGAGTGGGGCAGGGCTGCCATAGCTTATGTCAGACCCCACAAGAAGGGGATAGAATCCCAAATCCTGCCAGCATTTTATCACTCAGTGACTCTGGTACCATTCATCCTCTTGCAGCATTATATATCTCGAGTCCTAAGACCATTCAAGGGACAAGGTGACTGTTAGTGGCCAGTCTCTTTTTTCCTAGAGGGAACCTAGTGTGGGAGCTGGCAGCAGAGGGCCAGGCCACCAACTCTTATTATCTCCTCCTGACCACTCTTCTCTGCCTCCTGTAGTGACTGCACTTCTCTTCAAGATGGAAGAGGCCAATTTGGCCAGCCGAGCAAAGGCCCAGGAGCTGATCCAGGCCACCAACCAGGTGTGCTTCTGTGGGGAAGAGTCCTCACAATTCCTTCTATTGTCCATTGCCTTGGGTTAGGAGAGGAACTACAACTCCCAGCAGGCCTTGGGGCAAGGTATTAGCCAGAAGTGAAGCCTGTTGCCCTGGACTGTTGGGAAATTAGGGTAGGAACCATGTTCCCTTCCACTTTTGCTCATTGCCCCCTTTTCCCACAGATCCTCAGCCACCGGAAGCCACCCTCAAGTTTGGGGGTGACTCCAGCTCCTGTGCCCACCTCTCTGGGTTTGCCCCCTGGCCCTTCTAGCTACCTGCTTCCTGGCAGCCTCCCTCTAGGGGGCTGTGGCTCTACCCCACCCACCCCCACTGGGCTGGCTGCTGCGTCTGACAAGAGAGAGGGCAGCAGTAGCTCCGAGGGACGTGGGGACACAGACAAGGTGAGTTGGCTTTGGGAGAGGTGGATTAGTCATGTTATAAGGAACAAAAGTTCTGTTGGGATGGATGAGTGGAGAAAGAGTGAAGAACAAGTTTGAGTATTTATTGAGACAAGGTCTTGCTATACAAGTGCAGGCCGATCTTGAACTCATGTAGCTCAGACTGGCTTTGAACTCACAATGATCCTCCTGCCTCAACCTCCTGAGTGCTGGGATCACAGGTGTGTGTCACTATGCCTGGTATGTGTGAAACAAAATATTAGACATTAGTGTGTCTAAACATACCCATGTCCAGACATGTACCTCCGTATGTCGATCCCTCAATCACCAGTTGTTCTCTCCTCACCATCATGATAGAGGTAGGATAGGGTGGTTTTGAAAAGAAAGGAAAAAAGAAGAAAACCTCTTGTGAGATGGAGAACAGCTACCCAGCACTCACAGACCTAGGCCTCTGTCTGTACTACCTCTGGCTCCCAGAGACGGGGCCGATGACCCAGTTCCTGCCCAGCAGCCCCTGCAGAACCAGTACGTGGCATCACCCACCCTTACCTGCCTCTTGGAGAGCACCAGAGGGAAAGCTGACACAGCCTGAGGGCCCCTCGGGAGTCATGGAGGCAGGACCATGGCACGAGCTGCAGGCTGGGGACAGTAAGAATCCTGCAGAGGTCCCCTGGCTCCCTGCCTGGTCTGTTCACTGCCCTTGTCTCCCACTGCAGCTCTGGGATGGGTGTCGGGGAGCAACGCCTTACTGGGGGACTCGTCCCAGGACTCGTCTGCTATCACTCTCTGGCTCCGAGACCGCCACATGTGCCGGCTCAGGAGGTGACAAGGGACTGTGGAGTCTGAAGAGGGCCTGCTCCCCTCTTGATGCTGAAGCGCTGGAGAGTCCCATTGGTTTTTTTTTTTTTTTTTTTTTTTTCTGAGGCAGTGTCTCATGTAGTTCAGGCTGGTCTTGCACTCACTGTGTAGCCCAAGGTAACCTCAAATTTGTAATGACCTTCCTGCCTCAGCCTCCCCAGTGCTAGGATTATAGGTATGTGCCACTATATCCAAGCTGATCCCATCTGGTTTTTTTTTTTTTTGGTCTTTTTCCTTTTTATCAGTACCAGGGATCGAACTCACGACTGCCTGCTTGCAAGGCAGGCGCTTATGCCGCTGAGCTAAATCCCCAGCCCCTCCCATCTGGTTTTGCAAGGACCTGCAAGGCAGGGGACGTACAGTTCCCTGTGCACTGACTGTCCCTCGACTGACCCGTGTGTGGCTGTGGCCTGGCCTCCCCATGGGTGCTGTCGCATGTTTCAGATGAACCAGTGGTGGTGGCAGTGAAGCAGGATTCCAGTGTCATGGTGCTGTCTCCGCACTTGAGCTCTGCTCTCCCCAACCTTTGAGTATCCCTTCAGCCCCTTTGGTCCCCTGTCCATCAGGAGCCAGAGCAGGGCTCACAAAGCCCAGGCCGGGTCCCCACTGCCTGCCCTAGAGCTGTGAGTCAGTTTCCTGCTGCCAGAGTGAGCCCTGCACAGTCGGATTAAAGTTACCATCTCGGGCCTGACATTTATCTCCCCACTGGACTGGGGCAGGACAGGGGACATGTGTCATGGTCATGGGGGATGACTGTAGAGGGGTACACTTCCAAGGATGGCTCAGCTGGGCGGTGGAAGTGAGCAGGCCTGGGGTCCTCACTGTCTCTCCTGCCTTGTCACCTCCTGCCAGTACCTGAAGAAGCTGCACACGCAGGAGCGGGCAGTGGAGGAGGTAAAGCTGGCCATCAAGCCATACTACCAGAAGAAGGATATCACCAAGGAGGAATACAAGGACATCCTGAGGAAGGCTGTCCACAAGGTGGGGCATGGGGTCCGAGGCATGTGGACAGGGAGGGGAGGTGGAGGACAGGGTTTGCTGGGGCCCCTGATACGCTTGGCGGATCATAGTGGGAGTGGCTTGGGTGGTGGTGACTCAGGTACTCCTGGCTCCCCAGATCTGCCACAGCAAAAGTGGGGAAATCAACCCCGTGAAGGTGAGCAACCTGGTGCGGGCCTACGTCCAGCGCTACCGCTACTTCCGCAAGCACGGCCGCAAGCCAGGGGATCCCCCAGGACCACCCCGGCCACCCAAGGAGCCAGGGCCCCCAGACAAGGGTGGCCCAGGCTTGCCCCTGCCCCCTCTATGAGACCCTGGCCACTCCTCCTGCCCCTGGCCTCTGAGATTCTGGATGTATTTATGGCTCCACCTCCCTACTGCCCCCGTCAGTGGAATGACTGGGGGAGGGTCGCTTTGGGGAAGAGGAGGGCCCCCTACCCTGCCCTTGCCCAGCCCCTGCGGGCCCCAAGCCTATGCCCATCACTCTTCTCCTGTTTGTGTCCCTCCCTCCAGTTTCATTAAAGTCTTCATTAAATGTCACCCCCAGCGCCATTACTCTAGCCCTTTCTTTTCAGAGACAGATGAGAGAGAACAGGGCCAGGCTCATGTTGAAAGTTCAGTGTGAGGCTGGAAGCTGCCCCAAGACTGCACTGCTCTCTGGGCCTGTTTCCTTAGTGCAGTGGTTTGGGGGAATCACACAGCACCTCTGTAGGTGGAACAGTTAGAATACTACCTGGTGATTAGCAGCTGTTGATAGAAAGTGGGAGCAGCAGGAGGCAGAGACCCCATGTTCCCTGATCAGTGTCTTCTGTACTTAAGGCCTCTGGTGCTTTGTTTGCCTTGGAGTTGACCCCTTTTGAGGAGGGGGTCCTCTGTCCTGTAGTGTTCTCAAAGCAGCCCTGAGAAGCTAAGTGATCTAAGCTATCGAGACAGAAACTGAAGCATGGAACATCAAGGACCAAATAGTCCTTTGTTACCAGGGGTACAGGTCACCGGGACAGGCAGGCCTCAAGCGCTGCAGGGGGTGGCAGATGCCCCGAGGACAAGGCCAGGCCCAGAAGGGACCTCTGTCCTGCAGATCATGGTTGGTGGTGGGCTGACCTCACCTCCGCCTCCCTTGGGGAATGCCCAGGTGTCTGACCTAGGTTTTGTTCTATTTGTGGTTTTGGTCTCACCACACTTTGGTGTCATAGTCTGTAAAATGGGTAGCTGTCACATTCCTAGGTCCCTGGCAAGAGGGAAATAGGTAACAAGTGTTAGCTGCCTGTGTGGTGACTGGCTGTGTGGTGACTGGCCCTCGAGTTCTGGGCATCCGAGCTACAGCAGCTACACAGCTGAACGAACCAAGACCCCATCAGGAACAGCAGCCAACTGTGGGCAGGGCCAGCCTGGGAACATCCAGCACCAGACACACATTCCTAAGTGTAGCAGGGCCTGCTTTATTGATGCAAGTAAAGCGTCAGGGTTCAGGCCTCCCAGGTGGCCTAGAAATCCATGTCCTCAACCAGGTCCTGCAGGCATGCCCTGTACTGCTCGTTGGTGAGGGAAAAGGGCTGGCTGCTGGAAATGTGCAAGTCCACAGTATTCTCCAGGGAAGAGGCGCCCCCTGACTGGGCTATGTTTAACAGGGCTTTGAGGCAAGTGGGAACCACCTGAGGAAGGGAGGGAGGACAAATGAGTCAGGGAAAACAGCTAACCATGGTCCACCACGGGGGAGGAACAGTGGACCACAACTCCCATCAGCCCCAGCATAGCCCAGAATGAACCCTGAGGAGCAGGGCTGCTGGGAACTATAGTTTCTTATCATCATAAAGTCAGGAGCCAGAGTCCCTAGGCTGGGCAGGTTGTGGTCAGGATTCCTGGAAGGCTGGCAGGACTTGAGGTCTGCCAACTTCCCTAGGGCCTAGAGAGTTCAAACAGCCTCCAGGATAAGGATGGGGTGTGAAGGACACACAGGAGCTCCTGGGGATGAGGTACTGGTGACAGCTGACCCTTGGAAGTTAGTGTCTCTGAAGGGCTTCTGGGAATTTTGAACTCTCTAGGTCCCAGGGTTTCTGGGAATTGGTGGTGTTGTAACCTCTTCCCTTTGCAAGACAAGGCCTCCCACCCATAGGAGCCCAGGGCCGCAAGCACCTTGACCATCACGAGCCTCTTGACCCACTGTTGGTTGTGAGGCCATGACTCCCCCAGACAGAACCAGATGGTGTAACGTGGTGAGTGTCTGCTTCCTCCTATGAAGGCGATCAGATCTGGGGGTCCAGGAGTCTAGTCAGAGAAGGAAGGAGCCCCTCCCCACCCTGTGCCTTCAACTCAAATAGTGACCCCCACCATTTCCACAAACTAATGTCCTCTGCCGCTGTGGGGCGGGGTGGGGACTGCCATTTGCAGACAGTCCTGGGAACACTGCTGTAACCTGAAACGTTCCTGCTTCCTGGCCCCCACTGCCCTTTTCTCACCCGAGTACCCAGAGCCCTATCCTCTGCAGGAGAACCAGGCCCTATGGGAGGTCGGGCCCACCCCAAGGACACTCGGTGGCGTTAGAGGGGGGTTCGCACTTACTGCCCTTTTTTTTTTTTTTTTTTTTGGTCTTTTTCGTTTTTATCGGTACCGGGGATCGAACTCACAACTGCCTGCTTGCAAGGCAGGTGCTTATGCCGCTGAGCTAAATCCCCAGCCCCGCATTTACTGCTCTTTAACGCTTTGTGGTTGTGTTGTCCAATATGTGGACTGCTGCCAAAGGTGGCCATTTAAATTTAAATTGTAACTAAGGCGGGTGTAATGGCGCATGCCTGTAATCCCAGGACTTGAGAAGCTGAGGCAGGAGGACTGCCACAAGTTTGAGGCCAGCCTGAGTTTTGGAGACTCTGTCTCGGGGAAAAAAAAATAAAATTTGAAACTCAATCCTCGGTTGCACTTGGCTCACTGCCTCCCACCAGTCGGTGTGGCTGGTGGGTACCACACAAAACCGAACAACCCAGCTCACTGGCATCACTGCAGAGTTTTGCCTGCCAGCAAAGCCCTAAGGGTTTTCTTCCCTGCTAGCCGTTTTCTTGGGGTGTGCAGGAAATGGCACCCAGGGCTTCACACTTGCTGGACAAGTGCTATCTTGCTGATCTTTGTCCCCAGACCTCCTGCTGTCTGGATATCTGCTGTAGTTACATCAAGGACAGTGGTAGCCATTTCCCTGGGACCTGCTGTGTACAGCCTGTGGCTCCCCCAGCCCCAGCAGTGGGGAGGAGCCATCACTGCCTGTAAGAGTGGCGTATCCGCTGCCAAGCAGAGGGCCAAGTCTGAATTCAGTCCCACGCTGCCTGGCCTTGGAGCCCTTTACCTGGCCACTCTGCAACTCCCCACACAGGGCACTCACCTGCAACGAAGGGCCTCAAGTCGAACACACTGCTGTCCACGTCCTTGGGGACCTCGCCTTTGTGCCCATGCTCACAGTCAGGGAGCAGCTCCTCGCCCATGGCCCAGTATGCATGACAGTGCCCCAGCCGCTGTGCACGGAGCCACTGCCCTTCCCGCCACAGAGCCAGGCCTCCACCCAGGCTGCCCAGCACACGCCTCACATAGCCTGTCACCCGCTTGTCTGTCAAGGACACCTCAGGGTCTGGCAGTGTTATTGGCTGTCCAGGCAATGTCCTGTCCCCAGGTTCTAAGCCCACCAGCCGCAGGCCCTTTGGGCAGAAGATGGTCTGCTGGAATACCTGATGGCCCCGGTAGAAGGCAGTCACCTCAAACTCCCACTCTGAGCAGTGACAACAGTGGTGGCGGCAACAGCAACAGTAGTGGTGGTTTGATGGGGGAAGAGAAAGAGAAATCAGGTGAGGGCCCGCTGTGCCCACCGTGGCCCTGCCACCCAACAGCTGGCACTCACGTTCCTCCGGTAACAATAACAGCTTCAGTGGGTTTTCAGAGGGTCCTCGGTTTGGACAGGGCATGGGGTTGTCCAATTTGTAGCTCAATAAATGCTGAGGGCACTGCTCCTGGGCCCTGTCATCTGGGAGTGAGACTCCTATGTCACTCAACACATCCAAGATGTCTTCCTGGAGGAAACAGCCAGATATTCCATCAGCCTGGCCAGAGTCTAGCGGGTGACAGGGTAGAGGGGACACAATAGAGAGGATGAGGCCTGAACGGGGCTTCGGGACAGGGCAGAAACACGCAGAGGGCTGGGTGTGTTGTCACCTGGTTGTCATAGGTACTGCCTCCCTCGTTGGTTTCCGGTGAGGTGTCCAGCTGGGAAGAGTCCCTGGCTTCTGTGAAGAAGGGGTGAGCAAAGTGTACATTCCAGAGATCCCCCCCAGATCCCAAGCCGCTGTGGAAAACCCTGCTTTGGCACACCTGAGTCCACAAATTCATAAACCTTATGAGGATCGTGAGGGTCCTTGCTCCGGTCCTCAGCTAAACGCAACACTTCCTTCCGGTTAAGGGCTGATCGGAAATTCCTCTTCCAGGTTGGCAAATCAGGCTTATCCCTCCCGGGAATGTAAGCACCGCTGGCCTCAGCCCAGGCCTGTGGCAACAATCAATATATGATAGTAAAGAGACTCAGAGACTGTGCACCTGCGGCCCTAACCCTGCCTCCTCTGGTCCTCACTCCTCCCATGCCAAGAGCAAATCCAAGAGATCCTGTCCCCAAATTATACTTGGAGTCACTGCTCCCCAAACCCTCATCCCTACCCACCTCAGCTAACAGGGTCTTGCTATGTATTACAGACTGGCCTCAAAAATAGCAATCCTGCTGCCTCAGCCTCTGGAGCCCTGGGATTACAGAAGTGCACCACCACACCTAGCTCTCTAAGCTAGTTTTCTAGGCCTTACTTGGTGTCTAACTCAGCCACTACCACTCCAGCACACCCTCTGTCATAGCACTGACTTATCACATTCTTTTTTTTTTTGGTACCCTGGATTGAACTCACCTCGGGCTCCCCATCTCATCACATTCCTAACGGTTTACCATCACTAATTACCCTAATTTAGTGGTCACCCTATCTCCGATGTTTCAAGAATTCTACCACGTGAGCTCCCAACTTCGAGGACACACTTCCTTAGAGACCCAACTCACTTTTCTGGTGTAACCTGGAACTGGGCATTCCATTCTAGTCACCAATCAACATCTAGCCGACTCTGATGGCCCCGCCCCCTGCTACCCCACCCATCAGTGTCAGCAGAAGCTTGCTCCACGAAGGTTGGCTCCGCCTCCTCGGAGTTTCTTATTTTGTCTGTGTGTGTGTGTGTGTGTGTGTGTGTGTGTGTGTGTGTGTGGTGCTGGGGATCGAGCCCAGGGCCTTGAGCATATAAGGCAAGAGCTCTACCACTGTACTTGTTACTCTGTGCAGAGCTCTCAGTTTCCCGTGTTCCCTGAATTCCGGGGCCTACCTTGAAGATGCCGAAGTCTTCCGCCTGTGCATCCTGCCTCAGGCCATGCTTCCAAGGGATGCGGAAGCGCTTGCGCCCCTCGTCCAGCCAGGCCACACCCTCCAGCTGCCCCTGGTCCAGCATTGACCTCAACCAGGGCAAGATCCGTGGCTTTGGGGTTCCCATGGTCCGGCCTGCGCGCACGGGGCAGTTCCTGGGCGCGAGGAGCCTTCTGCACCCACTCTCCCGGGGCTCACACTGAAACCTCCTCCTCCTCAGCTACCGGGCAGGCCCTTCACCTATGTTTTCCTGGGGTACAAACAGGGAACCATCCTCCTATCCTGCAAGGACTCTCCATATCCGGAGTCGACTCCTCCCTTCCCAAGTGAATTCAGCAGCCGATCTAGCCCCTCAATTCTTTCACCTCAAAACCTTTTAGTATATATAAAGCACGCCCTCACCCACATCACCAAGCAGGTAACCTCACTTTCAGAATGGCCTCCTTCCCTAGTTATTCCAGAGCAGCTGCTACTGCCGTACTTTTCCCCAGTAGAGACTCCTACAGTTATTCTACACAGCCCCTTCCCAATTCCCTCCTTCCACTACAGTCCCCGGAAAAAACACGCTCCGCGTTGTAAAGAGGACTTGTTCCGATCTGAAGCCACCCTTCCCCTTCCCCCGGGAACACCCAATGGAAACGGCTTCTCTCTTCCTCCTGACCTTCTCTAGTTTTTTCATAGCCGATCTCCAGCGCCGGCCATTGTAACTTTTTTTTTTTTTTTTTTTGGTACCGGGGATCGAACTCACGACCAGGCAGAAGCTTACGTCGCTGAGCTAAATCCCGGGCCCCTGGAACTCCCTTCTTGTTTCACAGAGTACACGGCCTTCTTCTGCAGCTATCAGTGCAGACCCATCCTCTCCCTCGATCCTCGCTCCAGATGCCACGAGTTTTCCGCAGTTCTTCCGCATTACCTACCCTGGGAGCGTCGGGACTCGCGGGGTACGGGGCCGCACCCTTTGGGGACTCCAGATAGCTCTCAAACTTGAATCTGCACGCCCCGTTTTCTGTCAGCTAAACTACAGAGCGCTGGGACTTTCTTCTCTATCGATTTTTCCGTGGTAAAAATAACTTTACCATCCTTTGGGTAAAAATTCAAAAGACAAAGGGGCGGTCCGAAGAAGCCCGGCCTTTCCTTTCAAGCCCTTTTTTGATCTTCCGGCCACAGGCATGCTGGGAACGTCACATGCAAATTAGGCGTCACCCCGTCCAACCTTTCTAGGAGGCGGTTACCAAAGTGCCTTCGTGCGCAGGCGCGGGAAAGTTGAACTGCTAAAAGTTTGTGAGTGGAGGCGGAGTCGGGGACAGCGCGGACCGGGGCTGCGGCGGGGCCCTGGATTAGGTGAGTAAGGTGTTGTCGAGGGCTGGGGTAAAGAAGGAAGAGGAAGGGGCCAGAATCTAGGAGCTGGCATCCTAATCTCGCTTCTCCCGCTCCAAACGCCCGGGGTTCTGGACTCCAGTTTCATAGCTGGAACTACATTTCCCAGGAGGCTGAGCGGCGGAGAAGCGCAGAACAAAGGGAATGTTTGCCGCAAAGCCTCTGGGATTAGTAGTTTCTGATCTTCTAAGGGTTTAAGCAGCTTGATATTTGTCTCCTGCAGAATCCAGGAGTCAGAGTCAAATGTCATTCTCCCATGGAGATTCAGGAGTCCACGCCCCAGCCATCTACTCGCTTAGATTCCCAGGATAAAGTAGTCAGTCCTCATCCCAAGTCTCCCTCGGAATCCAGGAGTCTCTGTCTTAGGCCCCAGTGTTCAATACCCTACTCCTTTGGGCGCCTTGAGTCCTGGTCTGTTGTCTGTTCAGGGCGTAGGAGTTGGGACCCGAAGCCTCTGCTTTCCACTGAACTGTCAGAACATCCCTTCTGCCCTCTTTCTTACAGCTGTCTCCATGGCAGGCTCAGAAGAGCTGGAACTCCGGGAGGATACGCTGAGAGTCCTAGCTGCCTTTCTGAGGCGGGGTGAGGCTGCCGGGTCCCTCACTCCCTGTCCGCCCAGGTAAGAGGGCTTGCCGTCTTCACCCAGGCCTATATTTGGGTTGAGGGCCTCTTTAACTCTTTCTCCTGGTTTCAGCCTGTCTCCTCGCTTCATGTCTGCCTCCCTAGGGTTTCAAGTGATATAGGGGAATGAAACTCCCAACTTACTATGTACTCGAGTTTGTGTTCCCTAAAATCGAAGAATGAATTTTAGAAACAACAGAGGTTAAGGACAGAATATATTTCTTGAGAGAAAGAAAGCTTCTGTCTGAGACACACAGAAGGGGTCCCAAGCGGGTTGCCAAGGACTCTGTCTTTTCTAGGGAGTTTTATAGAGCAAAATTATGGGGTGAGATGGCTTCAAGGTTGGGGGAGACTGGGAACTCACAAGGTAGATGGGCAGAAGGTGAGACATAACTACAGTTAGCCAATAAGATCAATAGTTCAGGTAAAATTGATTACATTAGGACAAATGGGAAAGCCAGTCACATAGAAAACAGGCATTCTTAAGGAGCAGTGACTCTTACCTAGGGGGATGGGATGGTGACTCCAGGCTTCCTCAGGTGATAGAGAACTATTTAGAATATCAATCCTCAGGATAAGGGTGCATTTGTTTAGTCTTTTGTCTTGAGGCCTGGCCCACAGCAGGAGATGTCTGTCTCCCCTGCAGTTGCCAAGTATCTGGGCCTCTGCATTGGCTCCTATAAGGACCTAGCCATGTCTCACTGCCTATAATATTTCTAACTGACTCAGCTGCCATCAACACAAGGATGGGCCTCCACAGGAGGAGAAAGAGACTGCTTGCAGGAGGTCTCTGGGGTCACTCTCTGAGGTCCTCTCCCCAGGAGCCCTGCCCAAGTGGAGCCGAGAGACTTCCTGAGTCGCCTTCGAAGATGTCTTCCCTGCCCCCTGGGCCAAGGAGCTGTTCCTCCTGAGTCTTCTCGGCCTTGTTCTCTGCCCCTCCGCCCCTGCTATAGCTCAGAACCTGGTAAGAGATCCCCGCTCCTTCCCTGAGATCCTAGCCCTGGAACCAATAGGGCCAGGACTTGTAGTTCCTAAAGCACAGACCAGATAAGCTACTATGTCAAGCTCTGGGCTATTGCGTAGCTATGTGGGGTCTCCAGCACCAGCCTTTATCATTGTGCCCCCAGCTCTAACTCAGATTTTTTGATTTTTGTCAATTCTGTGAGCTAACTGTGGAGAGCAGACTTTTGGCTTTTTTTTTTTTTTGTCTTTTTGAGATAGGGTCTTGCTATGCGGTTCAGACTGGCCTTGGGCTCACTTTGTAGCCCAGGCTGGTCTCAAACTTGCAATGATCCTCCTGCCTCAGCCTCCAGAGTACTAAGGTTACAGGAGTGCACCACCATGCCCAGCCTGCTTTTGGCAGTATTTTAAAAAAAAACAGGGTCTTACTATGTAGTTCAGGCTGGCCTTGAACACACAGAGATATTTCTGCCTCAGCCTCCCAAATGCTGGGATAGCAGGTGTGTACCACCATGCTCAGACTACTCCCTGTCTGGTTGATATTTCTGTTCCATGTATTCTTCTGCCTCCTAAGAGTGTCCCTTTAGTAGAAACAGGTATTCCCCATAGAAGCAGGACACCTGGTTTTTGTTTGTATGACTATCTCTTCTTTGCTTCTCTGTTTTCCCAGGAGCAGAATAGCAATGGGGTAGCAGGTCATCAGGCTTGATCAAGAGTGATCGACAGGTTTCCTCTCCTAAGTGAAGCAGGATAGACTGCTGGGGTACTAGCATGAAAAGAAATTTGCAATGGGAGAGATGAATGCTTTGATCAATTGGTGATGTCTGAAATGTATGAGGGAGAGGGTGGTAAGGCAGGAATGCCTTGTTTGTTCTCCTTGGATGGTATAGTCTTCAAACTCCAGTCTTATGCTGACATTCAGAGTCAATTTGGGGACACAGTAAAGTAGAAGGTACAGAATTTGGTGATCTTTTCCTAAGTTTTTTCTCTGGGCTTGATTTTACTCCAAAGAGACCAAATATCGTTCACTTTTCACCCCAGACCCAGCTACTCCTGACTTCTATGCCCTGGTGGCCCAGCGGCTGGAACAGCTGGTCCAAGAGCAGCTGAGATCTCCGCCCAGCTCAGGTGAGGATATGGGGCCCTGGAGAAGGGGAAAGGAGGGGAGTAAGGCTGTCTCCAGGCCAATTCTCTTCTGCCCTTAGAATTGCAAGGGCCCCCACCCACGGAGAAGGAAGCCCTGCTTCGGAGGCTGGTGGCTTTGTTGGAGGAGGAGGCAGAAGTCATCAACCAGAAGGTGACAGGCTTCCCTGTTCCTTGTCCTAGTGAGGATCAGAGTGGCAGGGTAGTCAGTGTTGGGGGTCTGAAGCTGGACCTGCTTTTTTTTTTTTTTTTTGATATCAGGAATTGAATTCATGACCTTGCGCTTGCCAAGCAGGCACTTGTACTGCTGAGCTAAAACCCCTGGCCCTGGACCTGCAGTTTGTTTGGAAGATAGGTGGGAGAGTGGGACAGACCTTCAAAGAAAGGTTCAATGGTGGGGTACAGTCAGGGTAATTCTTTAAATGAATGGCTTTCTTTGGTTTTAAGGTAGCATTGCCTCAGTGTAGGAGGCGTTGCTAGAAGATTAACATCGGAAATAGGATTTGGCTCCAGCTGTGAGAAACTGGGAGGGGGTGTGTGTGGCTTAGCAGGTTCTAGGTCACCTGCAGGGGGCCTTTTGGCCGAGGCCTTCCAGTCAGACTGGTGCGAAGGAGGGTCATGGCTAGCATTAGCTGCCCTACCCGCTGGCTGACCAAGTTCAGCTCCCCTCTTCCCTCCCATCCCACAGCTGGCGCTGGACCCCGCCTTGTGCCACAAGCTGGCTCGCCTGTCCACTGGCTCCTTCGCCCGCCTTGTGGAGCTGTTCTCCAACCGGGAAGGCAGTCCTGGCCCGAGCTGCACCATCTCCTCGCTACCGTGCCCAGGGCCCCCACCGCCTTCCCCGGAGCCCTTGGCCCGGCTGGCCCTGGCCATGGAGCTGAGCCGGCGCGTGGCCCGGCTGGGAGGTACCCTGGCTGGACTTAGCGTGGAACACATACACAGTTTCACACCCTGGATCCAGGCCCAAGGAGGCTGGGTGAGCCACCAAACCTTCCCTGGGCTTCAGTTTACCCAACTGTGCTGTGATGGAGTGGCTGGGGGTGGCGTTAGTTTCCTTGCAAACCTCTCAACTCCCAGGTCCACCATTCATTCAGTCTGTTACTGAGCCTTGCCGGGTCCCGGGCACCGTGAGATTTGTCCAGACACAGCCTGGCTAAAGCCACTGGCAGACACCAGCAGCTGGGACCTGAGTGGGCGGAGCGGGGCCTCCCCAGCCCTACAGCTTCCTCCTCTGTAAGGTTGGAGAGTGGCTATACTGCTGTGAGGGGCTCGTGGGGGAAGCAGGCAGGAGCACCCTGGGAAGTAAGTGGGGCACTGCCTGGCACTTTTGGGTATCTGTATGATTGCCTGATGACCGCATGCGTTACCTGTGCTGCCCACCCAGATGCCTTTCCCCTTGGGTCCCCTCCCCTGCCTCCTCGCTTCTGTACCTTCTGGGATGCCCTGGGATAACAAGGAGGTTTCTTGGCCTCTTACTTATAGTTTGGTTTGGTTTGGTTTTGAGACAGGGTCTCACTATGTAGTCCAGGTTTATCTTGATCTCACTATGTAGCTCAGGCTGGCCTTGAACTCACAGTGATCCTCTTGCCTTAGCTTTCCAAGAGCTAGAATATCAGGTGTGTGCCACTATACCTGGCTATTTATTTGTGCTGCTGGTACTGTTCCCAAGGCCTTGGGTATACTATACAAGCGCCCTGCCATTGATCCACACCCAGCCCTCCGCCACTGACTGGGTGTAGTGGCACATACCTGTGACCCCAGCCACTGAGGATGCTGAGGCAGAACGACCAGGAATTGGAGGACAACCTGGGTTACATCATGAGTTCAAGACCAACCTAAGCCACATAGCAAGATTCTGTCTCCAAAAAACAAACAAACAAAAACTCAAAATTTTAAATTTTATTTTATTTTTTAATTTTTTTCCAAATCCATTTTATTCAAGGATAAAAAGACTTACGCTTTTTTTTTTTTTTTTTTTTTGTACTGGGGATCGAACTCATGACCTCACACTTTCAAGGCAGGTACTCCGCGAAGCTAAATCCCCGGACTTTCAAGGGTAAAAAGGAAGAAAAAGAAAAAAAATTTAATAAAGGGCTGGACAGCCAGACGTGGTGGCGCACCCCTGTAATCTCAGCATTTAGGAGGCTGAGGCAGGAGAAGGGCTGTGAGTTTGAGGCCAGCCTGGGCCACATAGAAAGACTCCATGCCTCTCCCCAAAAGTTTTTAAAAAATGAGGGGGTGTGGATAGTTCAGTGCAGGTCTCGGGTTGTTCTTCAGGGTGTTGGGTAACCTGTACCTGTCCCCACCTCCCTTGCTCTGGTCTCTCCTCATCTGTGGCCATAGCCTTAGTCACTGTGAGAAGGACTGGGCCAGCTCTGGAGGAGGCTTATGGGGTTGGAGCAGAAAGAGCAACAGGGAGGAGACAAGTGATGGCAGCCAGACTGGTGACCAGACCCTGTGTCACTGAGCTTGGACTTAGCCGTGCGAACCTGAACTGATGTTCATGTTTCTCTGGTGGCTTTAGCTCAAACGGTTACTTCCTCCCGCTGGACCTTTTCATTTGGAGGTAGCTCAGGGGAAGACTGTGGGCCATTTGCTGGTGGCTAGGCTGGAGGGACCCTGGTGGCCACTAGGGACTGCCTCTGAGCTTCTCACAGGAATAGATGACCCGAGGGGTAGGGAGTGGGGAGCAGCAGATGCTTGAAAGTGTCCCAGCCACAGGAAGAACCCCTTTAAGACCTTGGTCCCACCTTGAAGGGACTGGAGATAAGTGTGGCACCAGTTAGGTGTAGTGGCACAAGCCGAGCATCCCAGCACTTGGGAGGCTGAGTCTGGAAGGATCCCTGGGAATTTGAGGCCAGCCTGGGCAATGTAGGTCAAGACCAGCCTAAACTGCATACCAAGACCCTATCTGGGAAAAGAAAGAAAAAACGCTCAGCAAAGGAGCTGTGTGCTTGTACAAAGGGCAGCTTTTACAGAATGGTAACAGGCAAGTTCTGGTGAGACAAGAAACTAGGCCCAAGACTTCAATAGCTTAACCTGCTTAAACCCTGCCACAGCCTCACAGGATTCTGTTCCTCTCCTAGTCCTGCCAGAGCAGAGAGGAAATATCCCTCAGGCGGGGCTTGTGACTGTCACTGAGCCTCTGCTCTTAATCATCCAAGTCCTAGGACACCCCACCATTCTTCCAGAGTCTCTCCTTCTACCTCCCAACCTTCCAACATCCTCTAGCCCCTACTGCATCTGCGCATGCGTGGTGGTTGCCTCTCTGCACTAAGCCGAACTGCTGTCTTTTCCAGGAGGGCATCCTGGCCGCGTCCCCAGTGGATCTGAACTTACCCTTGGACTGAGCTGATCCTCAGAAGCTGCTGCAAGACTGGACCTTAAGCCCTGCCTGCTTCATTGGCTTTTCCAATTTTTTTTCTCTCCTCAGGGCTGTGGGGTGGTGGCTACCCTACTTCATTTGCCAAAAAGAATTTGTTTAAAACTACGTATTAAAGTTTTTTTAGAGTATTCTAGAGAAATGAAGCTTTTTTACTCTTGCAGTTCAAGGGATGGAAACCAGGGCCTCACTAGGCAAGTGCTACACAAACGTTTTCCCATCCAGATCTAAAATTCTAAGGGGAGGCTGAGGCAGGAGATTGTCTGGAGTTCAAGGCCAGTCCAGGGTACATAATGAGTGCAGGACCATTTTGAATTACACAGTCCTAGTCTCAAAGCTTGGGAGAGGGCCGGGGATATAGCTCAGTGGCACAAGTGCCTGCCTGGAAAGCATGAGGTCATTAGTTCAATCCCTGGTACAAAAAAAAGAAAAGAAAAGAAGAAAGATGTAGGGGAATGAATGATTGCATACCCCTCTAATCTGCACATTGAGAAGTCTGGGGCATGAGGATCCTCATGAGCCCAAGGCTGGCCAGGACTACATAGCAATTATTACCTCACAATCCTAATTAAAAGTATGTACTCTATAAAGAAAGCACCAGTGTTAGAGCATGAACCATATGACCCATTCATATGAAAGTTTATACTTGCTGTGTACTCTCAGGTAATCCAGAGGCTGAGACAGGAGGATCAAAAGTGACCTCTGTTAAAAATAAAAAGGGTGGGGCTGGGGATTTAGCTCAGCAGCATAAGCACCTACCTTGTAAGCAGGAGGTCGCAAGTTCGATCCCTGGTACCAATAAAAAGAAAAAAAAAGTGTAAAAAAAAAATAAAATAGAAAGGGCTAGAGGTCTAACTCTGGTAAACTGCCCCTGGTTCAATATCCAGCACTTAAACTATAGTAACAGGAAGCAAAGTGTTGCTCCGGGAGCTGGGGTAGGGGCGTATTCTGGGTGAGAGGTGTATTCTGTAAGTAGGACTGTGGTTGCACAGCCATATCTCACCAAACTGAACTGGTTGCATGTTTTGTTGGTTAGTTACACCTTTGTTAGAGCTGGTTTAATGGGAAAGGATCCTCTTTTCCCCAGTTTGGGCCAGTTAGCCTCTCAGTGAGACCCTGTTACAAAAGAACAAAGAGCTGGGGCTGCAGCTCAGGGCAAAGGCTCTGGGTTAGGCAGGTGGGAGGGGAAACTGACCTCCACTACCGTCTCAGTGTGTAACTGGGGTCTGGGGATGCAGCTCAATGGTAGAGTGCTTGCCTAGCATGCAAAATGCTTTGAGTTCAATCGCCAGTACCATGAATGAATGAATGAATGCACTCCTGTAATCCCAGCATCAGGGGAGCCTGAGGCATAAGGATGGTGGCAAGTTCAAGACCAGCCTGGGCTGCAAGGTGAACTCAAGGCCAGCCTGAATTGCATACTGAGACCTTGTCTCAAAAAGACTAAATAAAATGTAACTAGTAAGTCACTTCAGGCTCTGCCTTAAACTTGCTTATTTGTAAGTTATAATAATACCAGTGCTTATGTTGGTAGGGCACTGGGACAGCTGGGCGTGTTTGTTTAGGCAGATTTCTTTGCTTGTTTTTGAGACAGTGTCTCACTATGTCTTGATCTGAGCTGGCCTTGAAAGCAATCCTCAGGTCTCAAAGTGCTGGGATTATAGGTTTGTGCTACCCGCCACAGCAGTCTTTTTGTTTTGTTTTGAGGTACTGGGGATGGAACTCACGACCTCACCCTTACTAAATTGGTGCTCATGCTGCTGAGCTAAATCCCTAGTCTTTTTTTTTTTTTTTTTTTTTTTTTTTTGTACTGGGAGTTGAACTCTGCACCTGGCAGTTGCCAGGCAGGTGCTATGCTGCTGAGCTATATCCCCAGCCCTTGTTTGTGTTTTGAGACAGGGTCCATGTAGTAGAGGATGGACTCGAGTTTGCATTGATCCTCGGCCTCAGTCTCTTGAGACAGGGTTTTGCTATGTGGTTCAAGGTGGTCTTGAACTCACTGTGTAGCCTATGCTGGCCTTGAACTCTCAGCAGTCCTCTTGCCTCAGCTTCCCAGTGCTGGCATTACTGGCACGTGCCACGATGGCCGGCACGTATTAGTTTATATAAAACTCATTAAGGGTGGCTACCTAGTGAGAGCATTCAGTCCGTATGAGCTACATTCATTGGTGATAAAGGAATTTGTTTCCCTTTTTCTTCTGTCAGTACTGAAGACTAAGCCGGGAGCCTTTGCACTGGGTTACATCTCCAGCCCTTTTCATGCTGTATTTTGAGATAGGGTCTCATTGTGGCTAAACTGCCCGGGCTGGGCTCGAACTCGACAGCCTCCTGTCTCAGCCTCCCAGATGGCCTTGATTATTGGCGGGGGCCATCACACTTACCTGGGAAGCTCGTCTCGAAGACGAATGACTTTTATATGTCACAGAATGGTAAATGTGTCATGGTCTCACGCAACCAGCACAGGATCCGGAGCCCAGCAGTGACTGAGAAGTGTTGGGAGACCAAAGCTGGTAGACACAGCCAAGCTGGGGGGCTGGGACTGTTATGGGGGTGCTGCAGAGCCCCGGGAGGGCGGAGAGCAGCGGAGGGGGCGGGGTTGGGGTTGACAGGCAGCTGCAGGGAGGGCCCGACGGTCCTCCCGGTGACAGGGTGGCTGTCTCGATTTGGGGACCCAGGAAGAAGCACTGCTGTGAAGCAAGTGACAGTACGGAGGGGCGTCCGGACCTAATAAAAACGGAAATACTGGCAATCTAGTGTTAGCTTGCCAGTGAGGAAGCAGGCCAGGAGGTACAGCAGCGGCCCAGAGTAATGGGAGATGGCTCATCTGGGTACTGGAGAGAAGACGAGCGAGAACGGTGGCGGAACAAGAAGGCAGGGTTCACAAGCTTAGCCCTCTGCTTTGGTCCTCATACAACCAGTAACTTGCGTAGAGCGAGGAAGCCTTCCCGGAGGAAGTGTCTTCTAAGCGACCCCAGGCCGTCGAATAGAAGCTGCCCAGACAAAGGGAGGTGGGTGTTCCTGGCCCGAGGAGGGGCCTGGCAAGGGCCAAACGGCGTCAGAGGGGGCGACAAGTTCACAAACTTGAAAGCATTCGTTAGAAGGCTTCATGCGTTAATATCTTATTCCTACTCCCAACTTGTTTCGGAACCCCAAACAAGCCCTCCTTCTCTTTCGGCCTCTCATTACTTAGGTTTTCCCCCTTGGTAAATGGGCACAACCCTTGTTCCTCCTGGGTGTCCCTCGGCCTGGGAGAATCCACCAAGTGGACGATGAGTGACAGTTCATTTAGCCCAATCGCAGTCCTGAAGGCCAGCAATTTCTAAGCCTCATTGGCCAATTGCCGTATTCCTCTTGAAGCCAGAGGGTTGAGGAGGGCGGGCCAAAGGTCTCGAACGTCATCTTTTGATGAACCAATAGGAGTGATTAAGAGGCGGGTCGATCTGCTGATAGACAACTCTGTTTCAAGAAGTACATGAGCGCAGAGCCTGTCGGGAAGCTTTGGGGTGGTGCTCGGGGGTAAAAGGGCGGGAGCTCCTGGCTGATTTTGCCCAATCACCTGACGCACTCTTTGAGACAGACCGGTGGGTTTTCCCATCCCGGTCCTCTTGGGGAGGCGGGGCTCTGAATGCCAGACTGGGCGTGCTCCTGAGCGTTGATGGGCGTGTTCTCCACCAATTACTAGGCGGTATTTTCAGACAGGCCGCCTCCAATACCAATGAGATCTTCTGGTGGGGTCGCGGTGGGCGGGCCGTAGACCCTCCGGTATAAGGCGGTCCCGGGGGCGTGAGGAGAAAGGGGGGGTCTCACAGGCCGGAGGAGGAGTAGGTGCTGGTGAAGATGGCGGCAGCTGAGGCCGCGAACTGCATCATGGAGGTAAGCGCCTGGAGCGCCGCTGGGGCCGGGGGGCGGTTTAGGATCGGTATTTTATGCTTCCGTCGTGGGGAAGGGGCTCTGAGTCGACGAATCGGGGCTGAAGGCCCTTAGCCGCACTATGGGGGTGCCGCATGCACCGTACCTGGGGATACGGCTTGAGGGGGATGTCCCTGGCTTTCAGGGGCCATCGGCACTTTGCGGAGCCGCGGATTTCGGCTCCCCTCCTACGCGGAGCGGTGCTGGGGGCGCTTCCGGCCAGGCCCCCACGTGGCCTTGGCGCCGTGGGTGGGGAGGGGGTGTGCCGATCCCAGGCCCCGCGGGCTCCACGTGCGGGACAAAGGCCCCGCCCCTGGCGGCGGAGGGGCGCCGGGCGGGGGGAGGCAGCAACCTTCTCTCGCAAGCCCCCAACTCGCCTCCTTGGGTACCCGGACAGGTGCCCTGGGGCGGGACTTACTAGGGGCCCTCTGCTATGTTAGCATTGTCTTAGGAGGGCCCAGAGCCTCTGTACCCTCGGTATCGTCCTTCTTGGGCTGGGGTCGTCTGCAGGGTCACCTATCGAGCTTCTGCGCACCGCGGCTTTGGGTTAGGCAGCGAGGACTTGGCCCCCTTTCTCTCTCTTTTCTGTCCGGGATTCTCCCCGGTCCTGGGCTTCGGGAGCTGGGGGATGGGGCATGCCCCTGTGACCTCGCTTGCGTGCTTGCTGGTGGGGATCTAGACCGGAGAGCCTTCCCGACCTGGAGCCGCGCACCCCCTGGTGGCCGTTTCTGGCGTATGGGAGGGACATCTTTTTCATGGGGCGTGGCCCAAGGCTCGAGTGCCCTTCGGATCCCCGTGAGGTGGGCAGATCTGCCGAATAGGAGTTGTGTTGGGTTAAACATGTGTACAGGTTACGGGCTTTACCCTCCCCTCGAGCCCTTTCTCTCTCCTGGTAGTCTTGGAGGGGGCGAGAGAGGACACCCCTCTTTTCTGAAGATCTGTGGGCAGCCTAAGCCTGGATGCCAGAAACAGTTTGCACTGAGGTCCAGTAGGGAGTATTAAGAGATGTTCCAAGTCCTTGGGCTGGGGTTGTCTCGTGGTGGCATCTGTGATATCAAAAAAACGAAGTTCCCCAGCCAGAAATGTTACCAGCCACCCTCTCTAGCTTGGAAGAGGGAGGAGGGGGCTTGGAGCCCAGTGGGTCACGGGATTGGCCCTCTGAAGAGGCGCAGTGCGCTGGGATCTGGGTCCTTCAACTCCTCACCGGGTAGCATTCTCTGGAGGGGAAGGTCAGCTCCCACCTAGATGTCGTTTATGTCTCTGGGGAACAGTGACCTCCCCCCCATTCACCTTACTTGCGCGCTCGGGGCAGGTGGGGGATCAGGCTGGATCTCCCAAACGCGCGGTGGCACATCCTAGGGCTTTGAGATGAGGGAGGGCCATGGGGGGGATGGGCTCTGTCCCTGGGGCATTTTCCTCAGAGGGGCTGGTGACAGGCCGCCCTCAGCAGCGTTACCTCCCTTGGAGAGGGTAACAGAGACATTACTCCCAGCTGGCTTTGTTTGGGCATCCAGACCCCCTAGGCGGACTCCAGGGACTGGGGGACCAGCCGCTGTGAGGGTGGCCTGTACCACACCTCTTTCCTGAAGTCTACTCAGACGAAAGACTAGGTTTGCAGAGCTGGCGGGTGCCCAGTGCCCACTCTGCCAGGCCTTCCAGCTATTCACAGACATCGGGATGGGGGTGTGTGTCAGGGAGTGTCACCTAATCTGGGGGGATTAGGCCTTGAGGGGAGAGACAGCTGGTCATGCCTGCGTGCCTGGTGGGTGCCAGTTCCTCCGGCCTGGGTGGGGGAGGAGTGTGGTCAGCTCCCAGGCCAGAGAGGGGGAGTATGGAAGCTGGATGCCATCTCTCTAGCCACAGCTGGGATCGGAGACCCCCCCCCCACTTCTCCCTCCACCTTTCCCATCCCCTCCTTAAACAGCCCAGCCTCATGACCTGCACGCTCTTCCCGCACACCTCACCAAAGAGAAGCAAAACCAAGGCAGCTCACTGCCTCAGAGCCCAGCCCCGGGCCAGCCGGCCCACCCCAGCCAGGCCCGGTAGCTAATCCTTTCTCCCTGTTACTCTCTCCTAGAATTTTGTAGCCACCTTGGCTAATGGGATGAGCCTCCAGCCGCCTCTTGAAGAAGTAAATATCCTTTTGTGAGACCCCTCCCCACCTCCACATAAATACATCTCCCCACACAACTGACCCTTCCCAAAGGTCTAACCATGATCCCTCTTCCTCCAGTCAAGTGTACCCCATGCCCCAACACAGTGCAAAACCCTTTAAGTTTGCGGCCCTCACTGGCCTCCCTCCATTCTGTGGCTACTTCCTTAACTCCACCTCCAGCCCTCCTTTGCCTTTCCCTTGTGTCTGCCCCAGTTCTGCCTTCCCCTCCCCACCCCAGCTGTGGGCTGAGCTAGAGACTGGGGCAGAGAAACTGGAGAGATGATAGGCGTGGCTGAGGTATCGGGGTACCCCCTGGATGGTGCTCTGGGGTGGGTCCTGGAAGTCGAAAGTGGGGCTGTTAGGTTTGGGGTTCTGGGGGAGGAAGATAGCAGGCAGGGGCTGTAGAAGTGCCCTGGTATGATTTTAGAGGGATTCTGTACTGTTGTAGAGGAAAAAGTAGGGACCTATGGTTTGCTAGGCTGTGGGGATCCCAGATTTGACCCCCACTCCATCCACCCCGTTAGGTTTCCTGTGGCCAGGCGGAAAGCAGCGAGAAGCCCAATGCGGAGGACATGACATCGAAAGACTACTATTTCGACTCCTATGCCCATTTCGGCATCCATGAGGTGAGTATACTGCTAGGGACTGGAATCCTGAGTGCTCAACATTGGAGAGTGGTGCAAGCCACTTTCTTCCCTAGTAGGTCTCTCCCTCCCTTACTATTGCACCTGTGCACCCCAGGCCTCCTTGCCGCCCTTGCCTTGGAGACTAAGGTTAGCCTGGCTGCTAGTGAGGCTGGGGTGAGAAAGCTTGCTTGTCTGAGACCTCACCCAGAGGTCAAAGCCTGCTGGTCTCTGCCGCCCTCTAGTGACTGGCGGTGGCACTGTGCTCCACCTGCTCTAGTCCCCACTGCTGCACTGAAGGATGGAGACTTAAGTCCCAGGATTCAGGTTGGTAGCCTTGGTAAGGAATCCCTGCCCCCTCCAAAGCCTTTTTAAAAAATGGAATGGAACCACATGCCTGTCACCCCAGCACTCTTAAGAGGCTGAGGTTGGATCAGGAGTTTGAACCCAGCCTGGGCAACTTAATGAGACCCTATATCAAAGGGGAAAAAAAATGACTGCATGTAGCTTAGTATGAAGGCTGGGTTTGGTTCCCAGTACAATAAGTCCTCAATTTATGAACATGGAGATTGTTTCTTTTTATCTTTCTGAGACAGGGTCTCACTGTGCAGTTCAGGCTGGCCTTGAGCTCACTTGGTAGCCCAGGCTGGCCTTGAATGCACAAAAATCCTCCTGCCTCAACCTCCCAAGTGCTGGGATTATAGGTGTGCACCACCATGCCTGGCTTGAACATGAAGTTTTGAGCTTTCACAGATACAGACAGGCCTCCAGTTATAGACATTGGTAGATGTGGATGAATGGTAGAAGTCACCTGTGTGTGTGCTGGGCACTGTCATAGTTGTGCTGCTGTGTGCTTACTGCTTGATGTGACAATACACATGTGTACAGGGCATTGTCAGAGCTCCAGGTGTCCAGAAGCCAGAGGAAAAGCAGTGGAGGGGACTGCTAGGACACACAAAGAACACATTGTACTCAGGTGTGTCGGGCTGGCTGGCTGGCTTTGTCAGACTCGTGAACAAGTCTGACTACTGCAGATTTCTAAAAAACTGAGGTGGTAGGCGGACCCAGCACACACTTAACTGAGTTTTATCCTCTGCACCACAAAAGTAGTAAGATGCTTTCTTTTTTCTTTATTTTGTTTTTGAGAGAGGGTCTCACTATGCAGTTCAGGTCCTGCATTTATTCTATAGCCAGGCAGGCTTTGCCTCACAGCAATCCTCCTGCCTCCGTCTCCCTGAGTGCTGGGATTACAGGCGTGTGCTACCATGCCCGGCCACTTTTCTTTATTTGTTTTTTTTAGTGGTGGAGATTAAACTCAGGAGCTTCACACTGAGCTAGTTCCCAGGAGCTATGTCCTCAGCCCTTTTCTATTCTTTGAGATGGTTTTGCTAAGCTGTCTAGCCTGGACTCAGACTTGTGATCTTTCTGGCATCACAGCCAGTGGAGATACTGTTGTCTTTTTTAAGTGTATGGCTCAGTGGCATTGAGTCACTGAGGATATTTTAAGTTACAAAGGACTTTTTAAAATTTTTATTTTGTTTTGAGATAGCATTTTGCTATGCAGCTTAGGTTGGTTTTGAACTCAGGCTGGCCTTGAACTTGCAGCAGTTTTCCTATCTCAGCCTCCCGAGTGCGGAGATTACAAGTGTGTGCCACCACACCTGGTTTGCAATGGGCTTTTTAAAGCCACTGATTTGGTGGCACATGGAGACTGAGGCTTAGTGAGATCCTGCCTCAAAGTAAATTTGGGGGGAGTCTTTTTGAGACAGGGTTCACTATGCAGTTCAGGTTGGTCTTGAACTCACTTTGTAGCCCAGACTGGCCTTGAACTTACAGTGATCCTCCTGCCTCAGCCTCCCAAGTACTGGGATTATTACAAATGTATGCCACCATGCCCAGCATCAAAATAAAAAATTTAAAACAGGCTGGGAATGTTGCTCAGTGTGGAGGCCTTGGACTTCAGTCCTTAGCATCACAAGAAAACCACCCCCACACATGCACATGGGACCCTGGAGCCCATGTGGGAATGGTAGAACCCAGCCAAGATGAGAGTTTGGCCCAACTCATTTGATTATGCAAAGAGAGACAGTGAGGTACACAGAAGGGAAACGGTTTCTCCAGGGGGACTGAGGCCAGGACCGAACCCCTCACAGAGGCTCTGCACCCCTTCTCCCAGGAGATGCTGAAGGACGAGGTGCGGACCCTCACCTACCGCAACTCCATGTTCCACAACCGGCACCTCTTCAAGGACAAAGTGGTGCTGGACGTGGGCTCTGGCACAGGCATCCTCTGCATGTTCGCTGCTAAGGCAGGGGCCCGGAAGGTCATCGGGGTGAGTCTCCAGGGCCCAGCAGGGCTCAGGGACTGGATGGGGGGGCCGGGCCTGGGGTGGGACTGGGGGTCTCATCCTCTCCTCTTCTGGCCCTTAGATCGAGTGTTCCAGTATCTCTGATTATGCTGTGAAGATCGTCAAAGCCAACAAGCTAGACCATGGTGGGTGAGCCCAGGAAGAGGTTGGGTTTGTGGGGAGTCCCAGCCACGCCACTGCCCCACTTGGCAGCTGTTCCCTGCGTTCTCCTGGACTGCCAGCAGCCAGAGACTCTGAATGTCCCAGCTGCAAGCGCAGCACCACCTCCAGGTTCTTTTGTGTAAACAGTCACAGGGCCATTAGCAGGGGCGGGGTGGGGGGGCTCTCTGATATGTGACCCCTGGCTGCTCAGCCACCCAAGCCCAAGCCTGCATCTGCCTGGCACCTCCACCCAGAGAGCTGCGCTGCCCTCCCAGTGCCTCCTGGCAGCACATTCCCTCCTCACTGTGGACCTCTGTCACCTGTTGGTGGTGTAGTGTAAGGGGATGTCAGGGCGTGTCTCTCAACTGCTATCCCCAGCACTGTGACAAGTCCTGTCCCCTGGGCATTTTAGCTGCTTCAGAGATCTGTATCCCTTGGCACACCCGTCATTTTACACCTAGACCTGGGTCTGTGTGTGGCTAGACACGGGCCTCCCAGTTCTGCCAGCTCAGCCAAGGACTAGAGGCCTGGGATTAAGAGGCTTGCAGGGAGCACTGAGAGTGCCTAGCACTTAGCTGCAGATGGGTGTCCTCCATTTCCATGAGGCTGGCAGGGCCATCGCTTCTTAGCCCATCCAACCCACAGCCTCAGAGTCCCCTGTAGGGAGAGGGTCTGGCAAAGCTGGAGCCTCGAAGCTGAGGAACCCCTGGTGCAGTGTGAGGTACCCCCCCCACCCCACCCCACCCCACCTCACCTACCCCTTACCAGGTACTATTCCTGCTCCTTCTGGGGAATGGCCAGCCGCATGGGGGCTGGGCTCAGGGGGGAGGGTGAGGCCTGGATTCCATCCCAGCACTAAAAGGAAAAACCTGACTAGAGTGATTTGAAAATAGCCAAGAGGATGCAGCTTTGCTCCCAAGTCCTTGGGAGGAGTCCAGTGCAGCCCCAGCCCTGTCCTGGGAAGACAAGGGCCGCCTCCGTCAGTCTCAGCTGATGGTGGCCCCTGCCCTACAGTGGTGACCATCATCAAGGGGAAGGTGGAGGAGGTGGAGCTGCCAGTGGAGAAGGTGGACATCATTATTAGCGAGTGGATGGGCTACTGCCTCTTCTACGAGTCCATGCTGAACACTGTGCTCTACGCCCGAGACAAGTGGCTGGTGAGGCTGGCTGGGTGGCATCCCAAGTGGGTGAGCCATGCTGGGGCTCCCCAGAGGGGACCTGCTAAGGGTGGGGCTGACCATCTGGAGGAGGCCAAGGCAGGGTAAGGGCAGAGGGTGCTGGAGCCAAGGGTGTGGAGCACAGGTGGCTTTCTGGGTACCCCTCAGCCTCAGGACTGTGGCCTGGTGCTTTCACGCCCTCTGGTGGCTGTGGGGGGAACGGACTCAAGATGGGGCTAGTGACAGTGGCACAGAGGCTAGATCCCTGAGGCTGTGGTCAACAGTGCTGTGACCCTGCCCTTCATGGCCTTGCACAACTCTGCAGGCACCGGACGGCCTCATCTTCCCAGACCGGGCCACGCTGTACGTGACAGCCATTGAGGACCGGCAGTACAAAGACTACAAGATCCACTGTGAGCTGGGCAGAGGGCTGTGGGCAGCCCAGGTTCCAGGGCCTGTCCACGGCCACTCACCCTGCCTGCCACCTCCACAGGGTGGGAGAATGTATACGGCTTCGACATGTCCTGCATCAAGGATGTGGCCATCAAGGAGCCACTGGTGGATGTGGTGGACCCAAAGCAGCTGGTCACAAATGCCTGCCTTATAAAGGTCCGGGGCTGGGCTGCCACCTGGCCAGTGGGGGGACTGGGCCCTGTGAGCCTGACCTGTGCACCAAGGCGGTGCCTGAGGCCAGAGTGGTCACTCTGGCTGTTAAAGTGGGAGAGGTATCGTGAGCCAATGTGCCAAGGAGGTTCTGGCTGTGTCGAACTGACACAGGGGTGGGCACTGGGCAAAGGTACGGGACATCAGGGTCATGGGGTCAGGTAGTGGCAGTAGGTAAAGGGGGGGCAGGGAAAGCAGCTGGGTTCTGGAGACAGTGTCTGTGGGATTTGGGTGTGAGAGAAGAGATGGAGATCCCTGGCAGCCTGGTTTGAGCTTGATCATCCAGCTGGAGATTGGGGAACAGGCTGGGCTGGATGGGGAGCCGCACTTCTTGGGCAGGGCAGGGCAGGGGCAGGGGCCTGGGCTCATAGTCTGCCCCTACCTGCAGGAAGTAGACATCTACACTGTCAAGGTAGAGGACCTGACCTTCACCTCACCATTCTGCCTGCAAGTGAAGCGGAACGACTATGTGCACGCGCTGGTGGCCTACTTCAACATCGAGTTCACACGCTGCCACAAGCGCACCGGCTTCTCCACCAGTGAGTGGCGTGGCTGGGCACAGGAGCTGGTGTGACGGGGGAGTGTAGTCAGGGACCTGGAGAGCCTGATGACCATGGCCGGTGTGCTTGTCCCCAGGCCCTGAGTCCCCATACACGCACTGGAAGCAGACAGTGTTCTACATGGAGGACTACCTGACAGTGAAGACGGGCGAGGAGATCTTCGGCACCATTGGCATGCGGCCCAATGCCAAGAACAACGTGAGGCGCTTGGGGACTGCTGCTCAAGGACGCTGGGCTCTCCCAGCCCAGACGGTGGGGGGGGGGGGGGGCTGGATGGGACCTGGGCAGGGACCAGTGTGGGCACAGCACGGCCAGCCTTCAGTATTGGAGGATTGGAGGTGCTGCCTCCAGTGGGGCCTGGTGGGGTTGGCCTGGGGGCCTGGGCGGGAGGCTGACACCCAGTGTTGCCCAAGACCGCCTGCTTTCCAGTCAGGCCCACAAGAAGCAGTGTGCGGCCACACTCCTAGCAGAGTGGGCGGTCGTTGCACCGAAACAGCTACAGCTGGCCCTGCTGGAAACCTGCTGCTAGCATCTAGCGGGGGAGGCCAGGGATGCGGGTAAACAGCCTGTGGTGTCCCCTCACAGCTCTCCAGCCCAGGGAGAGCCCCAAGTGGAGTGATAGGCACTGCAGAGGCAGGGAGGCACTGGCCTGTGGGTGTAGCCTGTGCTCTGGTGGCAGGGGATGATGGGGGCAGGACTGGCACTCTCAGGAGTGAGGGCTGGGAAGGTTTCGTCGGGAGTGCGGCAGTGGGGCCAGAATGCTGAGTGCTGTTGGGTTGTTGCCTGTCTCTTGTCACCCTTACCCTGTTCTTTTCCCTGCAGCGAGACCTGGATTTCACCATCGACCTGGACTTCAAGGGCCAGCTATGCGAGCTGTCCTGTTCCACTGATTACCGGATGCGCTGAGGCGACACCCAGGGCCTGTGGCATTCTTAGGCAGTTTGGGGTCCCCCTTCCTCTCCCTCCCTCCCACAGAAGAGGGTTTTAGGGGTTGGGGTTGGGGGGATGGGCAGGGCACATCGTGACTGTTTTTCATAACTTATGTTTTTATATGGTTGCATTTACGCCAATAAATCCTCAGCTGGGACCCGGCTCAGCTTCCTGGGCATGCCGTAGTGTGGAGTTCCCTGCAGGTGCTGGGTGCCGACCCACATGGCTCTGCTCTCTGTGACCCCTTCCCTTTCCATGGGGTCTCACCCTCTGGTTGTCTTGGAAGTCTTTGCCCCAACTTTGTCATTCCTTTTGGAGTGCTGGGCATTAATCCTTGAACCCAGGACCTTTATTTTTTATTTTGAAATGAGGTCTTGCTAAATCATTAAAGTTGCCCAAACGTGATCCTCCTGCTTCAGCCTCCCAGAGATCTGGGATTACAGGCTTGCTCTGCCACACCTGGCTCCCTGGTCTTTTCAGGTTCTGTGCCCTCGCTGCTGTGGCACTAGGCAGGGCTCCAGACCAGGTGCTGGGGGTGGGGGACAGATTCCCAGCACTGGTGGCCTTTAGGTTTCCCAGAAGCCTCTCCCTGCCCCCCAGCATCACATTGTTCCTCTCTAGCTGTTTTTTCCTGTCCAGGACCCTCCAAGGCCGAGGCTGGGCGGACGGGGTGTTGGTGGGGCCTGACCTGCTGCAGCTGGGGAAGCAGAGTCAGGCTGACATAGGACTCCTTGCAGGGGGGTATGCACTCCATCCTGCAGTCTAAGGTGGTCTCAGGCGGGCACAGCTTTAGAGCAGTGGACTCGTGGCTTACAGGGCTGGCTACGGAGGCCTGGCTAGTCTGCCTTGTGTTCTACACCACCAGTGCCTCTTCTGCCCATTGTCTTAGGCCTATCCACTGAGTCCCTAGCCCCCAACCACAGTGCTGGCAGACCTGGGCCACCCAGAGCCACGGTAGAGATGGGAGACTGCCTGCCCATCCATCTCCCCTACCCAGGACCTTGCTTCCTGGCCATGTGTTCCTGATCTTACACTGCTACCTGTCCTCTGCATTTCTAGCTAAGACTCCTGGGTAACCATCCCAGCCTCCCACCGTGGGGTTTCCTGGAAGCCCCACAGCATCCGAACCTGTTGGGGGAGGGCAGTCCACCCCATTTCCGGAAACCTTAAAGGGCGCTCCACAGGGACCGCAAGGGGCACAGGCATGGGACAGCGTGACCCAACTGTGGTGGCGGGGCCAGGCACAAGGATCTGAGTTTGAATCCTGTCCCTCTGGCGCGGTGTGGCTGTGTCCACGCTGGACCTTTGGCCTACCTTGCCTCTGCCTGAGAAGTGAGAGGTCAGGGACCGCTAGGGAGGGAGCAGGGCTGCTTGGCCCAGAGTGCCGGCCCCGGCCCGAGCCGCCCAGCGATGGCTGCCCCCTTCCTCCTGCTGTTGCTCCTTGCAACCTCTGCCCTGGGTGCCCGGGACTCGGTGGAAAGGTGAGAAAGGCCGGGTGGGAGGGAGATGCTGGGCGGGAGGGAAATGCAGAGTGCGCATCCCATGCCTACAGGGGGCGCTGCTTGAACCTGGTCCCCACTGTGCTCCCTCCCCAGGCGGCCCCGCGCCCAGGTTGCTCAGCGCCGCGGCCGCAGCTGCTCTCTTGGCACCTGCCAGACGCACCTCCTGCCGCACCGCCTGGCCTGGGTGCGCGCGCTTTCTGCCAAGGAGCCCTCAGGGAAAGCGGCCCGTGAGCCCCAGGACCCCCGCAGCTACGGTCGCCGCCGACGCGAGACCCCTGCCCTGCCCTGCCCGGGCATCGGGATGCCCAGCCACGAGCCAGGCCCGCGGACCCCGGACCTCACCCTGCTTTCTTCGCCCCGTGAGACCGGCTCCCGGTCCTCTCCCCGCTGGGCTGGGCGGGACCGAGCACTAAGGTCCCAGGCGGAATAAACAAAGAGTTCCACGCATGTCTGCTGTCTGCGCCCCATCTGTGCCGGCTCCGTTCCCCACATATGTCCCCTTTCTCGGGTCTCCCTGGCCTCTCGGAATTCTTCTGCCGTCTGACTGGAGGCGCAGCGACCCCTCCAGGCCAGCTCAGTTCCTGTGCCCTTCGGTGGGTGGTCGTAGGCGCCACCCTCAAGACTCCCTTCCGCAGATGCGCCCCGCGCGTGACGTCACGCAGCCCTGTGCCGGACTGAGGGCCCCCCCCCCCGCGCCAAACCTCGGTGTTGAAAAGAAAATAGGAGCCCCAGGGCAGAGCGTGGGGCTGAGGATGAGGGGTTTGGCGGCACGAGAACGTGAATGAGGGGCCGAGTGGGGGTGCAGCAACCGGTGGAAGGAGAAAGGGAGGAGCTCGAGCAGAGAGAGGGGATTGGACGCTGTTTATCAAAGGGGCGGGGACAGGGCCGCGAGGGGGAGGGGCAGAGATAGATCGGAGGAGCTGAATACCGGGTTAGGCACATGCGCCACAGAAATCAGAGCTTCTTGGTGTCGTATGGTCTTGGGGTGGCCAGAACTCCTGGGGCCGGTCGGCCAAGTGGTGCACTCGCCTTTCTGGGCTTAGACCTATGCAAGAGAAAGACTTGGGTCCTGAGCTCAAAATCTGGGAGCACGGGGCTATAGGTGGGCTTGGTTCCCAACATCCGATCTGCAGACGCCTGACCTAGAGTAAGTACCGGGCCGCGGGTGAGGCTGCTAGGGGTTACCCCGGTGGCTTCTGCAACACTTGGTCTCCTCGCCACAGCTCCAGGTCTCTGTATCCCTGCTGCAGGGCATGCGCAGTAGGGCGCGCCCTTCACCCCCACCCTCCAGCTGGTTGGGGGAGGGGCCGCCCCAGGATGTAATAATTTATGGAACCCCCTCACCCGCCCCTTCGTGGGGTGGGAAGCGGAAATGGGGTGGACAAGGTCCCTGTCTGGCAGGTGTTTCTTCCCTGAGAGTCAGATGTGTTTGCTGGAGACAGCAGTTTCCCTCACCCACACCGAAGCTTGACATCTTTGGGGGTGAGGGGTACCCCCTGAGCGCTGAGTTCTTTCCACGGCAGCTAATGGCATTCACACAAGTGAACCGTCAGAGATTCTTAATTGATACCCCTTCCCCAACACCTCGGGGTCTCTGACCAGGGCCTTCAAGACCCTATAGGGGCTTAGGAGGAGGGGAGCCAGTGCTATATTTCCCGGTTGTGGGGACAGGGCTGCAGCCTGGACCCCAAGCGCTCGGGAAGAGGTTTGAGGAGGGAGCCCGCGGACTGAGGGAGGAGGCTGGACCTAGAAAGTGACCCGTCCTCCCAGGGCCCCCGGGTGACATGGCAGAAGCGTGCCAGGCCGTGGGCTTCGTGCCCTCGCTGACCTCCAGCGGGCCCGACGTGGAGCTCAAGGGCCCGGTGCTGCAGGACATCTACCTCTCGGGGCTGCGGTCCTGGAAAAGGCATCTCTCGCGTTTCTGGGTGAGGACTGCTGCTTGGTTTCCTTCCGGGAATCCAGCCCCCTGCTTTCCAGGGCCACTTCACTGCCTTCACTCTGGGAATGTGGCCGTCCTCCTCAAGGTGGGGGGATCCCTTCAGCATTTCTCCATGGTGCCTTTTGGGATCCTCACCTAAGAGGGCCCCCTTCTCTTACACTCATTCTGAATGCTACCCTACCTTACCCATCCACATGTTACTGCTGCTCCCTCCCCAATTTCTTTCTTTTTGTTTTTTAATTGTTAAGATTTTTTTTAGACAGAGTATTGGTATGCAGTTCAGGGTGGCCTTGAACTCACTATGTAGCCCAGGTTATCTTCGAATTCACAGGGTAACCACAGAATCCCAGCGTCTGACCTGCAGATGCAGAGCCTCCTGCCTCGGTCTCCCCAGTGATGTCACTTCTGGTGGCCTCCCCAATTTCTAGTCTAGAACCCCCTTGCTTTTCTTGCATGGCAGGGGCAGAGCCCAGGCCTCACACATGCTGGGCAAATGCCCCGCTGCTGAGCTATCTGTCCTCAGCCCCTCCTTGTGGTGCCTTCCTTGCCTCTCCCTAGCCTCTCTTGCTTCTAAACAAGGCGCCTCTTGCTTCAGATCCTCTGGGCTGTCAACCCCATCACAACTGTGCCTGAGCCAGTCATGATGGCATATACCTGTCATCCCAGGATTCTGGGAGGCTGAGGCAGGAGGATCACAAGTTTGAGTCCATCCAGGGCAACTTAGTGAGACCTATCTCAAAACAGAGAATCTAAAAGAGCTGGGGATAGAGCTCAGCGTGAAAGCCCCGGGTTCTATCCTCAGTAACCAGGAAAAACAAAATCTGTCAGGAGCGCCCCCTCTTCTGGGCTGACTGCTGAGGCAGGGCCAGTTCTGTTTACCCTGCTGGATGGATATGCAGCACCCGAGCCAGAGCCTTGCCCACACCAGCATGTCAGTGACTATCTGGGAACAGTGTCACACTCAGTAGGGACACCTGTGACTTAACAGAGGCCCTCTCCTGCCCACAGAATGACCTCCTCAGCGGTGTGCTCCCTGCCAGCCCCCTCAGCTGGCTCTTCCTCTTCAGTGCCATCCAGCTTGCCTGCTTCCTCCAGCTGGACCCTTCCCTGGGACTGATGGAGAAGATTAAAGAGCTACTGCCGGCCTGGTGAGGTCCCCTACACGAGCCCAGGACCCTCATAATCCTTCTCCTGCCAGTTTAGTTTCTCTGCCAGTTAAGTTTCTCTATCAATGTGCCAAAGAAAAGTAACCCCTGAAACTTACTTTAGGTCAGATTAATAAAGGTATGGAATCAGGAAAGAGGAGGTGACTTCCTCTCCTCTCTCCGTTTTCTATCCTGGCTGCTTCTTGTAAAGAGGGATGGTAACAAGCTAGAGGGATGAGCTCTGCCCCACTCCAGTTATGTAATCTTTTTGGGATTCTCAGTTGTCAAAGCCTTTGACTGTGGGATACTAATTGATTCTTAGGGTTCTTGAAAGAATTAATCAATATCATTCACGGGCCAGGAGATGACTAACTGAGAGTGGCTACATTATAATTGTTGTTGCTGTTGCCATTAGGAAAGGTGTGAAAATCAGGTCCCCAAGTAGCGCAGACTGTCTTCGAACTCACTATGTAGCCCAGGTTGGCCTGGAACCCAGGAAGATGCTACTGCCTTTGTCTCCTGAATGCTGGTATTACATGCTTGGGACACCCCACTCAGGCCCACCTCCCTTTCTTTCCCCAGTTGGGGACAGTACCACAGGCTCCGGGGCCTTCTGGCGGCTGCGCTGTTTGCCCTGTGTTTGTGGGGTGCCCTGATCTTCACGCTTCACGTGGCCCTGAGGCTACTTCTGACCTACCACGGCTGGCTGCTCGAGCCCCACGGAGCCATGTCCTCGGCCACCAAGACCTGGCTGGTACGTGAGGGTCGCAGGCCGTGCGACACAGGACACCTCTCTGTATCTTTTGCGCCTCTGCTGCCCTCTCTCTAGGTCTCTGTGCCCCATCTCTCTGGATCCTAGTCCCCTTTTTGGGTCCCTTCACCTCTCGGGTCACAGTCCTCTTCCCTCTGTGGTCACTCTGGCCCACCACGTGCTTTATATTTGTCCCGGCTCGGTGACCATGACCTGGGGTCCCCCCTCCCCCGCAGGCCCTGGTCCGCATCTTCTCCGGCCGCCATCCCATGCTCTTCAGCTACCAGCGTGCCCTGCCACGCCAACCCGTGCCCTCGGTGCAGGACACCGTGTGCAAGGTGGGCCGGGCCGAGCCGGGAGGCGGGATGCGGGATGCGGGCGCGCGGGCACGGGGTGACGCCCCTTCCGCCCTCCCTCACGCAGTACCTGGAGTCCGTCAGGCCTGTCCTCCTGGACGAGGACTTCGACTGGACCGCGCGGCTGGCGCAGGAATTCCTGAAGCTGGAGGCTTCGCTGCTGCAGTGGTACCTGCGGCTCAAGTCCTGGTGGGCTGCCAACTACGTGAGTCCCGCCCCGGGCCACGCCCACAGCCCCAGGCCTAGATGCCATTGGAGCCTCCAGATGCCAATAAATGATCTCCGCCCCCTGCCTGGGGAACTGGCCCCTCCCCTGGGCTCCGTAGCCCCGCTCCGTGACCTGTTAAAGAAACTCAGCTCCCAGGTTTGAACGACTGAACCTCCCCTAGATACCCTAAGACTGAGCTCGGTCCCCACCTCGCCAAAGTTTCAACCAGAGTTCCAGGTGCTGTGCCATGTTTCTTGCTTGAGGACCACTTCCCTAAATGGGCTTCCATTCTGAGTTCAAGAGCTAGGCTTTTGCTTCCACTCAGAGGAATCGATTCCTTGAGAAACTGAGGCACATAGGTGGGTCAGTGAGTCATCCAAATCCAGACTGGCCAGCCTCATGTTCTGTGCATGTAGGCCTTTGAGTAAACTTTGTGTATACCGAGACTCCCGAAATCACTGGAAGCTTCTGAATTGTTCTAGAAAAAGATATGATACATTCTGAGATTGAAGTGTAAGCTGCAACAGACATGAAGATGCAAATATTTGTGCATTCTTGAAGATTCTATAAGGATTCATGACCTAGAAACAGGAAAATGTCTGGAAACATTCAAGTCCCCTCCAATCATTTCCTTGTAACCTTGTTTCCATTGTTTAGGAAACTGATCAGTCTCATATGAATACATATGATCATACTCAGATCCTGAATTTCATTTTTTTTTTTTTTGGTCTTTTTTCTTTTTTATCAGTACTTGGGATCGAACTCATGACTGCCTGCTTGCAAGGCAGGTGCTTATGCCACTGAGCTAAATCCCCAGCCCCCTGAATTTCATTTTTGTTTGTTTTTTTGAGACAGGGTCTCACTTTGTAGTTTAGGTTGGTCTTAAACCTACTAAGTAGCTCTAGCTGACCTCAAACTCATGGCAGTCCTCCTGCCTCAGCCTCCCCAGTGCTGTGATTACAGGCATCCATCACACACTCAATTTGAATTTCATTTCTTTGAATGGTTGCTGGGGTGTAGCTCAGTGGTAGAGGGCATACTCAGCAAATCCAGGCCCTGAGTTCAGGGCCTACTACTACAAAACAATTATTTTTCCTTTGTATAGTTAGATAACACTGTTCAATGGAATGAACCAAATTTTCTCTGTCCATTGCATTATAGCAGTATTTATTTATTTATTTTTGGTGCCAGGGATTGAACTCACGATCTCATGTTTGAATATAGCAGTACTTAAAAATTCAAAATCAGAAATAAGGATGGTGGTGCATACCTGTAATCCTAGTGCTCTGGGAGGCTGAGACAGGAGGATTGCAAGTTTGTGGAGAACTTGGCAGTTTATGAGACTGTTTCCTGCTGGAAGGTCTCAGAGGACTCATTTACACATTCTTGGTATCCTGAAGGATTGGGCAGGATAGCAGGAGGAGGGACAGAGTCAGATTTGTTAAAGATAAAAGTGCACTTGAGAGTAGGTGTGGCCACCAGAGGCAGGTACTGGGTCTCTTAGAGTCCCAAGGGAGGTCCAGAGTTGGGGATTACAGGAGTCAGCATCTCAGTACCTGACTCATGCTAGTCATTAGGAAGAGGAGATTTTAACCATACATGATTTATTTATTTATTTATTTATTTATTTTTGTGCCAGGGATCAAACTCACAACCTCAAGCTAGCCAGGCAGGTGCATATGCCACTGAGCTAAATCCCCAGCCATACAAGGCGTTTAGAGCAAGGCATCCAAATCCCACATAAGGGTTAGAACCTCAGTGCAGATGAGGCTGAACAAAGGCCAGGGCCAGGTATTTTTTTTGTTTTTGAGATAGGATTTTCCCTATGTAGCCCAGTCTGGCCTTGAACTCTCCATAGTCCTCCTGCCCCAGCCTCCCAAATGCTAGAATTAAACCATGTGACACCATGCCAAACCCAGGCTGTGTACTTTTGAGGACATGGGTTGATTGGCTGAAATCCCAGCATGTGGGCAGCTGAGATAGAAGGGTCACCGTGTACTCAAGGCCAGTGTGGGTCACACAGTGAGACGCTGCTTCACAAAACAACCATAAATAAATTGATAGAACTGGCATAATCAGCCCTATTTCTTTTTCTTTCTTGGTAATGGAACTTGAATTCAGGACGTTACTTACCAGGCAAGTGTTTGTACCGCTGAGCTATATCCCTGGCCCCTAGGCAGCCCCGCAAAAGCTACATCCAACTCTTGACTGTTTTGAAAAAGAACTCTAACCAGAACTTCATGAAGCCCTCTGTTTAGGTCTCTGTGTACTTGTATTAATTCTTTGATTTTTATGAGGTTGGTTTCTGCCTTTTTAAATTATTTCTCCAGAAGCATCAGGTTTCATTTAGTACACAGCAGATGATCCGCATTCATGCAGCAAGACAGCTAATACCCTGCTATTTCTTTTTTCTTTTCTTTTTTTTTTTCTTGTCTCTTTGAGACAGGATCTCGCTATGTAGTTCAGGCTGGCTTTGAGCTTACTTTGTAGGTTGAGACCAGGCTGGTCTTGAACTTGCAGTGATCCTCCTGCCTCAGCCTTCTGATAGCTGGGATATCCCCTCTCTGAAGTGTCCTTGTGCATCCTCCAGATATTTTCCTAAATCTGCAGGACACCCAGAGGTTGGCGTTGGTGTCACCCACACATCAAAGAAGCCCACAGTGGGCAGGCAGCTGGTGGGCCATCCTGGTCGGCACTGGCACCTCCTGTTCCAGGAGAAGCCAGCAGCAGGTCTGGGGCTCATCAGTGATGGGTGTCAAAGACTGAGTAGCAAGATGCAGAAGAGCCTCGGTTGCTCAGCTAAGAGCAGGGTTGGCTGGGCATGGCGGTGGGAACACTGTCATGGGGAGCTCCCTATCACCCCAATTGAGCCGGCTGCTTTGCCCACCACACCGGCCTGCTCAGTAGGCTGCAGCTGGGCAGACAGTCTCTCACGCTATGTAGCCAGGGTGTTGAGGATTAAGCACCGTGTAAGGGCAGACAGATTCACTGGTTCTCAGTTTGCTCTTCCTGCTACCTCAAGACCCTGGCTCAGAGCCAGGTAGTGTGGCACACACCTGTAATCCCAGCACTGGGGGGGGGGGGGGCTGAGGCAGGACAAACCATGTTACTTGGAGGCCAGCCTGGTCTACATAGTGAGTCCAAAGCTGGCCTGAATTATGTAGTGAGACCCTGCCACAAAAAACAAAAACAAATGAAACAAAACAAAAATCTCTATCTCAAAATATAAAAGGTAAAGGAGTGTTGGGGATGTAGTTGGGTGAAGGTTTGAGCTCCAGTAACACACACACACGTACACACACACACACAAACACAAGATCATTCCACACATTTTCTTGTGCTCCTAATCCTTTGCCCTGAAAAATGTCTCCATGCTCATTTTGGGTCAGCAGACATGGATGTATCTTGTCTTTTACCAGCTGTGTAATATTCTCTAAACTGAGTGTGACCTGGTTTAGTTAACTGATCCCTGATCCACAGACTTTCAGGTTTCGCTAGTTAATGATGATGGCAGCCTCCTTGAGCTCCACCCTGCCTGTGTGACACAGAAAAGCTTTGGTGGCCCAGTGACCCTCCCCTTCAAGGTCGCAACCTGTGTGTCTTTCACCCCATTCTCAGGTCAGCGACTGGTGGGAAGAATTTGTGTACCTGCGATCACGAAGCCCGCTGATAGTGAACAGCAACTATTACCTGATGGTGAGGGTGGGAGGAGCCGGGAGGGCTGGGGTTGCCACACCCCAAGGCCAGGGGTTGTCAGGAATCCCAGAGTACACTCTGGAGACACATGTCCGCCTCTTTTGGGGTCAGGACCCCCCTTCAGGGAGCTCAGGCATGTCACTGTCCCCAGGACTTCCTGTATGTCACACCCACGCCGCTGCAGGCAGCCCGTGCGGGAAACGCCGTTCATGCACTGCTCCTGTACCGCCGCCGGCTGAAGCGCCAGCAGATCTCCCCGGTAAGATACTGTGGGTGGGCTGTGGACAGAGGCGTGGTCCTATGCCTGGGGACCTGCACGTGGGTCCTGGAAGGCAGCTCATGGGCCCACGACCTCCCGCAGACTCTGCTGATGGGAATGCGCCCCTTGTGCTCTGCCCAGTACGAGAGAATATTCAACACCACGCGGGTCCCGGGGGTGCACAAAGGTGAGACCCCTTCCTTGAGTCCACTGTGGGACACAGTACTGTGGTGGCAGAGGTGGTTTCTCGGGAGCCAGTCTGCTGGGGCTCCAGCCTTTCCTGTGTGGCCTTGGGTACATTACTGCCCTCGTTGAGACTCAGTGTCCTCATCTTTAAAATAGGATAACAGGGCAGTACTTGGGAGATGGAGGCAGGAGGATTGCTGTGATTTTTGAGGCCAGAGTTTTCACAGTGAGTGCAAGGTCATATATACTGAGATCCCATCTCGGAAAAAATGTTTAAAAGAATGGGATAGGGCCAGGGATTTAGCTCAACAGTGTAAGCGCCTGCCTGGCAAGCAAAATGTTGTAAGTTCTGTCCCTGGCACACGCACACACACATAATAAGCCAAGGGTGGTGCATGCCAGTTAACCCAGAACTTGGGAAGCTGAGGCAGGAGGATTTCCACAAGTTCAAGGCCAGCCTGAGCTACACAGAGACTTCAGGACCATCCTGAACTACAAAACAGAGAATCTGTCTCAAAAAACCAAATAAAACAAAACCAGTCAAACCCAACCCGAAGGGGATATTGGGGGGGGGGTGAGGTCCAGGGGTGTTGAGCACAGAGCAGGGGCTTCGTTATCCCTCCAATGCGCCGCCCTCCTGCTTCTGCCTGCCTGACCCCTAGACCACCTCCGCCACCTCCATGACAGTCGGCATGTGGCCGTGCTCCACCGGGGCCGGTTCTTCCGCGTGGGGACCCACTCCCCAGATGGCTTGCTTTCTCCGAGAGCCCTGGAGCAGCAGTTCCAGCGCATCCTGGACGACCCCTCGCCCGCCTGTCCCCATGAGGAGCACCTGGCGGCCCTGACAGCCGCCCCCAGGTGAGGGGCACAGGCAGCTCCGGGGCTCTGGGGCAGGCCGGGTGGGAGTGGTGGCCACTCATGTGGCTCGCGCAGGGGCTCCTGGGCCCAGGTGCGCCAGACCCTCAAGACCTGTGCCACCCACGCCTTGGAGGCCGTGGAGAGCGCCGCATTCTTCGTGTCGTTGGACCCCGAGCCTGCGGGGCTCACCCAGGAGGACCCCGCAGCCTCGCTGGACGCCTATGCCCACTCCCTGCTGGCAGGCTGCGGCTACGACCGGTGAGTCCTGTGCTCCCTGGTACCTTGAACCCAGGTCCGCACCTGGGGCATCCTTCTGCACTGGACAAGACCCCAGACCCTGTAGCCTCTAAATCCCAGAGCCAGTGCCTGGACCCATAACCCGGACCCAGTCCTCTAAATTCAGGGATCTCAAACCTATGGGCACCGAGTCCCAAACTTGGACCCTCTGACAGAGAGCCCCAACCTGCAGGTCTTAGACTCAGAACTTGAACCATCCCTCAGATCTTCCTGCAGACACCCCAAACCCAGGACCCCAGACCTGGGGCCTCATACTTGAAGATTCTTAGAGTTTTGTTTTCCTTAAGACACAGTCTGGGTGTGTAGTGCAGGCTGGTCTTGAACTCACTACACAGCTCAGGCTGGCCATGAACTTACAGCAATCTTCTTGCCTCAGCTTCTCAAGTGCTGGAATTACAGATATGAGCCACTACGCCTGGGCACAGACAGGTTTCCTGTGCCCACCTGGCACTATCCTGATTCCTAGGAGCAGGAGAGGCTCCACACTTCTAGGCACCTGAAAGGTCCCCAAGTCCCAGTCCAGAGGCACCACTAGGGACCCCAGGCTGTAGTGCTCCCCATGGCAGGTGTGCCGGACCCTGGTCAATTCCTCACTTCGCCCAGCCCCACAAGTCCCACAATTCAAGCCTAGTTCTCCCCACCCCTGCTCTTGGGTGACCCTGCCGAACTGTCCCCCACAGCTGGTTTGACAAATCCTTCACCCTGATCGTCTTCTCTAATGGGAAGCTGGGCCTCAGCGTGGAGCACTCGTGGGCTGACTGCCCCATCTCAGGACACATGTGGGAGGTAGGACACTCTGCCAGCCAAGGACCCCAGCTTGCCTCCAAGACCCTCTCGGCAAACTGAGGTACAGCTGCAGCCAGAGAAGGGCTCAGCAAGTACTCGGGGCTGGGATGATCAATGGGCAACTGGGCCTCAGGGAGGGACAGCGATTTTCCCAGGGTCACACAGCAAGGAGGTGCACAGTGAGAATTTGAATCCAGGGGGCTCACTGAGACTTTTCCCCACCACACGCAGAGGCAGAAGAACCATCTTCCTGCCTTCCTGTGAGTTTCTGTGTCCCCCTCTCGCAAGTGAAAGAGTTGAGATTTTTCTCTTTCCTTTTTGCAGTGTGGATAGAGAACCCAGGACCTTATGCACGCTGGGCGAGCACTCTACTACTGAGCTGCATCCCAAGCCTGAAACTTTTTTACATTAAGCTCCTGTCTAGCATCTATTTCTCTAGCCCCTCAACAACAGGAGGCAGGGCTGGGGATTTAGCGTAATGGTATAAGTACCTGCCTGGCAAGTGGGAGGTTGCAAGTTCGATCCTTGGTACCAATATAATAAAAATAATAATAAAAAAAACAGGAGGCAGGGCAGTGCCTTGTGGCACATACCTGTAACCCCCACACTCAGGAGGCTGAGGCAGGAAGATTCCTACAAATGCAAGGCCAACCTAAACTACATAATGAGACCGTGTCTCAAAACAAAAGAAAAACAGAAAACAGAACAAAACAGCAGGAGGAAGAAGCACCAAAAGAACAACAAAAACAACAAAAAACAATAGGAGGAAGCCCCTACACCCCTACTGGACCCTAGTTTTCCATCCTGGTGAGCGGGTTCCATAGCCTAGAGTGGGTCCAGGTACAGATGAGAAAGGAAAGGAAGATCTTTTCCAGACTTTGAGAACATCCCAGGCCTTTCTGGTCCTGTTTTTCACCTCTAAAATGGGACTTTTGGGTTGCAGATTTAGCTCAGTGGCATAAATGTCTGCCTGGCAAGCAAAGTTTGGTACCAAAACAAAACAAAAAAAACCAAGAGGACTTTGATTTTACGTGTGTGTGTGTGTGTGTGTGTGTGTGTGTATCTATATATATATATATATATATATATATATATATAATTTTTTTTTCCATTTTGAGACATGGTCTCACTATGTAGCTCAGGCTGGCTTCAAACTCATGACAATCCTCCTGCCTCAACCTCCCAATTGCTGTGATCACAGGCATGCGCCACCACAACAGCTGACTGATTATATTTTTAAGTGGCATTCAATTCAGGCTGACCTTAAATGCTTCTGACCACTACACACCAGCATATCAGCTCTGCAGTTTGACTCTGAAGGTGTGGATGTAGCTGAGGAAGGTAGCACACAACCTGTTATTCCAGCACTCTGGGAGGCTGAAGCAGGAAGACTGAAAGTTTGATCCCAGCCTTGGCAATTTAACAAGACCCTTTCTCAAAACAGGCAAAAAAATTTTTGTAGCCTACGCTGGCCTTGAACTCCTAGTGAGCCTCCTGCCCGAGTTTCCCCTGTGCTGGGACTATAGGTGTCCGCCACCATGTCTCACTTTCAAATAGAAAACTTAAAAAGGGCTGGGATGTAGCTCAATGTGAAGGCCCTGGGTTCAGTCACAAGTACTGAAAAACAGAAAAAAAAGAACAAAAGAAGCAGCCTGAGTATCTGGGGATGTAGCTGGGTGGTAGAGCTTTTACCTTGAATTCGATTCTCAGTACCACAAAAATTTTTTTTTAAAAAAGACATAAAAAGCCCAGGACCCAGTGCCACTAGGCTGGACATTAGCTCTGCTCTAGACAATAGCTCTGACTGTGAACTTGAAGACCTGTTTTGAGAACCGAGAGGTTTCTGATTCTCTGGGACACCCTCAGCATCCCCCTACCAAAACAAACCAGAAAAGGTTTCCTGAGCAGAGGTCCCTGGTGACAGCCCTCAGCCCCGGGACAGAGGGCTCTGCCTGCCTCCTCGCCCGCAGTTCACCCTGGCCACAGAATGCTTCCAGCTGGGCTACTCATCAGACGGCCACTGTAAGGGGCACCCTGACCCGGCGCTGCCCCAGCCCCAGCGGCTGCAGTGGAACCTCCCAGACCAGGTGAGACTGCGATCCGGGCCTCGGGCTCCTCACTGCGGCTATTCTGAGCTCATCCCATGCCCACTTCAAGCTCAGAGTCAGCCTTGACCCCAGCCCAAGGCCCAACCCCACAGCCAAAGGGAACCGATGTGTTCAGAGCCTGCAGGTCTGACCCTGTCCCCACGGCCCATCCCACCCTCCCCAACACCACCCCCAGCCCCATCCCCAAGTCACAGGCTGCCCAGTACCCCCGCCCACCTGGACCCGGCCCCCCAGGCTCCTGCTCAGTCTCCAAACCTCCTCACTCCCGACCCTGCACCCTCACCCCATTCCCAGCTCCATTGCTGTCTTTGTCCCTGTCTTGTCCTTTCCACCCCTCCTTCCCAAGTTCCACCTCCACCCTAACTCCCAGCCCCATTCCAACTCTGAGCCCCACCCCAACCCCAGTGGTTCTCCCTCCTCGGGCAGGTCCATCAGTCTGTCTCTCTCGCCCTACTGGGAGCCAAGACCTTATCTGGCAACATCGACTGCCACGTCTTTCCCTTCTGCCACTTCGGCAAGAGCTTCATCAAACGCTGCCATCTCTCTTCGGACAGCTTCATCCAGACAGCCCTGCAGCTGGCCCATTTCCGGGTCAGTGGGGTTCCCTCCTGCCAGCCCCCTCTGTACCGCAGTCCTGGTCACCGCCGCGTGGGTCCATCTTGACTTCGCCATCTGCTTCTGCACAGGAGGCAGCTGGAGGCTGGACTGGGCGGGCTGAGTCTGGAGAGTCCCCGAACCTTGCTGACAGGCTCCTGCTCTCCTTGTCCCCCAGGACAGGGGTCAATTCTGCCTGACTTACGAGTCGGCCATGACTCGCTTATTCCTGGAGGGCCGGACGGAGACAGTGCGCTCTTGCACCAGGGAGGCCTGCGACTTTGTGAGCGCCATGGAGGACCCGGAGAAGACAGTGGGTGTGGCCTCCGCCGCGGCTTCCGTCCCTGGGGTTCACCACTATGCAAACACTTATGACCAGCTCTGAGGGACACCAGGGACAAGGGACAAACAAGACCAAGTCTCTAGCTTCCAGGGACCCACGGAGGGGAGACAGACAGAGCCAGGCACAGTGTGCTCTGTGCTTTCCTGCGATCGCACTGGACGCTGGGGAGCACACAGGGGGAGCCGTTTCCAGAATGCAGCTCTCGGCTTATCTGCCACCTTATGGTCTCCTTTTGCCCCTCTGGCCACATTCCTAGGTCCTCTGCTCAGGGCTCAGAGCCCCATGCACCTCTGTCCCGCTCTCCCTCCCCTATGAGATCCCGTGCCTCAGTGGAAGCAGTTTGGGACCCACCTGCTTCTGCCCTGGTGTGTGGCCGGGGAAAGCGCCTAGGCTCTCTGAGCCTGACTCCCCGGGGTGAAGTGGGGGCAACCCCTGCCTTAGAGCCAGGCGTGCCACGGGTGGCCCGTGTAAGCCTGGGTCCTGTCTTTCCATGACCCGTGACCTCGGGGGCCCAGGACACACAGTGCCTCGCCCTGTTCCGCGCGGCGGTGGACAAGCACCAGGCTCTGCTCAAGGCGGCCCTGAGCGGCCAGGGCGTCGACCGCCACCTCTTCGCGCTCTACATCGTGTCGCGACTCCTCCGCATGCAGTCGCCCTTCCTGGACCAGGTTGGGGGTCCAGAGAAGGGGTTGGAAAAGGCACTAGGAGACCGTGGGAGAAGGGAGGGACACGAAGACGGGTTTGGTTGGAAAAGGGGTGGGCTGGGGACAGAGTCCTTGAGCAAGAGGGCAGGGCGGAGGCGGGCACCTGAGCGGAAGATCAGAGGTTCGTGGCATGGAAGGGCGTGGTCTGGAGCAAGGCGGGTGTGGCCCGAGCAAGGATGTCAGGTAGATGGTGGGGCGTGGTCGAGAGCAGAGGGCCAGGGCTAGGTGAGGAGTGGGTCAGGAGAGGCAGAGTAGCAATATAGTGGAAACTGGCAGAGGACAGAGAAACTCCAGGGATGCAGGATGCATAAAGTGGAGCCATGCAAAGGATTTGGGCCTGTCTTTCCTGTCCTTAGGTTTACTCCGAGCAGTGGCAACTGTCCACTAGCCAGATCCCTGTTCAGCAGATGCACTTGTTTGATGTCCACAATTACCCGGATTATGTTTCCTCGGGTGGCGGATTTGGGCCTGTGAGTAGAGTGGGGACCCGGACCCAGAGCCTTGTGGGAAGAGTGCCGGAAGCCTGTGGTCCTGTATGGTGGTGGAGGAAGCAGTTGTGATATTCTTTCCTTTTTTTTCCCCACTCCAGGCGGATGACCATGGTTACGGCGTGTCTTATGTCTTCATGGGGGACGACGCCATCACTTTCCACATCTCCAGCAAAAAATCAAGCACAAAAACGGTGAGACAGGCTTCATCCCAGCTTCACTGCCTCAGATCGGTGGATCCAGGCCCAGCCTCCTCCCTCAGACCCGGTTCCAACCCCCAGCCCTTTTGTTTGACCCCAGGGATCTCCCACTTGCCCTGGGTCTGACGGTTCCTGCTTCTAGGACTCCCACCGCCTGGGGCAGCACATCAAGGATGCACTGTTGGACGTGGCCTCCCTGTTTCGAGCCGGACAGCATCTTCAGCGCCGGTTCAGGGGTTCCAAGGGAGAAGACTCGGGGCGCAGGTGTGAATTTCTTTCCAGTAAGACTGTGGATTCCAAGACACCCAAGACACCCACCGACTCTGAGCCCATCCAGTAGGGAGCTGGTCTCCCTTAAGGCAGGGGGCAAAGAGTCCCAGCTGGGCTGGTGCAGGGTGGAGGAGCCTTCTCGAAGCTCCACATCCGGGCCAATAAAGATGTTCTAGCTGGGTGTGTGGCATCCACTGTGCTCTGGGTTGGAGGAGTTGGGGAGTGAGAACTGGGGTGCTGAATAGAAGAAGAGCCCCACTGATTCCAGTTCCATCCCAGCCTCAGCCACAGACTGTAAAACTGGGCCCCAAACAACCTCACAATTCCTGCTGGCCCAGCACCAACTGCCAACTCAGACCCAGCTGCCAGCCTAGGGTCTGGACACCAGTGCAACCATCTCAAAGGCCCCCCTAGATCCACCTGCCAAGACTTTTTATGATGCGTGGATGGAATGCATGCCTTGTGCATGCTAGGCTGCTCCAGCCACCCTACCCGATTCCAACCCCTACACCCCTATTGCTTTCCCCAAGGAAAGTATGACAGCCCACCCAACACAACAGCCTCCGTAACCAACCTACCAACTCCATGATGCTTTCAAACTTTGTCCGTAACCTGGGTGTGGTGGCACACACCTGTAATCTGAGCATTTGGGAGGCTGAGGCAGGAGGATTGCAGTGAGTTTGAGGCCAGCCTGGGTGGGCTACATGGTAAGACCTTGTCTCAAAAAAAAAAAAAAATGGAGTTCATTCTTGCAGAGTAATTAAATCTTGTGGGTTTATAGTTCTGTAGGGAAAACATTCAGCCAACATGACAGCCTGAAAAATTCTAGGGGGCTGGGTCATAGGACCCTAGGCTAAAGTCTTCCTGCTTAATTAGATCAGTGTCCCCTAGGAAATCACCACAGACTTAGGGTTTAAAACACACAGTTGGCATGGTGGTACATGTGTATAATCCCAGTACTCTTGTAATTTCCAGCACTTGGGAGGCTGAGGCAGGAGGAGTCCCTGTTTTCTGTTTTGCTATGTTTCTGTCCTCTGCACTTTTGTGGAGATTTAGGAGATCAGACTGGCTTCACATGGGTGATCTAGAATCATCTTCCCATCTTAATTGTACCTGCTAAATCCCCTTAACTGCCATGGCTCCTAACGCTCACAGGGATTAGGGTCTGGGCATCTTCGGGGGGCACTTAGGAATCAAATTGCATTTCCCAGAAAAGATGTGGAAATCCTAACCATCAGTGCATCAGAGAGTGAGCTTATTGAGAGGGAGGGTTACTGAAGATGTAATTAGAATGTATTCATACAGGACTAGGATGGACCTTTAATCCAAGGAGATTGCTGTTTTGTGTTTTATGCGTTTTATTTTTTAATGTCTCTGAGCTATACCCCCCACTGTTTCTTTATTTTGAGATATGGCCTCACTGAATTGCTCAAACTTGTGATCCTCCTGCCTCAGCCTCCCAAGTAGCTGGGATTACAAGCATGCAGCACCCCACCTAGCTGGACCTTCTTATACATAACAGAGAGAGACTGCTGGTATACCCCAGCTAGCCCAAGGGTTTCATGGGAGCTGGGGGCAGGATGAGTAACAGGCTGACAAGTGTGATCAGGTGGTTTCCCTTCAAGAGCCAGCCCGCCTCGCAATCTTTGTTCAGGAAGGCACCAAAAACCAGGGGGTTTCGGGTTTGATGATGAAAGAGTAACTGTCTGCGAGAGCTCTCAGGTTCCCAGGGGGAAAAATGACGTGTGGATGGTGAGAATGAAGAAAATAAAGAGACAGAAAGCTGGGGTAAGGGGGATCCTGCCTCTGGATGGGAGGAAGAGATTGCTAAACGCAGTGCGTTTATGCCTGCATCTCTCCTGTGCCTCCCCTTGGCCTAACTAGCTCGCCCCGTAATCCTGCGTTCTCAGGACTGGAGCACCTGTTCACCTCGGCACTCTGTGCTTTCAGCTCCCCACGTGTGGATGGTGTTGTAGTCAGGGGTTGTACACAGAGATCAACTAGGATTAGGACATGGAGTTCATAATATTTTTACAATGGTCACCGGAAGTTAACACAGAAAAATGCAGGAAATCTATCCGCAACACCAAAGACATAGATTATTTAGTCAAGAGCCTAAACCCCAAAGCAATGTCCCACATGAGTCCAGATAAAAACCCAGAGCTCGGGGGCTGGGGATTTAGCTCAGTGGCATAAGCGCCTGCCTTGCAAGCAGGCAGTCTTGAGTTTAATCCCTGGTACCAAAAAAGACAAAAAAAAAAAAAAAAACCAAAACCCAGAGCTCAGGAAAATGCCTCCCACGAGTCCAACTGGGGGGCCAGAGCCCACAAAAAGGACTCATGCCAGTCTCTTTTATGGATCCGTGCCGGGAAGACCCAAGGGTCAGCGGTGGAAGCCAGGAAGTCTATGCCAGCAGGATGAAGGAGCTGTGCTAGTGGGATGAGGGTTCTACGCTGGAGCCGAGAAGTCACACTCACAAAGACCAGGGCTATCCTGAAAGGCACCACAGCTGTCCTCAGCGACACAGAGGCCCCAAAGCTCTTCCTCCGACAAGCACAGTTGGGTATGTGCCAGGAAGCAGCGTGACAAGTTCATCCTGGAGACCAAGCAGCACATATCTTCCTCTCCGGAGCCAGGAAGCAATGCTCAATGTGAGGACCAAACAGGAGAACCAACAGCTCAGACAGCAACTTGTAGGAGAACCCACAATGCCTCCTTAATGCTTCAACCCCTAATACCTCCCTTCTTCTCCACCTATTTAGCCTGGCAACTTTCCTCAGGTGGAACATCTTCACTCAATGCCATGCTGATGTGATTCAGCTGGCGTTAAGTTGACCACCAGTTCTTAACCCATAACAGATGGTCACTAGCTCAGGGGCTCCCCACTTTGGACACTGCCCAGACTGTGCAGACAAATGATGGCAACCACCACTGCCTTCCCCACAGGCCCCAATGCTGCTCCTGGGCTCCTGGGCTCAGGTCAGCTGGAGACAGGTGCAGCAGCAGGTCCAGGAAGAAGGGGGCTCCTGTGTGGGCCATGGCACTGCGGGCTCCAGGATGTTGCTGCCTGGGATGGCGTCACTGAGATTGTACCCCAACATTCCCAATGCTGTCTTCTCCTCCAAATCCGTGAACCGCTCCCTCCCAGGAGCGGGGACCATGGCTGGGCAGGAGGCCCTAGGGTTCCTGCCTGTGGCCCTCTGCACCCGGGGAGGGCTCTGTTCACTTTTGGATCTTGCATTTCCATCTTCCTTGCTGCCCTTAGCCCTGAGCCGGAGCAGCCCAACTTGGGATCAGGGACCCCAAAGCCTGTTCAGCTCCTGCTCTAGTGGGGCTCAGCCCACCTTTCTCTTACTTTTTAAGTCACTGAGTTGCCCTGGGCTTGAACTTGCCATCCTCCTGCCTCAGCCTCCCAGAGTATCCTAGACTTTTTTTTTTCCAGAGACGTTTTCATTCAGCTCACAGAAATGTTAAGCAGAGAATACAGGGGAACCTACCCTCCTGCAGCCACCCCCATCAAGGCTCCCTGAAGTGTGATAAATTTGTGGGCAGTGGATGAAGTCACAGGGAGACAGGGTCCCTACCAAGGGACCGAGTATTTCTTTGGCTACTTTTTTGTCTGAGAGTAATAAAATTTATTGAGGAAAAGGAATGGAGAATAAGAACAGCTCCGGAGAGACAGGAGGGGTCCCGAATGGGTTGCCAACCTGGCTACTTTCTCTAGGTCTAAAATTGTTTCAAAATGAAAAGCGTTCTTTAAAGTTATTTTTGAAATGTGCTCAGCGTTTCCTGAGAGGAGTCTGGCAGATTAGAGAATCACAAGACGGACGCAGAACTAAGAGGAAAGACCTCACACTCCTGGATCCATCCAACAAGCGATGCCTAACCCCAAAGACAGTGCTGGGGCCCAGCCAGGAGCTGGAGGTCAGGACACTGTGTTGACCCTTTGGCGCGATCAAGGCGTGGCGGTTATGTGCAACTTGACTAACGCTAATTTCCCTAGGGTCCTCGTCCCGGAGGTCAGGACACAGGTCGCATGGGCTGAGGTCCAGCTGTGAGCTGCTGCCCTCCTTCCCGAGGTTCTGGAGGAGTCTGTTTCCCCCTACCCTTTCCAACTTGAGCCTGATACATTGTGCACTCCATCCCTCCTCCAGTTCAGAGTCCAGTCACCAGCCAGGCCGGGGGCGCCCATCCACCAAGTACTTACCTGTGAGGCAGGAGAATCACTACAAGTTCAAGGCCAGCCAGGACTACATAGTGGAACCTTGTGTTAAGAAAAAGTCTTCACTAACTAAAACAGTGTGGAGCTGGTATAAAGACAGATATTTTGTTCTGTTCTTTTTGAGACAGTGTCTTGCTATATAGTCCAGGCTGGCTTTGAACTCATGGCAACCCTCCTGCCTCAGCTTCCAAGTGCTAGAATTACGGGTATGTGCCAGTACACCCCACTAAAGACAAATATATTGACCAATGAGATAGGCAGAGACCAGGAAAAAAAGCTTCATACGAGGCCAGTTTCTTGTTATTTCTACAGTACTAAGATTTAAACCTAGGCCCTTCACATTGAGCCACATCCCCAGACCTCTCTCTCTCTCTCTCTCTCTCTCACTCACTCTCTCTCTCTCTCTTTTTCTCTCTCGCTGTCAGTCACTTTCTTGCAGGTGAAACAAAATACCTGATACCCACACTGTAAAGGAGGAGAGGCTCACTTGGCTCACAGTTTGAGGTGTCAGTCCATGGCCTCCTAGCACCAAAGCAGAACAGCATGGCTGAAAGTCATGGCAGAGAAAAACTATTCAATCTGTGGTAGTCAGGAACAGAGACAGAAGAGAGGAAACAATAAGAATTCACCCTTCCAAGTCCCCACTCCAGGTGATTCTCCCCTTTAGATGAGGTGGTGCCTCTTCTGAATGTGAGTTTGGGGGGATATTTTAGACCTAAACTATAACAGTTGCCCAGGCTGAGCTTGAACTTCTGAACCTTCTGTCTCAGCCTCCTGGGTGCTGGGATTTCAGGTGTGCACCATCACACCCAGATAAGGTCAAATGATTTTTTTGCGGGGCAAAAGGGTTTGAGACAAGATCTTGTTGTGTAGTTCAGGTTGGCCTTGAGCTCATTATGTAGCCCAAACTGGCTTTAAACTCATGGTGTTCCTGCCTCAGCCTCCTGAGTGCTAGGATT